ATCTAAAAGTAGGATTCGATGACACATCTTCAAAATCGTCAAAATCCACACATTTTTAATAATTTCTCAGCTCTGGGAACTTATTTTAAATTTCTGAACGACAAATTTGTAGTCAGTGAGTTGATTAATGGAATGGCGTTGAGTTTTTTGGGCCAGTTTCGACGAGTCCCAATTTTTCTGAAGGCTTCTTAACCTTGAGATCTCCTCCTTTAAAAAGTGTCAAAATCTGGAGTGTATATTTTCCAAAAATTAGCGACTCCCTCCTCTACAAATTCGTTGTTCAGAATTTCAAAATAAGTTCCCAGAGCAGAGAAATGATTAAAAATGTGCTGGTTTTGACGATGCGTAATCGAGTCCTACATGAAATTTTGCTCACTTTGACACGAACACCAGAATTTCCAGAAATGTATTCCGACCCATTAACCTTCTTCAAAGTGAGATCGAAAAGGAAAGCAGTTGATGATCGAAACAGTTCACAGCAAATGCAGAGCACCTTAAGAATTAAGCAATAAGACTTGAAAATAATTTTATTTGCATAGTTGAAATCCGATAAAAGAATACCCGGGTAGAGAAATAGGAGAACAGGACGGCAGTGGAACAACTCGAGATGCCTTCGATAAGTTTTGTTATCTTCAAATGCTGTTCCAACAACGTTTTGTAGGATAAGGGCATATCAAACTGCTTTATTGATTTCGCTCTATTTTGTGGTGTAACTGCATACATATCAAATAAGAATAAGTTATGTATATTTTCATTAGTGTTTCGTTTCTTTTGGGGGGTTTGGTACATTTTTTGCACCTCAACGTAAACAACGCAAGAAATGCGAGGTGCAAGAAACTGGGAGAAAGTGCAAGAAATGTGCGCAAATCTAGCCACACGCCATATGAAGTATCGGCGTCATTTCTTGTGCCTCGCATTTCTTGCAGGTCAAAATATTCAGCTGCAAGAAACCAATTTCTCCCCATTATTTCTTGCAAGTGGTCACTTCCACCCGAAACAGTGTTCAATGTTGAAATGTTTATAGGCTTACTGGTCCCTAAGAGAAAAGTCGTTTTGGAGTTCCATCCATGCGCCGTGTTTGTAATAGCGAGGCATAGCACCATGATAAGCAGGAGATGGTTTCTCGCCACGAAATAGACGTAAATCTCGAAAAAGAGGACCACGTAGACCGCAATGTTCATCCAAAAAGTGTGAAGAAACGCTTCTTTTAAGCCCCAACGAAGGTAGAGAATCGTCTCAAATTTGACCGACTCTTGAAATCCGAGGTCGCTCGTGAAGAAAAACGCGACCAGAACGACAACGTCGAGCGCGGTGATGAATAAGTGGACAAATTTCATGGTTCGCGCCCCTTTGCTGGCATTTTTGTACTGGAAATCCTCCAGTGATTCGCCCACGTCGTTGATATATTTCGAAATGTGGTTTCCGTACAGAATGACGCTCACGTTTCCGACCAAAGCCACGATAAAGGTTAGGAGAAAGACGGTTATGTGGAGCCAATGTTTTTGGAAGAGAAGCTTTTCAAAATTTCTGGAAATCAAAGAAATCTAAAATGTGGTTTCCATTAAGGAACGAATTGTAGATTACACACGCGTATTGAGAATAGCTATCCTCTGCATTTTCTTCTACTTTTATGGACAGGATAAGAAATACGGAAAAGGTGGCCATGAAGAGTGCCACGCCCAAAATGCAGGTCAACAAGTACAAGTCCCATTGTCCCTTCGGGGGTTTTCTCTTGCACCGGAAGGCGTCGGTCTCCTTATAAATGACGAACGGGAGACGGCCCAACATCGTCACGAGTGAAAGGAGACGACTGATCCCAGAAAATTCTTGGTTCAGACTCAAGACTTCATTTCCACTGGGAGTAATGAAAATCCTTATTTTACATGTAGGACTCGTCACCAAAATCGGGAAAATCAGCACATTTTATATCATTTCTCGGCTCTGGGAATTTATGTTAATTTTCTGGACCACAAATTTGTAGTTGGTGAGTTGATTGATGGAATGGCGCTGAATTTTTTTAACCAGCTTTGACGAGTTCCAATTTTTCTGAAGCCTTCCTAAACTTGAGATCCCCTTCTTCAAAAAGTGTCAGAATCTAGAGTGTATATTTCTAAAAAAAATTGGCAACGACCTGCTCTACAAATTTGTCATCCAGAATTTTATAAATAAGTTCCCAGAGGTGAGAAATTACTAAAAATGTGCTGATTTTGACGATTAGTCCTCGAGTCCAATGATAAACATGTGTCTAGTTAGAATTTTATCCATATATAATTATGTACCCGGCAATTTCCTTAAGTGACGACTCTTCTGTTCCGGAAACAGATATGCTATCTGTTTCCGGCATATCTGTGGTTACCGATGACGGACCACTCTCTCCCTCACTGCTTTCGATTATCCAGGTCATATCCGGTTTTCCGCTGGACCGACTTTCACCCGAAGAAGGGAAAGTGGGCAAAGTGCTGCTGGACAAGTCTGACTCCACGACTGACTCTTGTTTTTCCGAACCTTGCCCATCCTTAAGTACAGCTTTATTAATTTGTAATTGCTCTATTTCTGTAGCAGCTAATTCAGGTCTTGATAAGGAATCTGCTTTCTTTACTACTTTTTTTGAAACCCGTTCAACTTTTGTCACTAATACGGTTGGAATTGGGACCGTTTTTAGTGCAGGATGAGCTGCATTATTATTTTCCTGCACCGTAAGCTTATCTTTATAGGCTGCTTTATTAGCAGAAGTTGATATTTGTTGAGGTTTGTTCCTTGCGACGTGTTCTTCTTCCGAATCTGTTGCGTGATTTTGGCACATGCAATTAGATAATTATTGATATTGGAGTTTACTGTTTTAGACTAATCGCCAAATTCATGAAAATCAGAACATGTTTAATCATTTCTCAGGTCTGGGAATTTATTTTAAAATTCTGAACGACAAATTTGTGAGCTGCAATCTTTCAGAAATATACACCCCAGATTTTGACACTTTTTGAGGGAAGAGATCTCAAGTTTAAGAAGCCTTCAGAAAAATAGGAACTCGTCGAAACTGGTTCAAAAAACTCATCATTCCATCAGGCAACTCACTGACTACAAATTTGTGGTCCAGAATTTTAAAATAAGTTCCCAGAGGCGAGAAATACTTAAAAATGTATGGATTTTGACGATAAGTCATTCAGTCCCCAATTAAGGTAGATAACACAAACCTGTCTCATCAATTGTTATCCTAGAAATCGATTTTCGTGGTGAGTGAACAAAGAATTTCTCAATGTCGTGAAGTTCCTGGTCATCGAATTTCGGGAAATTATGCTTCACTGCACTCTTTCTGGGCGGTTTCTTGACAGTTTCCGTCTTCGGGTTGGGTACTTCCTTAATGGGCAAATCCTTAGCTGCTTCTATCATTAAGGCCAAAATTCAAATTCGTTTAACTTTACTCCAAGAAAATTCACGATTTCGCTGTGGTTTTAACCATGGTCCGTCCAAAACCGGTTTTGACCAGATTTGGACCCCAACTTTTGGACGTCAAAAATGTCCAAAAGTGTCCAAAATTGAAAATGAGACAAAATAGTACAAGTTCTTATTTACTGAAACTTTTGATAATCCGTTGACGTATAAATATGTAAATTTCCATTAAGTTTGAGCATTTTGATGTTGGACGTTTTTGGACACATTCATTTCTATAAGTAAGATGTGTGGGATTTTTGGTAGTTGTAATACGCGAAAGAGAGCAAAAATATGTTTTGAAGAGTGGTGCGAGGAATCGAACCCCGCGTCTCCCGTTTCCCGGACGGACACCTTTACCACTAGGCTAACCGCCCTTCTTCACATCTATTACTCTCTTGTACAACCACCAAATTCCACGTATTCTCTCCTACAGATGAGACGAACCAGAATTATCGCTTTCACTGGGCGTCATCACTTCTTCCGTATTGTGAGGTTTTTTTCTGAAAAATTTCTCAATATCGTGCTCTTCTTCTTCCGTTAGTTTGTGCTTGTGTCGCTGTGCACTGGTACTGGACGGTCCACGGATTGGCGTACAATTAGGACTACCTGGAGATTAGGGGAAAAATTGACATCACTAATTGATCCATTTTTAAACAGTGCTTCGTTTCTGGTGGGTTTGTCATATTACTTGCGCTGCATCGCAAAAAATGCGGGGTGCAAGAAACTGGGAGAAAGTGCAAAAAATAAGCGCCATCAAGCCACGCGCCGTATGAAATATAGTGGCGGGGCGTAGTTTCTTTTACCGTGCATTTCTCCCAGGTCAAAATATTTATGTAGCTGCAAGAAACCACTTTCTTGCGAGTGATTACGCTTACCACTTACATCCGAAACACTGTTTTTATATGGTTTAAATTATATATTACTTGGAAGTTTATGCTCTTCCGGTACAGATAGTAATTCTGCTTGGCTGGCTTCTTTTTTGTCAGCATTTTGGGGACCCCTAAAAATGAGCCTTTTAAAATTCATCGGAATTCATGTTTGATATCGGAGGAATCCAATTTTTTATGACATTTATGTGTACCCTTTATTATTAGCAAGACTAGCCTCACTTTCATTTTGACCCTTCTTCCTGGTCGTCTTGTTCTTGGACTTTTCCATCTCGACTACCGTATTTTGATCAGGATATGTGTCTTAAAATACCGATGTCTCTCGACTCTTGATTTTTGACGTAACGTTTTGATATTATTTGAGTCAAGTCAAACCTAGACAAAATTCGGCTCAAAAACTTGTACGAGATCACGATTACTCAACATTTAGTATGTATCTAGGGAACGTTAGTGTCCAGCATGAATTGACACTTTCGGTTAGTCATAACTTCCAATTTCAGTGTCCACTTAAACCTCCCAAATTAAACAAATGCGTAGCTCATTGTGGAGATTTAATCGGGGTCAAAGTGGTCACATTGCAAAATCTGTGCATAGTTCGAACCCCATTTTTAAACAGTCAAAATATTTTAAAATTACGGGAAAACTTTTCTCTTATCACCAAAAAAACATTCGTTAATAACAATCTTGTTAAAACCATTTCCACCACATTTTTATTCAGCTCGTCAGTCAATAATTTTGCAAGTTCTACATATTTTTAGCACTATTTAATTAATTTCACAAATTCAGTTGGAATCATTATGATCAATCATCAGCCTTCCTGTTACTCGAGCCGACATGCCGCCGAGGTCCAGTCCTTGGGTCCAATGAGCCCCCCATTGTCCTTCGCGATGGGGGAAAGACACGTGTCCACGGCTTGGAAACTCTCCGTCGTCACGACTCGTAAAATCTGCGTCCCCAAAAAGCTGTACATTGACAGCCACACGGAATACTTCATCCTGGGTTCGGACCCGTCTGGTTGTGAGGTCAAGATTTCGCAAAGAATGGCCATCGTGTCGGTCAGATTCTGAATAAATACAAAATTATCACCATTTTTAATGTAGAACTGGGTAAATCATCGTTAAAATCTGCAAATTTTTAGGAATTTCTCCGCTCTGGGGATTTATTTTGAAATTCTGAACACAAACTTGTGCGGCAGGGATTTGTAAAAAAAAATATTCACTCCAGATTTTGGAAGTTTTTGAAGGAGAAAAAGTAGCATAAAATTGCAAATTGAGGATGCAAAATTTAACGCAGGTCTTGATGTTCATCAAAATCAGCAAAAACTCATCAAAATCAGCACATTTTTAATGATTTCTCCGCTTTGGGGAATTTATTTCAAAACTCTCTGGACGACAAATTTGTAGAGCGGGTCGTTCCCAATTTTTTGAAAATATACACTCCAGATTTTGGCACTTTTTGAAAGAGGAGATCTCAAGTTGAAGAAACCTTCAGAAAAATTGGAACTCGTCGAAACTGGTTCAAAAAACTCAACGCCATTCAATTATTCAACTCACTGACGGCAAATTTGTCGCCCAGAATTTTAAAGTAAGTTCCCATAGCCAAAAAATTATCAAAAAATGTGTCAATTTTGACGATGTTGGTGTTGGGAATTCGGTAAAAAATATGCAAATTATTTGTGACCCACCTGCCCAATTGTGGACGCCATTACGGCAATCAACTTGTCCCAATCGACCATTTTTGCCTCAGAAGACATTCCAGCACGGGCGAGAATTTCATTAAACGAGTCGACACTCAGGCCAAATCCACGCCAACGTTTGAAAACTATGGCAGTCTCGGCTTGCATGCCGCTTTGGGAGCCCAGCTGCATACAGGTGCAAAAATCATGTCAAGATTTGCATCACAATTAATTAATTAACTAAATATGTATTGGCCAAAATACGATATTTTGAGCTGCTTTGTTCCAAGGGTTTAGATTTCCGGGACTGTTACACCCAAAAACAGACGAGAATTTACGTGGAGAAGGCAACAGTCGTACGAAAATACGGGTTTTGTGAACAAAATAACTTTTTACTAGTTTTTACCCACAAAACAAACATTTTTAGCACGCATATTTCCTTCTCCACGTAGATTTTCGTCTTTTTATGGATGTAACAGCCCCAGAAATCTAAACCTTGGGAAGAAAACAGCTAAAAATACTGTATTTTGGGCACCCCTGTTATTTGCCGACCTGATTATCAATCACCCTCAAAATTCCGGGCGACAATCCATCCTTACTTTGTCGCACGGGGTACTCCACCTTCTCCTTCGTTGGAAGCGTCTCTCCATTCGCCATCGCTCTTGAAAAGGAATTCAGAAGAAAATTTACTAAGTTCGCATCTTTCACCTGTATTTCGTTTTCCCCATGCATGTAAAACTACGTTTAAAATAGACACCGTCCAAAAGTGTGCAAAATTGTGCAAAATAATTTGGAACACCCGAATGTCCAAAATAAAAGCGTTTAACATTGGAAAATAGAGCAAAAAGTTACAAGTTCTTGAATAAAGATTTTTTGCAAATCGATACACAGACAGATATTAAATCTATTAAATTTCACTATTTTTGCGCATGTGTCATACCATGAAATTTCGAAAAACTTTTATTTCCACATGTTTTTTCTTAGAAATTAAGCCATTTTCTAAACCATGAATCAAAATGCTCAAAATTAATGCGAGACGTCGACGGATTATCATAAATACATTTAAAAAAACAAACTTAGGTGAAGGACGCGCTTAAAATATTAAAACAAGAAGCATTACAAAATGTTACAATATCGTTTAATATTTAGTAACTTTCACTTCACCGTGGGCCCAACTACCTATTTCATTTTCACAGCGATACGTAACACTAAATGCAACTAAAAGAGCTACTTGTTTAACCAATTAAAACGATAAGTCTACCTGTTTCAGGAATAGTTATTAAAATTAGTCAGAATGTGGGCAAATTTTCTCTATACCAAATGTGCAAAGTCACTATTTATTGAAAGATAATAATTCAAATCTAGCAAGTTTATTATATAAAAATTACGTATTTCGTTTACACAAAATGCCTGAAAGTATTTTTTTCTGTTAGTTGGGCCCACGGTGAAGAAAAGTTACTAAATATTAAACGATATTGTAACATTTTGTAATGCTTCTTGTTTTAATATTTTAAGCGCGTCCTTCACCTAAGTTTGTTTTTTTAAATGTATTTATTTAATTATTTTTAGTGAAGTGTGAACTTAAATGTATAAAATCATAATATCAATTCTTAAACGTTGTGAACTTTCCTATGGGTGGATGCGTGGCATACTAATTTAATCCCGAGTGGGTGGATTAGTTACATTGTATTTCATGGAATTTGATCAATGCTTAATTTTTCAGAATTTTAAGGAATGTTACATATGTTGAAATAGTAATGCTAATAAAAAATAAACCTGACATTATTAGCATACGTTAGCAACCAGTAACCTAACACCACGTAAATAGGTTGCTTAATGACAATATTTCAAAACGCTCTAAATCCATGAGTTTTCATCCGATTAAGTCGAACAAAGGCTTAAAATGTGCGTATTATCCAGGAGAATAGTAAAAATGGCAAGCCCCCGGTCGGAAACATTTCCTTGGTGCCAAGAAATAGATTTGAAAATTTAGGCATCGGACTTTCCACCTGAAGGAATTGGAATTTTGGAAAAATAAGAAAAATGTCACTGTAAAACCGAATTCTCTAACTATTTTGTTTCAACATGTTTTCCGTACAACGAACGGTTGGGGAGAAATCTCAGTGGGAGTTTCTCAAAGTTGCAGCTGAATGCATACCTAGGCTTCGCCGTAACCATGGTGATCTTTTAACATGATCACTTTATGGTTACTTTTCCTTCACCTAAGAAAAATATGAAGAAATTAGAACTTTCTATTTTGGACACTTTTGAACATTCAAAATCCTATGTCCAAAACTGATTAAAACCGATTTTGCACAGTGGTTAAAACCAAACCACACCGAAACCCTTTGTCTTACCGGAAGTAAGCCCCACTCCACCGGAGCAAATCTGGCGGCTGCGTTCTCATCGCGCCTTTCGCGTACATTTTCAAAATATCTGGAAGCTCTGGCGGGATCGTGATCACTTTTCCGCACAAGTTCGTCTTGGACTCGTTGGGCGTTTTGATCTGGACTTTGCTGCCCCCACTGCCGCCCGGCTGGTTCTTCTGGTCCTTCATGCTCTTTCGGGCAGAATGCGGTTTCAGCGTGGAGGCTGAGGGACGACCCAATTTCCCAACGGAAGACATTTTTAAGTAGTTATACAAAATATGAAATTTTACAAAAATAAGTTTTTTCGAAATTTATTTTAGCCGAAATTTTATTTATTACCTTTTTTCGGAGAATCCTCACATTCCGGTTTTTGTGTTGTGTTGTGCTCCAACAGCACCAAGGAGATATCGGGATCATTATTTTGCATGGATTATGGGGAGAAAGTGCAGCAGCAGAGAGAGGGACGATCGATGCAGTGTGTATGCACCTATTTAAGTAGGAGATTGCCCTTAATTTACATAAATATATGATATGCAAATTATGACGCCATGCAAATTATGATACTCTGCAAAATTTGAAAATTATGAGGCAAATTGAGAATTACATGTTGATTTATTATTTATTAAAGTTTGAGCAGGAGAAAGTGCAGCAGAGAAAGAGACGATCATGTATTTAATTTCCCTTAATTTGCATAAATTTAATTTCCCTTAATTTGCATAAATATGATCCTATCGCAATTTTCTGTGTGTGCCAGAAATTCAATTCGATGTATGTACATAAGTACGTACCTATTTATATTGCACTTTATTTGCATAAATATGCTAATGATGATGCTATAAGTGTGTGCAAATGACGATACTGCGCAAAATCTATGAAAATTAGCATTAAACGGTGATTTATAATTGTATTTTTGAAATCTATGTAGTCCAGAAATTCGATTCGATGTACAATGTATGTACATGTGCACCTATCTATATTTCCCTTTACTTGTATAAATATGCAAATCACGATACTGTGAAAAATTTCTGAAAATAGCATTACACAAACTGATTTATTAATCGTAATTTTGAACTCTGTTTAAACCAGAAATTTCCTTTACTCCCAGTGCGTTTTGTCCTTGTCCCAGCCCCGCTCGGCGAGCCTGACTCCTTCAAAATCGTCCTCCAAATCAGGACTGGGATGTGTCCCGTAGAAATGTTCGTACACTTCCTCCTGGACGGAGGCCTGGTGGTGGTGCTGGGGCTGCGGGGGGTTTGTGGGGAGGGAAGAGGCACGAAGTGGGGGGACAGGTTTGGAGGAGGATCGCTTTTTAGCATTATTATTTTCCACAAAGACCTCTTGTTCGAATTTATGGTGAGAAGATGGGTTCATGGGGAGCAGGATTTCATCCGAGTGGGAGTTGTGACCGGATTGATGCGAATTTTCTTGGCGCTCTTGCGAATTTCGGTGGTGTTCATGCAAATTTTCATGCGAATTTTTGTGATCCTCATTATGCGAATTTCGGTGGCCTTCGTGTAAATTTTCATGCAAGTTTTCATGATGTTCATGCGAATTTCGGTGATGTTCATCCATATTTTCGTGCGAATTTCGGTAGTGTACGTCATGTAAATTTCCATGTGAATTTTCATGCTGCTCATGCGAATTTCGATGGGTTTTGTGTAAATTTTCATGCGAATTTTCGAAGTACTCATGCGTAGAGTGTTCATGCAAATTTCCATGCGAATTCTCATGATGCTCGTGCGAATTTCGGTGGTATTCATACGAATTTTCATGTGAATTTCGGTGGTGTTCGTGCAAATTTTCATGTGAATTTCGGTCGTGTTCAGACAAATTGAAGTGATGCTTATCGTTCGAGATTTCCTTATCGTGGTCATGTCCAATTTCATGATGTCCAACTCCGTACGTCAGCGTGATGAACAGTTCCGTCCGAAAATGTGTCTTATCATGTACATGCCCCTTATCCTCTTGGCCCGCAAGATAACCACAACCACGCCCCTTTCTCACTTCCTCCTTTGGATGATTCACCACGCCACGAAGCTCGTCCAAATTAAATCCTGCCCCACCACTCGTCATCACGACCACCTCTTCACGATGCTCAGCCTTCTTTACACGGCTACATTGTCCTTGTTCGCAGCGTCGAATCTAAAATCGGCACGCAAAAAAATTGGCAATGATGTTATCTCGTACGCATTTTAGGTTTTTTTAATAAGGTCATTTTAAGGTCACAGTTTAGGCCATTTCCCGTCATTTAATTTCGATTTACGTCATTTAATGTCATCTTAAGGTAAGATTTTACGTATGTGATTTGAAGTCATTGAATTTAATTTAGGTTATTCAATGTCATTTTAAGGTGACATTTTAGAGATCACTCTACGTCATTTAATTTCACTTTAGTACATTTAATGTCGTTTCAAGGTCAGATTTTAGGTCATTTAAAGTCATTTAAAGTAATTTTTGCGTCATTTAGGTTCATTTTGTCCCATTTAATGTCGATTTGCGTCAATTAATTTCATTTTACATCATTTAATTTCATTTTACATCACTTCACCGTCATTTTAAGGTCACATTTTAGCCCAATTTACGTCACCTGTTCCTCGAACGCTTCATGTCCCAACGACGCCAAACGATACTGTCGTAACTGATGCAAACTGTAGTTCCTCTCCTGCATCGTAAAGTTATACTTCTTCATCGTCTCCGTCATCATCCTCGTCGGCGCAAATCCCCGTCCCCCCACCACTTCCGGTCCACCACCACCCAAATCCTCCAAACAATCGTAAAACGTTTCCTCCTCCTCGCCCCCCGAATTTTTGTCCTCTTTGAGCCCAATTTTCTCACAAAATTGGACAAACTCTTTGAAAGACAGCGCCCCGTCGCGGTCGTTATCCGCGCTGCGCAGGATTTGACCCAACTTTACCCGGCTGACGGGATAATGGTGCTTTTCCAACCAGTAACTCAACTCCAGCGCGTTCAACTTCCCGTCCCCGTCGTGGTCGGCGAGCAGGAAGCATTTTTCCAAGCGCTGGAGTTCCTCCGGCGAATAGGACGTGGCGTCGGGCGGGCGTCGTTTAAAGGAGGGCGCCACCTGGGGTGGATCATGTGACCGCATTCGGATCGAGGATTCCCGCCGAGTGATGCGATCCAGGTGGATGAAGCGTTGGAGGAGTTCGTCCTCTTCGGAGTCATGCTTTTTTTGAGACATGACGGGCCCCAGGAGAATTTTTGGTATTGATTTTTACCGAATTTGGCGACGAGTGTGCGAAAAAATCGAATTTTATGGGGGACGAAATGTTGACGGTTTGTTAGTAGCGTCCTATGGCAACCAGTGGCCGCGGAAGCGTTGGTGGGGACAGAGGGACAATAATGTCCATACGGTTGCTTGATGTCTGCATCATCTCCCCATGTTATATAAACCCCTCCCTCCCCCCATTCTACAATGTTAACGTCCCCCCATGTCCCCACAGCTTCCGCGGCCACTGATTACTTGCACTCATGTAACATACTACTTTTATGCAGTGGCCGCGGAAGCATGAGTAAGGACGGAGGGACTATGTCCCCACGGTTATTCGATGGCCTCATCATCTCCCCATCTTATATAAACCCCGCCCTCCCCTATCCTGCAATGGCAATGTCCCCCAATGTCCCCACGGCTTCCGCGGCCACTGCCAGCAACTTTTGTGCGTGGGTCAAAAATTTATCTTCAGGTGACGAAACGAGTGTTCTAACCTCTACAAAAATTTCAAAACTCATCCTTTTTCAAATTTGTATTTTATTAAAATACTTCACATTCAGTCTCTGAAAATCTCCGGAATATGCATGGCACCAACATATCTGCATAAAATTATGAAATTATTAATTTCTTTAAAAAATTTATTTCAACTTCGAAGTTAGAAATTAGTAAAAAAAATCGATTTTTTAAACAACAAACGAAAACAAATTAATTCAACAGGTAAAAAAACTAACTTTGGCAAAAACTTTAATATTTTTACGAAATTTTACATACACGTAGGACTCATTACCTAAATCATAAAAATCATAATCATAGTTTATTATTTTCACCTTTACAGATTTACACTAAATTTAATTGCAATTTCTCCGATTTCAAGATTTGTAAAAAAATTTAAAATTTTTTTTGAAAATTTTAAAGTTTTCATGGTCCTTCATATTCAAAAGTTTCAAAGCGATTTTGTCAAGCCATCAAAAATATCTGAACAACTGGATAATTCACGAATTAATTTTTCTGTATACTTTATTTTTAACTTTGTAGCTATACACTCGAGCTGACTTGTAATTTCAAAACTCATCCGTTTTCAAATTTGTTTTCAAATTTTCAAATTTCAATTTATTTAAAAATACTTTAGCATTTTTAATAGTATTTTTACATTCAGTCTCTGAAAATTGCTGAACACGAAAAAGTTAAGATTTTGGGTACATGCGAAAATAAATCTGTTTCAAATTGTAAAGAAACTGATTTCTTAAAAAAATATGTTGACTTTGAAGTCTAACAAATTAATAAAAGGAGTCGACTTTTTAAATTAAAAAACCTACAGTGCAGACTCCATATAGCCCGAGTCAGGGGCATAGTCCCTGACTCAATAAGTCAGAGCCCGCTTCTAATTTTTTTTCCGAATTGACCGACATAATATCGCGTTGTGGATGGTTAAAAGTTTATTAGATAGTTTCTACCATTTGGTACCAAATTTTTGAATTAGTTACAAATCATGTGCCTTGACCACCATGACCAGTGGGCTTCTTTAACATCCTGAAGTTCTAAGCTGTATGCATGTGCTACCCAGCAGTGGTTTTCACTTTTTCAGCCTCCATATCAAATTTCAGCTCAATATAACGATTTTTAAAAATCAGTATGGGTCACCCGATAGGGTCACTCTGGTTGCACTTTGCTCACTTTTAACTTCATATTCTTTAATTAGAAGCCATTAAGTATAATTGTGCCGGATTTCAACTTTTTAAAGCAATTTCTAAAAATCGGTATGGATCACCCCATAGGGTCGCTCCAGATAAAAATTTTACCAATATCATCTCATATTCTTTCATTAAAACCCATAAGCAACCTCTCCACCAAATTTCAGTTGGATATGATGGTTTTGAAAAATCGGTATGGGTCACCCGATAGGGTCACTCAAGATGAAAATTTTTCCAACTGGAAGTCATTTTTATCTATTAGGAGCCATTAGCAACCTCTGTACCAAATTTCAGCTCTCTACAACAATTTTGAAATTTTGGTACATAGTACCCCACCCACTCCGATGACCCCCACCGGTCAACCACTGGACCGATCACGACCATCTTCGAACTCGTTTCCTAACTTTGTCCAATATGTGTATGGTAAAAATTTCAGGTCAATCGGTTCAGCCGTTTTGGCTCTATCGTGCCGGACAGACAGACAGACAGACAGACGGACGGACATGACGGTTCCATAAGCCCTGACTCGGGCTAAAAACAGAAGAACGAAAACAAATTAATTCAAAAGGTTTAGAAAAAACTAACTTTTACGTAAAGTTCAATATTTTTTACGAAATTTTAAATGCACGTAGCACTCATTACCATAATCATCAAAATCATTACTTTTAAAATAATTTTTTGGTGCTAGGAATTTATTTTAAAATTCCGAACGACTTGTTTAAAGAACAGGCCGTTGCCAATTTTTTTTTTTAGAAATATACACTCCAGATTCTGATACTTTTCGAAGGAGGAGATCTCAAGCTTAAAAAGCCTTCATAAAAATATGAAAAAAATGAAAAATTGGGCTGAAAAAACTCACCACCATTTCATTAATCAACTCAAATTTATCGTCCAGAATTTTAAAATAAATTCCCAGAGGCGAGAAATGATTAGAAATGTGTAGATTTTGATGATTTTGTAGATGAGACATTAAGTCCTTCGCGTATTTACATAAAAGTAAGCTTCAAACCTATCTTATTGATTCATCAAAAACGCACGTGAAGTAATTAAAGGTGCATTTATGCTTCACGTCATCGTTATGTCCTCCTCCAAATCCGATTTTTTGATTGGTTAAAATTTTTAATTGTCGTAGTGATAATTTGGTTCAGCCAATCAAAAAATCGGATTTGAAGGAGGACGTGACGATGACGTGAAGCATAAACATCACTTAAGTAATGAATTTTAATACCTATAATTTACATATTTTCGCCTTTACAAATTTACACTAGATTCGCCTAAAACTCATCCGTTTTTAGCCCGAGTCAGGGCTTATGGAACCGTCATGTCCGTCCGTCCGTCTGTCTGTCTGTCTGTCTGTCTGTCTGTCTGTCTGTCTGTCTGTCCGGCACGATAGAGCCAAAACGGCTGAACCGATTGACTTGAAATTTTTACCATATGCATATGGGACAAAGTTAGGAAACGAGTTCGAAGATGGGGGAAATCGGTCAAGTGGTTGACCAGTGGGGGTCATCGGAGTGGGTGGGGTCTTATGCACCAAAGTTTCAAAGTTGTCGTAGAAAGCTGAAATTTGGCACAGAGGTTGCTAATGGCTCCTAATAGATAAAAATGACTTCAAGTTGGAAAAATTTTCATCTTGAAGGACCCTATGGGGTGACCGACGCTGATTTTTCAAAATCGTCATAACAAGCTGAAATTAGGTAGAGAGGTTGCTAGTGGGTCTTAATGGAAGAATATGGCATGAAATTGGTGAAATTCTTAGCTGGGGCGACCCTATTGGGTGCCCCATACCGATTTTTAGAAATTACTTTTAAAACATTAATCCGGCACTTCTTGATAGCAAATATAGCTTTAGAAGTTCAAAATGGTAATATTATGTCGGTAAATTCGGAGAAAAATTTAGAAACAGCTAGGACTCACGGAGTCAGGGACTCTGTCCCTGACTCGGGCTATATGGAGTCTGCACTGTAGGTTATTAGGGTTTGGATTTAAAATATTTACTCCTTATTTCAAAATTTTATGAAAAATGCCAAATGCACAAAAAAATATTGTGAAATATTTAAATTTCGTCCGGAATAGGAGGAAAGGAAATATGTAAAGCACCTAATAAAATTAAAAAAATTAATTAATTTCTGTAAGAAAATGTATTTCGACTTCGAAGCCTTACAGCTTAATTCAAATGGTTTGGAAAAAACTAACTAAATTTACATAATTTCCACAAAATTTTGAACTCCAATAAGTCTTAATCTAATTTAGACAGGTTTAATCATAAAATTTTTATTTAAGCTTTGAAGCGATCAAAATTTTTCAAAAACGGTTTTGGTTCAATTCCAATCCATGATTAAAAACATCTAACAACGATTCCAATTTATTTATTTGTCGAAATTTTTATTTTTTCGACTTCGAAGTTTTACAATTCCATCCGTTTAGAAAACTAGGTTTGAGACATTTGCATACACTTTTCAAGAAATTTTGAAAACTTTTCCAGACTACGATCATATATAAAAGCAATGTTTTTCACATTTTCGCACTATATTTTGAGGCGAATAAAGCTCCAGCATTGGTCGTCTGCTTTCGTCCAATTTTTTTTACATAATTTCTCTAAATTCATAAATAATTAGTAAGTACATACTTTAGTCATATTTATACTCATTCTACCAGCAAAATTAGATAAGTATTTATAAGATAAGGTGTTATCCACTCAGTGAGTGCCTTAACTTACTCACCCTTATTTGTTCCAAAATCAGGGCAATTTATAAAAAAAATGTCATAAAACTACCGACATATACCCAAGACTTGTAGTAAGTAATATGCAAATATATACATAACATGAACTTATATAGGATTAAACTATTTAAATAGTCATTCTGACAGCAAAATCAGATAAGTATTTACAAGATAAGAGGAAAGACGAACCTAATAAAAATAGAAAGTTATTCACTTTTTAAAAACCATTTACATATTTCGACTTTGAAGCCTTACAGCTAAATTCGACTTGTACAGAAAAAAAAACTAATCCTAAGTTTTACATAAAACATGCATAGCTTTGTACCTGTTATCCATTAATTACAAAAGTATCTGTCCCAAAATCAGGACAAAATTTAAAGAGACGTTATCAAATTCCCGACAGACAGACGTCTTTTCGTCACCCCATCATCACTCCAAAGTCATAAATATCTATGTACAAATGTACAAGTTGAGGACATAAATTCCGTACAAAAAAAATCCACCCAACCAACAACAGCCTCCTCGTTCCCGTTCTCATTTGGTTGGTACCCTTCTTCTTTCCTCCCTCTCCAGTGGCCGCGGAAGCCGTGGGGACATCGGGGGACATTAACATTGCAGGATAGGGGAGGGAGGAGTTTACATAACATGGGGAGATGATGCGGACATCGAACAACCGTGGGGACATTGTCCCTCTGTCCCCACCCAGGCTTCCGCGGCCACTGCATTCAACTATGTTATACTCGTGTACTCAGCAGCCGCGGAAGCCGTGGGGACATCAGGGGACATTAACATTGTAGGATAGGGGGAGGGACGGGTTTATATAACATGGGGAGACGATGCGGACATCCAACAACCGTGGGGACATTGTCCCTCTGTCCGTACCCACCCTTCCGCGGCCACTGTTTTGTTCCTCTCAGCTCCCCGTTTTGATTGCATTTCATGAAATTACATCACCCACCACTCACTACCACTGATACCCGGGTAGCCTATACATCCATCCCTATCTGTCTCTCTTTCTCCGTATTAGTATCCCCCTCTTCTAGCACACATTTACCCGAGCGAATAAGTAAGGTCTCCGAATTTCACCCGAAGTCGGGTATCGGGTATCTCCACCGCTACCATGAAGAAAGAAAGCAGTCTTTCTCTCTTCGCTACTGCTTACCTGACAACTACCAAAATCAGTCCGACTCCTCTCCCATCGTGTTTCCAGCTCACCTTTCTTTCGCCACTTTCTTAAAACACTAATCGTTCCGTGTGTGGCCCTCTTAAAACGCAATTTCCTGTCTCACTTGGCAAATCTCTAATCTAATCCAGCCTCCAATTAATTTCACTTTTGCCCCGATTTTTTTTACGCACCGGAATTTTCGCACGGAAAAAAATTTTTGCAGAAATTTTTGCGAAAAAATTCAATTCGCAAATCTCTAATCTCCAATTATACTGGAATAAATTCGAAATTTCCACTTTTCCCCAATTTTTTTGCACCGCACTTTTTGCACACAAAATTTCCAGAAATGAAGACATCGTCCCCCATTTTTAGCGTATTTTTCAGTGTATTTTGCAACATAGTTAGTGGGTTGGACTCCGGGGTGCACAATCCAGGTCCAGAGTTGAACGTGAAGCTGCGCGACTTGGCGGGTGGCGTTGGCGTCGGAGGTTTCAATCCGCTCCTCGTCGACGACAAAGTGCGCGATGATTCTGATCGTGGCCGGAGTGGTGACGGTGTTGATATCCGTGGTGATCCTGGCCATAGCGTTGGCAACGCCGATGACGCCAGGTGGGTGAACAATTTTAAGGGGTGGGGGTAGTGGCCGCGGAAGTTGTGGGGACATCGGGGGACGTTAACATTGTAGGATGGAGGGAGGGAGAGGTTTATATAAGATGGGAAGATGATGCGGACATCGAATAACGGTGGGAACATTTGTCCACATGCTTCCGCGGCCACTGGGTAAAACATGGGTCGAGGTACAAGTTCTGAAACCAGTGGCCGCGGAAGCCATGGGACGTCTGGGGACATTGGGCAGATGATGGGGACATCGAACAACCTTGGGGACATTGCCCCTCTGTCCACACGCTTCCGCGGTCACTGTCCTTTTGGCATTATTATCACTACGGAACATGTACACACAGTGGCCGCGGAAGCCGTGGGGACATATGGGGCTATTAACATTGTAGGATAAGGGGGGAAGAGGTTTGTATAGCATGGGCAGATGATAATACCCGTGGGGACATTGTTCCTCTGTCCCCCACCCACGCTTCCGCGGCCACTGGGGGAGTAAATGAAGGGGGATTTATAAGTTTTTGTTATACTTTGCAGTGGTCAGATCGGCGGGGAAGCTAGCGTTGACCTTGGCGACGGCGGCGATAGCCGTCTTCTTCTTGTTGAGGGGGATGCGCGACGGCCTGGACTACTTTCTCCGGATGTTTATCCTGTAAGTTGCATGTTCATACATCTTGGAAATACGCATGTACAAAAATGTGTCTGAATTTTTGAAAAAAAAATCCTCAGAATAGTAAAATATAAACCAAACTCTTTTCAAAAATTTGAATCAGTTCAACGTCGAAATACAAATTTTGTGAAAAAAATTAGATAAAACTTTATAACTAGATGGGTTTTTTTGACCATTAGTAATTCAGAATTTCGTGAATAGGAAATGTGTATTATACATTTTTTATGTAAAAGTTAGTATTTTTTCTAAAACTTTTTGAATTTCACTGCAAGTTTACTTGAATAAGGCTTAAAAAGTTGTCCTGTTTGATAAGTTGGGGAGGGATTATTTGTGAGCAGTGTTTCATTTCTTGCTGGTTTACTACATTTTCTGTACTTGCAAAAAAGTGCAAAAAGTGCAAAAAATATGCGACACATTGCCACGCGCTGTACGAAGTGTAGCTGCGACACGGAGGTTTTTTGCGTTTCTTTTGCAGGCCAAAATAAATACCTACAAGAAACCAAGTTTTACAGTTATTTTTTTGCAAGTGGTTACTTGCAATTCACGGAAATGAATTTTTTATGAACTTTTTTTCAGGTAGACAGCTTTCCCCCGAAGGCACCCATCATCCCGGACATTTTCACCGTGGCGGTTGAAACCATTTACATGAAGGTACATAAATATATTTATTATGAAAGTAGTATTTTTTTAAGTCATGTTTTTCAATTTCACAAACTTTTCCTCCTTATCCATAATTTCAGGAACAGAAACGCCAAGTTTGGAACCTTCATGTGGATCGCGCCGAGAAAATTGTGGTGCACAAGGTCGACATGCCAAACACGGTGGGAAAACGGTACGAGTGGTTCTACTCGAAAATCGTGCGAGATTTCAGATCAGGTTTGTTCCCATAAAATTTATCCAATAATTACAATTTTCATCTCTAAATTATTGACATCCGGGCAAAAATAGCGTACCATAAATCATCCACGTGGCTTTTTCTTGTGTCAAAGTGTATGTAAAGCACGTGCATGCATCCGAATTTCCACAACTGATAAGTCATAATTTGGCATCTCGTCCTATTTTTACCAGTTTTTTTCTACAAATTCATATCAATAATTAAGATTTTCATCCCTCAATTATTGACACCCGGGCAAAAAATAGCGTATTATAAATCATCCACGTGGCGTTTTTACTTCTGCTAAAGCGTGTACCGACGTGCCAGCATTTGAATACCGATTTTGTCGGCAATAATTATTCAGAAAGTCCTATTTTTCACCCAAAATCGTGGAAAACTTTCTCTTTCTTTATGGGGAAAAGATGGACTTGAATTTATTGGCATCCTTCTTTGCCACCCGACGCTTGCTTGGCATCCTCTCCACTCTGCATTGTTTTTCAGTATACACAACACAACACAAAGACAAATGAAACGATGCATAATTCATAAGTAAATTTTCCCCGTGGTAGAATTTATTTTCGCGGATGTATGTAAATATTGCTGTCCTCCATTCCGCACCATCTGCTCGTGAAGTCAAATCGTCCCCCATATTTTTCATCCTTTCTTGGCGAAAAAACGGGAATATGCAGAACAACGGAATAAAATCGTGTTAACCAAACATAGAAAAGTAGCGGAAAAGCGGTTAAAATTTCTTTAAAGATTAAATTACAAAATTGTGTATTTTTTGAAATTTTAACCTCATCCTCACGGTAATCATGCGTGGTCGAAGGTCAAAAGTATTGATGGGGTAGAATTCGTGGTGAAATTTCCTTTAAAATAGCACCGCATATGAAAGCCAAGGTCCACTTTGACCTTTGACCTCACATTATTAGGGTCACCTTGACCTTGACTGCAGGGTTTGACCTCGACCGCGAACTAAAAATTAGATGTACCATGACGAAAACTGTTTTTGAGGCTTTGTAGACATGTTTTGCCCACTGACGGACAGACAGACGGACGGACAAACCAATCACTCACATAAAGCAGCCGACCTACATACTCTGATAATCCATTTAATTTTAAATATAATAAACCCACATCTAAATATTTTATTTGTTGACCCGACCCCATTTTTTTTACCAAAAGGTCTCGAATTTCGCATCTCGAACGGGAAAGAAGCCACCGACTGCATCGTGGAACCCATCAGTACGGACTTCGAGTTGACCTCACACAATCTGAAACGCTTCATGTTGGAGCACGCCACCCTCCTGCTGAACTTTGACCCAAGCTTTGTCAACTATTGGGGCAAGGTGAGACACGATACGCACAAAAAAAGAATATAAAGATTTCCATAATCTACAACTTTCTCTTCTCACATTTCTTAACCTTAACTCAAATCACGTTCCGCTCATCCATCCATCCATTCGACACGTGGACGAAAATTCGGTCTGACTTTTCTATCTACCCGGATGTCAACTCTGCCGAATAATTGAACGTATACGCGATCTCGGGATTATTTTTCCTTTCCCCCTTCGCAGCGATCAATACGGAATCTTCAGTAAGTGTAAAAGTCAAATCACTTTACTACTTTCTCGATCCTTGTAAACAGTGGCCGCGGAAGCGTGGGTGGGGACAGAGGGGCAATGTCCCCACGGTTGTTCGATGTCCGCATCATCTCCCCATGTTATATAAACCCCTCCCTCAACCTACAATGTTAATGTCCCCACAGCTTCCGCGGCCACTGATTACTCGCGTATAACATGCAGTGGCGGCGGAAGCGTGGGTTTAGATGCCCCCATCATATGTAAACCCCTATTCTGTTATGTTAATGTCCCCCGATGTCCCCACAGCTTCTTCCGCGGCCACTGCCTGTCTCACGCGTACCGCATGGTTCGTTGCCTTAAAAGAGAGAAAGCTGGATTCAATTCCGGTTAATTTATTGCCTCCTTCTCTCTCTCGCCGTATACTTTCTCCACTCCACCAAAAATCCAGTCCACCAAAACACAGACAGAGAAATAAGACGCGTTCGCATCTAATGTGAAAATGCGGTGTAATTTTATTTTGTCTGCGAGAAAGCACAAAGAAAGAAACGATTTTCTCCACTTTCTCCAAGCTAAACCACACACGCTTGGTTTTGTTTTGTCTTTCTCTTTCTCTCTCTTTGGATGAATAAATGCAAATGTTGTCTGTAAGAAAATTTTCTAGAGTTGGGTATGTGGGAAAGATAAGAAAAGATAAGATAAGCAAGGTGAAAGTGGACTCATACCAAAGACAGAATGAAATAGTTAATCGTTACGTAACGTTACCCGTCCACTTTATTTAAAAGATGTGATCATCATGACCATAAAATTAAAGTGGGCGAGAGACTCGAACTTTCTCCACTTTCACCCTTCATCCTGCTTTTCTCTGGCTTTTTCCACATTCCTGACTTATTCCACTCCGGAAATGAGATGGAATTTGTGCCAGACTTAATTTATTTGTTTCCGGGCCGGGTAGAAAATTGGCTTGGTTTTTTACAAGAATCTTCGAAATTAAGAGTTGATTAATTAATTAACTAATTAATTAGTTGTGTTGTATTTTCTCGGATTTTTGTAAATTAAGAGTTATTTAATTAATTATTTTTTTCTTTTAGATGTGATATCTGGCTTCACGAAAGCTTGGGCGAGTTCGTGTCAGAATTTGGATTTGCTAATGATTCCACCCTTCCGATCTCGGTGGCCACCTTTTCACGAAAGACTACACCGGATATCGTCGCCATTTCGAACATTTATGAGGACAATAGCCACATTTTTAACCCGTTTGCGAAAACTCAAGGACATCCCGATGTCACAGGTGAGAAAGTGTTTTTTTTGCGGATTTGCTAAATTTTTTGCAAGAAATGGGAAGTGCAAGAAACTGGGAGAAATAAGCGCCATCTAGCCACGCGTCGTATGATGTATTTATAGGGGCAGGATTTAGTTTCTTACGCCTTGCAGGTCAAAATACCTGCAAAAAAACACTTTCTTGCAGTAATTTCGTGCAAGTTGTCAAAAAACTGGAAATTCCACTTTCATAATTTCTATTTCCTAAAAAATCCCTCCTCATATTTTTTTTATTTCAGCATGTCTCGACCCCACCCCACTCCTTTTGCGAATCGTTCTTGATGGTGAGCTCCATGAAATTCGCAATTTGCAAAAATTTCAAGGTTAAATATTCCAAATTTGTTTCTCAGCTCCATACGCCAAACTAAAATTGGGCCGTGAGTTCACCGTTTTGGAATCAATTCGGCGTGCAGTTGCCGGTCTGGCAGGAATTTCTCTGCTCCGAGTGACAGATTTGGCTGTGAGAAATTGCAAATTTTACAAATTTTTGTCATGATTTTTACCAAGATTTAAATAATTATCCGTTATTTTTTAAATTAATTAATTGCTTAGTTGACCGAATGGCCCGGTGGCACGACGGCATTTTGGTTTTCCTTGCGACAAATCGTGAATTTCCAAGAGCTCTCGAAAAATAATAATTCTTCTTCTTCCACCCACTCCACGATCGTGTTCCCGTTGGCGGACGCGTACCGAATTTTGAGAGATGTCATCCAACGCCACGATGTCACTCTCAGGGTCGACTTGGCCACGAACGAGCACATGGTAAGTAAATAAAAATTTCTGATTTTCAATTTCTTCTAAAAACTTCAAGAAACGTTTCTTGTGATACATTTCTTGCACTGCAAAGCAAGCAATGTGAGGTGCAAGAAATAAAAGCGTCATCCAGCCACGCGCTCTAGGAAATAAGCGCATAGTTTCTTGTGCCGCGCATTTCTTGCAGGTCAAAATATTCCCCTGCAAGAAACCACTTTCTCCCCCTTATTTCTTGCAAGTGGTTTCCTGCACCTGAAGTACTGCACATGGGCATACCTGTTCACTTTCATTCATGTGACTGATTATGATAGTGAATGAAAATGAATTTCCTCTGATTTGAATGAAAATGAGTGAAAGATTCAGTCATTTCAGATGAGTGAATGTGAATAAAAGGATTTCTCACTCCCTTCATTTTGAGCTCGAACCAAAGCTTATGTAATTGTCATGTCAGTCCATCTGCAGGTCAAAATATTTACCTGCACAAGAAACCACTTTCTCCCCCTTTTCTTGCAAGTGGTTTTTCGTGAACCCGAAACATGGGGTCAACAGTGGTCACTTTCACCTAGTGTTTCATTTCTTGCGGGTTTGCTTTGCAGTGCAAAATGTAAAGCAAGAAATGCAAGGTATTTACATAGCTTGCACGTCAGAATATTTTATCTGCAAGAAACCTCTTTAATACACTGAATTAATACACAGTACACATTCCTGAAACACTGATTATTACCCATTTCAAAAATTGTATGAATTCCGTAGTTGGTCGGAATCCAGCGTGGATCACTCATCTCCATCCCACGCGCACTCCATCCGATCTTCATGCGAAACTCCAACACAAAGTCGCTCTCCGTCATTAAAGCGTCGTACACTTCCGGTACGAGGAAATACATACATAAATAATTAACACTCATGAATAATTTAACTTGAAAATGATCAACTATTTAATTTTTGCATACGTAAACAGGTGCAGTCGCTGGTCTTGGTAAACAAAAAATTCCACTTTTATCTTCCGCAAGACACGTATTAGCTGCGCATATACCTCAAAATTTCACGATAATGTTCTTATCTCATTACACATATATTTGCTGAATAGGAAAATTATATTGAAAATCATGCAGTATAAACGCAGCTATTAACCGATACAATTTTGTAATTGTAATCGTGTATATTTCCCAATTTCAGGTTTGGCGATGGCCGTGCTAGGTCTGGCGATCGGTCTTTTGCTCGGCTTCGTTTTGTGGAACGGCTCAACACGCGTGCGGTACTGGAGGTATCCCTGGTCCAATATTCCATACGGGCTGGACACATAATTTGCATATTAAGAATTATAATACGAACAAACAACCAAACCACTGGACGACTTGACTATAATCAATTCTTGATAATCAATCAGTTTATTATTGTATGGAAGATAAGTACTCTTTAAAAATAGCGACCGATAAGTGCGTAATGTAATAGCTCAGCAGTGATAATTTCTTGTCCCGTTGTTTATGTACAATCTTAATTAAAGTTTGCTATCTACATAATCAATTAAATAATTTAGTGCGACAATTAATTAATCATCAATTTTGACAAGAGGAGGTTGTGCTCTATTTTTTAGTAGTTTTAATTTAATTATTAATTCGCTATTATTAATATTTATGATTAGTTAGGTAATTAAGCGATAATAAAAAATAGGGCACAACCACCTTTCCGCTAAATATTTATGGGTAATACATATTTATAGTAAATCTGAGTATTCATAATTTTAATCAAGACCAGTTTGCAACTAATTTGAATATTAATTAAAATTGTGTATACTATACTAACTACTCATCCAAACAATTTTATGATCTCATAATGTTTATCGATTGAATAAAGAAATAGAAATAGATAAAAAAAAATGATTTTATTTTTTGCGTGGAATTTTCACTGCAAAAATTATGCAAATCGTTCACACTAAACATAAAAAAGTACGTGTTACATGTTTTTTTTTATTCAATTTTTGCAAAATTTTAATTTTCTGGAAAAAATGCAAAATTTTGGATTTTGTACATATCGTTATGCTAAAAGGAAGAAAGACGTAGAATTCCCAAGATACCAAAAGTCATGCAATCGTTGTGCAATGCAACAGATGAAGAAAATTTTCATTTTCTTTCAACTTCAAGCTGTGGAAAAACTTTAAAGTTTTATTTTGTGGGCATAAAATTTTGAAAGTTTTTGAAATTAATAATTCATACTACTAATTGTTAGAAAAAGCTGAAGATCAAGGTAAGTAACAAAATATGCAATGATTATCAATCATTGATTATTTAATTAAATATTTTGAAGAAAAAGATACTTTATTTAAATTCGAATTTGAAATGACATAGGTAGATTTCAAATATGGCCCCACCAAAGTGTGCCCCATGCGTCCCCCTGAGCGATAAACCGGCCGACTCCTCCCTTCGCGATGCTGCCCTTGCGTCCACCATGTTGTCGCCGTATGGCGTAGCGCTGAAGTAAAAAAGTTGATAAGATCACTTATCTGTCATATTTAAAACGAACTATTAGTTGACGTTCATAAAATACTTAAGGAGAAATTGCAGATTTTCCCCCCTCGTTCCCCCCACACCCCATTTTTTAACATATGGCGCAAGTTGTCCAACAGACCGACCCGTCTTTCCCTCCCCCTTCGATGAACATTATATTATTTTATGAACGTTCCCTAATTCTAAATATAATTAATTTAATTAATAAATAATTAATTGTTTACTTCTTTGAACAGGAAAAAGGACGAGGAAGACGGACTTTTCATCCATACGGACTGCTACCTGTTTGCGGGTGACCCTGACCAGAAATGGCAAACGTTGATAGGAAAATATTGGATGCCGTCGAGCTTTGTCACTTTGGGAATAGGAAACATGGTGCTTACCAGATGTGAGGATATTTTTTAATGTGACCATTGGCCGCGGAAGGTGTGGGGACATGTGGGGACATTGACATTATGGGATAGGGGAGGGACGGGTTTGTATAACATGGGCAGATGATGCGGACATCGAATAACAGAGGGGACATTGTCCCTTTGTCCTCACGCTTTCGCGACCACTGGCCATTAATTAAGATGATAATTAACTGAGTATTGTGATTGCAAAAATTGTCGTAATTTAGGGTTATCCAATGTTCCCATTCGGGCGAAAGGGTCGATTTGGAAGATGCCCTTGGTCGCAGTTGTTGGCTGGGTTGGTGGCCTGAAATGTAGGGATTACCTCAGAGACTATACGGCCGAGAGGGATGCTCATATGCTGCATTATTGCAGGTAATCATGTAAATTAATAAATGCTATGAAATATTTAGTAACAATGGAGGTCTCCCAGCGTATGTTATCCGATTTTGAGCCGATAAGTCAATCGATCACAAATTTAATTAGGATGAAATTTGCGAAAGACACGATCTTCCAATGGACACGTTTGGCAGAGATATTTGCAATGCAAATTTTGCATCAAAAGAGGAGAAAACGCGCAATAAATGTGGAAAGTGTAAAATTTGTCGACTTTACGGCGCGTTTTCTCCTCTTCGGATGCAAATATCTCGGCCAAACGTGCCCATTGGGAGGTCGTGTCTTTCGTAAATTTCATCTTAATTAAATTTGTCATCGATTGACACTAGTTTTCTCAAAATCTGAGAGCATACGCTGGCAGACCTCCATTGTTATTGACACCGTAACCTTCCTTAAATTTAAAATCTATCAATTAAATTCAGACTCCATCCGAAAGATTTCCCACGGGAGAAACGTGTCCAGTACAAGGATTATTTGACCTACTGGTTCCCAATTCGTTGAAAGTCGACTACTTTCTCCGCTTATTTTTATATTGATTATTTACGAACTACAAATCTAAATATATATCAACATGCATTTAAATTTGTAATTAATTCTACGGGCAAAAATAAATTTCAAAACTTACACGTTTCAGTTTAATAGTTGAAAAATTTTGTGATTTATTTCACTATTTTTTTCATAAAAAAATTGACAATAGAAAAAATTCGATGTAAAGATGTACTAAAAGAGCACCCCTAAAAGTTTAAATTAATACATCAGTCTTAAAGAACTGGTCGTCCGTCAATTAATCCAGGGTTAAATCGCCGATCAAGTTCTCCTTCCCTTCGTCGTCAACTGATGGCGATGGCTGGGTTGCTTGATCGCCCGTTTTTGCCGCCTTGGGTGCTTCCTCTTCCTCACCTGGTGCTTCTTCCAGGTACAATTGATCAGAAACTGGATAGCGGTAATCCCCCACCTTGAAAACACCCTGGACAAAGTGCTTCTCAAAGAACTCCTCCCACTCCCGTGGACTCATGTCGTCACATGCGATACTATCCACGTACTTGATCATTTCCATGTACATGTCGGACTCTTGGGTCTGTAAATGACATGAATTTTTGTACAACTTTAATCATATTACCAGTGAATTAATGTAGGACTCGATGATTCAACACCAAAATCGGCACATTTTTAATCATTTCTCCGCTGTGGGAATTTATTTTAAAATTCTGGACGACAAACTTGTAGTCAATGAGTTGATTAATAGAATGGCGACGAGTTTTTAAGCCAGTTTCGAGCTGTCCCAATTTTTCTGAAGGTTTGTTAAACATGAGAACTTCTCCAAAAAGTGTCAAAGTCTGGAGTGTTTATTTGTTAAAAATTAACAAAGACTTGCTCTACAAATGCATCGTCCAGAATTTTAAAACAAATTCCCAGAGCTGAGAAATATGACTAAAAATGTGCTGATTTTGACGTTACGCAAAAATTGATCATTTATTATTCACGTACCACTTTTTTCTCTGCTTCCATCATTTTCTTAATGATATCATCCAATTCGTCCCGTTCGTTCATCAAACGGCTCACCGTGGTTTCGATGACTTTCAAATATTCCTTTTTGTTCTCCGAGTGGCGACTTGCCGCGCCTGTCTTCTGCCGCTCATTTCCCGCCTCAGCCTCGTCCCCGTCCGCGCCATGGTCGCCAACCACGTCTTCGTCAATGTCAGGCTCGTCGTCTGCACCAGGCAAAAAATCAGCTTAATGCTTAAAATTGTCATAATTTTGCATAATTATTCTCTCACCACCTGCCCCTTCTGGTTTTTCGGCTTCTTCGCCCTCCTGTTTCGGCAACATCGGTCCGAGCAATTTTGCTGCAGCAGCGACGGATTCAGCATCCTTGGTCAAATGCATTTTGTTCAAAAGAGCCTGATAGACTCCAACGTTCGTGTGGGATGCGATCAGCTCGGTCGGATCAATTGATTCCGCCAAAGTTTGGAGGCGATTAGTGCACGCCTAAAGAGAATCAGTACAATTTTTTATTAGCCTTGATAAGTATCTTACCAAAAAATCAAGTAAAAATTAGCAACATACCGCATTCCAGGCGTTAATAGCAGATTCCTCGCGGATTCCAGAAGACGTGCTGGGTTGCGGTTGCTGACCTTGCTGTTCAGGAGAAGAATCCATTGTTGACACCCACAAAGATACTGAAACGATTTGGCTAGAGGAGTAAAGAAAAGTCAGATTAGATAATTGTACTTTCACACAGTGGTCGCGGAGGCGTGGGGACAATGTTCCCCCGGTTATTCGATGTCCCCATGTTATACAAACCCTTCCCTCCCCTATCCTACAATGTTAATGTCCCCACAGCTTCCGCGACCACTGCTCTCACACAGCCACCAAATCAAATTTATAAAAATTCTATCAAAAATGTCAAAACTTGAATCAAAATCAAACCACTCAGAGTAAAAATTACAATTATAATGGAACCAAGTATTAATGACAAAAGATATCATTCTTAACCCCTTATCAAACCCATACCTCAATAAAAAACTAATTAAATTTCACCCCAATTATAAAATAAAACGAAACCAAAAAAAAAATCCAACCAAAAACCATCAAATTTGAGTAAATCAACAATAAAATAACTTTACAAACCTTAAACCTCAAATAAAAAGGATACCTAATGACTCTTTTTACAAAAAAACAAATTTCTAACCTTTCAAAATTTCAAAAATTTACGAAACACTCAAAAAAATGAGGAGCGAAAGGAAGCACGCACGCAAACCACGAGGAGAGTAAGAAATAAATGCCAACGGTCAAATTTTTTGGGGTGGGGCAACTTGAGACGCGGGAGAGTCAAATCTTTTATTTACCAATGCCAACTGTACGGTTCACACATCATCACTTTTCCATATTTTTTGTGGGCGAGATTCCAGCAGCAGCCTGTCAAGTCTTATTCATCGTCACCTGTTCTCGTCCATTGTCAAATTAGTCACTGGGTCAATTCAATGATAAGACCTTATCTATCCAAATAATCAACCTTTCCTTGTGCGTAAGCAAGAGAGACAAGAGAGAGAAAAAACAGTAGTGAATTGATTTGCAAAAAGGTACAAAAAAAGAAAAAGATAATTTTTTCTATATTTAAAAAATAATTAGCTATTAAAATTATCTGTTTTTCAGGCTTCCACATCATCCATCACGATGGAACCTGGAGGTGCGGTAGCAGTAACGGGATCGGAAGGAGGAGAAGTTGCATCGGCCTTTTCAAACGGCGGCGACGTGGACGGCATGAAGGGAATTGAGGTCACTGCAAAACAGATTGTCGACCGGATAAGCAATAGTACGGAGAATGCGAAGGGGAACAGGTCACGGACGAGTAGCAGCAGTACGAATAAAGTGGGTGGAGATATGGAAATGTATTTATTGGAGACGTGCATTTGAATTAATAATAATTTGATTTGCAGGACGGAGATCTCGTCGCAACGCCGCTGACGTCGAATGAATCGGCGATCTCATCTTCTTCCGCGGGGGGTGACGTGAAGAGAAACAGTTTAAGTAAAACGGTGCGACAGCTCTCGATCGCCGGCGGAGTTGTGCCAGACGGACAAATCTCGGCGGAACAGAAGGCAGTGGAACAGTTGTTGAAAGCTGTTGAGGTATTAATTTAATACGTCATCTTTAATGTATCATTTTCTAATTAATTATATAACACTCTTCTTCACTAAATAAGGTTTTATTTGATTTTATTATGCAAATAATGTAGAAATGGGTTCAAGAAGCGCAACAAGAGTCGGAATCTGAAAGTGGGGATAAGCCCAGCGGCGGAGTTAAGGAACTGGACAATCTCCACTGGGTGTACAGCATTGAATCATATCTTCGAAGTTTAGACACTGACTGGACCTCCCAGAAAGCTCTCACGCACAAAATTGCATCCCAACTTTTGATTTGGTTGAAGCAATTGTTTCATTTTTCGTGAGTCTAAAATATCTTATGGGATAATTCATTCGTCCAGTTTATTAGTTCATGTAGAACTAATCGCCAAAAAAAATAAGTACATTTTTAACCATGTTTCCGCTGTGGGAATTTATTTTAATTGACGAATTTGTAGAGCAGGTTATGCCAATTTTTAACAAATATGCACTCCAGATTTTAACCTTTTTTTTAAAGTACTGTTAATAATAAACTCTGTGCGGTGGCAAAAAGGAGATGGGCGATCCATGAAAAGGTCACCCACATACCACGTAACAAAAAAACTTTTAAACTTTGCCAGTATTTAGAAAAAAATAATAGCAAATTAATTTTCCCATAAAATTTTTCGATATTTCACCTCTGTGACCTGTTATTAAGGGGTAAAACTTATTAATTTGAATACGTTTGTTTGCTTATGTGCATGATAAGTTGATAACGATTTAGTCGAATTTAATGAGGGACCGGGTTATTGCGCTGGGAATTGAAAGTTGACAAGGTGTACCATATATATGTATGTGTGTCAATTTTTTTAAACTCAATCACCACAAACAATGCAGAAAACCAGGGATTTCGGTGGAACTAGATTTCGGGCTAGCGGAGGAGTGGAGGCGTGATTTGGCGATCGCGCCGCACAGGGCTACAATAATAAAATATTATTTAACACCGGTTTATTTCTATTTTGACGTAAAAGTCATTCAATTTCGTATAAGTTGTACGTCGAAACAAAAATAAACCGGTGTAAAATAATATTTAGTGTAGCCCTCCGCGCTCCCAAGCAAATAACCTTGTTTCCTCCGCAAGTCCGAAATCCCTAATTTTCTGCATTGTTTGTGGTGATTGAATTTAAAAAAATTGGCACACATATGGGACATGTTGTCAACTTTCAATTCCCAGCTCAATAAACCCGAACTCACGCTGGATTAAGGTACTAATTTTTTGTTACGCGGTATGTGGGTGACCTTTTCATGGATCGCCCATCTACTTTTTGCCACCGCACAGAGTTTATTATTAACAGTAGGAGATTTCAAGTTTATTAAACCTTCAGAAAAATTGGAACTCATCGAAACTCACTTAAAAACTCATCGGCATTTTATTAATCAACCTACAAATTTATCGTCCAGAATTTTAAAATAAATTCCCAGAGAGGAGAAATGATTAAAAATTTGCTGATTTTGGTGATTAGTCATCAAGTCCTATGTTAATAATCTTTATTTATGCAGGGAGAAAGACAAGGCCGACGAGTACAACAGTATTCATCCACACTGGGATATTAACGGCGGCCTGAGTGCTATGACTCAGATGAGTTTGTACCTGAAATTCCCCAACCTTTACTCTCTTGGATATCAGCATTTTCAAGAGGAAGGGAAAACTCCAATGATCTACTGTTCCGATGAACTTATCGGTCACCAAATTTGCTCCAAGGTAAAAAAATATATTCATAATTTTGCTATGAATAATAATTATTCAAAACTTTAATTATGTACCTATTTCCCTGACAGATTGGCTTGCCTTATAATTGCGTCAGTGTTGTCGACTTCACTCAAAAGATGTGGATTGAACAGCTCGAGACTCGTTTGAAATCTGACATTAAGATGGGAAGAGTGCCTGTCGCGTTGCTGATGAATACGGGTTATTATTACTTTTCTTGTTTGTACATTGTTAGAAAACTGGTATTAAATCATCACTGACCGGAGTATGACTCTACTGGCACTGGTAATCACGGGCATTACCGTTCAGTAATGTTGTGATAATGAAAAATTTACGACTGAGAAACCAACTACGACCAATCCGGTAGGAAGCTAGTACCCAAGCAGTACCAGTACGGAGTATATATGTGACTCTACCAGATTTTAAACAATATATCATTAAGGCTTGTGTGGGATACAATATAAATTTATTTTGTTTTATTGCAGCCGTGCAAAATTTGGAGAGGGGCGTAAAACTTGCAGAAGCGCATAAAATCTGGGTGCATTTTTACGGAAACAATGTCTTGGCGTATTTCTTGAAACGAACGGAATCAAGCAGTTTGGGCTGCAGCTTTACGCTGGACTTGACCCGATGGTTGAAAAATCCTAAACTTCCATATTTGGTAAATGAGTGTAAATTACTACTTGATTGGATCCAATTCTCTGCAATGTAAGCTAACTCTTCCATCCATTCCTTGTTCACAGACTTTGTACAAACGGCCTGAAAAAATTGAGCCAAAGATTTTGGAACTGTGCGAGTTGGGATCGCCAAGAAGCGAAATTATGTGTTTTACTCCTTGGTTTGTTGCTCACGTGAGTACAAAAATTAACAAATAGTTTATTAACTCTTTCTTATTTAATTAATCATTTCGATCCAGGTTTTCGGTAAAACGAGGCTGATCGGACTGGTCAACGAGGCCATTCACCGGGGCAAATTTTTGCTAGAGATGGTCCAACGGTTTAGCCCGCTTGTTGTAGTGGTGAGCAAATAATTTTCGTATGACTCGATGTCTCATGACCAAAATCGTCTAAATCAGCACATGTTTAATCATTTCTCGGTTCTGGGAATTTATTTTAAAATTCTGGACGACAAATTTGTAATCAGTGAGTTGATTAATGGAAAGGCGACGAGTTTTTTGAGCCAGTTTCGACGAGTTCCAATTTTTCTGAAGGCTCCTTAAAATTGAAATCTCCTCCTTCAAAAAGTGTCCAAATCTGGAGTGTATATTTTTAAAAAATTAGCAACGACCAACTATACAAATTTGGAGTCCAGAATTTTAAAATACCGAAAAATGTAAGACTGCGAAGTCGAAATAAATTTCGTGAAGAAATAAATTTAATTAACAATTTTATGCAGGTAATACATTAGTCTTGACCCAAAATCTCAATATTGATTGAGGATAATAATACAAAAATAATAATAAATTCCCAGAGCCGAGATTAAAAATGTGCCGATTTTGACAATTTGGTGATAAGTCAAAGTCACACATAAGCCAGCCAGCAGCTCATTAATACATGATTCTGCTACTTTACAGCCTAATTGGTCCACCCTCAGCGATGGAAATGTGATACTTTCAACACTAACATTCCAATTCAACCCAGGAACGAAACCCCACAAATCCTCCGTTATTGCCTCTGGACCACCCGACGTTGTCAAAGTCCACAAGCACAGCCCGCAATATTTGGACACGCTGAATTCTTGGGTAATAAACGTTTCAAACGAAAAAAAGTGGTGTCAGCAAAATTACGCCACACAAAAATTATGTAATTCATGACCTCGTCCTCACCGTAATGGGTTGGTTGGATGTCAAAAATATTGACAGGGTTAATTTTGTGGTGAAATTTCCTTTTCCAAAATTATCAATGCAAATTATGACCCAATTAATTATCGAGCTCAGTCTAGAACTAATAAGTAGGGCGAAAACGGCGTTTGATTATATTGAGGCGTTCTTCTTACGGACGAAACGACCACAATTATTAACCTGCTGACCCCACTTAATAATGATTTTACCTAGAAATTCATACCATTTGCCTAATTTTTCTTCCTTCCCCAGCTCTACCACATAATGGAACGCGACCTTAAGGACATCCTCCCCTTGGAGTTCGTCTTTGTCGAAACGCGCGGATGGAACATTCACATAGACATCATCCGAACCAGGAAACACGGTCCGGAAGACGAGGCTGCTATCATTACCGCATTCGAGAACCACATGCACGTCTTGCAGGCTACGGTCAATCAGAAAATCAAGTTCCAAAAGTTGGTGGAAGACTCCGAAGAGATGGATTGGGTCAACAATGAGAACCACTGGGCTGGTTTGGGCGCTGTTCGCTATATCCCATCCTGCCACCGAACCAATGCTGTCCAAGCAGATCCCGCTGTTCCTCCTCCAACGGAACAGCAGCAGCAGCCGAACGGACAAGTCGTTGCCGACGAGGCGTCTTCCACTCCTCCGCCACCAGCAGCAGCTCCTCCCGCACCAAAGAAACTTGCCGCTCTGCCCGTTCCTGATGAGAAGACGAAGGACGAAATTGACCACTTGAACGCCCAAATAGTCAACAAATTGAGGGCGATTGACTCTGCGTTTTCTCTCGGAGAGGCAACCACGGGCGAGTGGTGTGTACAGTTCGGCATGGTCACGGAAGAGACGGACGTGCAAGAACTGGTCCGACTCGTGGCAGCTACGGGGCAGGAGATTGAAGAAAGTTCAGAGTTTTTTAATAGGATGTCCGAACTAGTCAGAAAAGGTGGGCGTCAGTAGAAATGCACTGTTAGAAATCCAGTATTAAAATAATACCAGGCGGTATTCGTATATGTATAATTCTGAAGAAGTGGTATTGATATTGTAGTAATAGCTCAGTATTAAAGTTTTACCATATCCGTAGCAGATTTTTACGGACCGGTATACTTTTAATACCAAGCAGTAGCAAGTTTAATACCGAGAAATCAATACCTGCCTAACTATACCAGATTTCAAATAATATTACCTAAATAAGCGTAATTTATGTATCCTTATCAATTTTTTCTATGTATGCAGGCATTCATGAAGCAGAAGAGGAATTACGCAAAGAGAGCGAAGAAGCATTATGGGAGGAGGGCATTTTACGAAGAGTTCCTATCGTGGGCACGTTCGTTTCGTGGTTTTCACCCCCCACGAAAGAAACTGGAGTTCGGGTATGAAGAAAATATTTACTTTTAACGTATGTGTAGTTAACAATATTTCGTAATATTTAACACTATTTGTCTCTTTGCAGGGGCGAGCTTTAAATCTGACCCAGGGTAAAGTCGAGAGCACAGAAAATATCTACAAGTACCACATGCAAGTCAAGGCTACCACCTTCAACAGCAAGACGCAACAGGAAGACAGCAACAAAAAATGAAGATTGCAATAATATCATGCCAAATTCTTCTTGTATAGAAAATCAATTTGTATTGTTAAATTGTTATTATGAACATGTCCGAATATCTGATTAACCAAATCTACAAAATATTACCAGCTTTGTTTAGTACATTCAATTTACTAAACTCGTACATATTTATAAATATGCCTCGCATGAAATATGTTAATTTAAATATTATGTAACAATCCTCCAAAAATTTATCATGATTATATTTCAACTTTGGATTAGAATCTTGTAGAATTAGAAACTTTCCTGTTTTTTTATATTTAATTCCACCAATTTTATCCGAATTATTTATGCAATATTGCAATTTTTACGTAATTATGTATGCGCTAATTTCTACATTCTCCACCAGGCCAAGTATCTTTGTGATCTTCATTAAGTTTTAAACGTATAATGTAAGTAGTAGATATAATTTTGGTGCAAATTTCTAGTTGTAATCAACCCAGCAGGTGTCTATTACCAGTAGTGTAGCAGTTTTTAAGTAAAAAAAGTGGTCAATTTTAATCCTAATCCGGTCAGAGCTTTAAGCAAAATATTCTTTCGACAATCTTGGATTTGCGAAACTCTAAATGTTTACTTTATCCTGTTTAAAGTTAAGAAATATGTGTAATAGGGAGTTAGGAAACCTACGTTTTTAAAATTTCGGGAACTTTCCCTGCCTCCAAAATTTCCGGAAACAAAAATATTTAGAGGACAGAGTGATTTCAAGATCGGCTCCAGAAATTCTGAAACAGTGAAAGTTTTGGAAATTTTAAGACGCAGATTTACTAATTGCCCAATGAATGTTTGTCTCTTTATATACTGAATTTTATTTATCTTTTAAAACATGTAATACAAATACTTTGTCCGAATGCAATAATATTTAAAAACAAAATAATGAACATTTTAATAAACCAAGAATTTCAAGAAATTTGTCCCCTATTTTTTGCCCTTTTCATACTCCATTCGTTTCAATTCTCTCCGGAGAATCTTCCCACTCACAGTTTTCGGTAATGTGTCGACGAATTCGACCTGTAATTAGTTAATTTATCAATTAACTATAATTGAGGTCTCCCAGCGTATGCTCTCCGCTGTTTGAGAAAATTAGTGTCAATCGATGACAAACTTAATTAGGATGAAATTTGGGAAAGACGCTATCTCCCAATGGACACGTTTGGCAGAGATATTTGCATCCCAAGAGGTGAAAACACGCAGTAAATTTGGAAAGTGTAACATTTGTCAACTTTAAAGTGCGTTTTCTGCTCTTTGGATGCAAATATCTGTGCCAAACGTGCCCATTGGGAGATAGCGTCTTTCGCAAATTTCATCCCGATTAAATTTGCGACCGATTGACACTAATTTGCTCAAAATCGGAGAGCATAGGCTCCTATGGGAGACCTCCATTCTTAGTTTAGATTCAGTTTTGTGCACCTACCTTTCTCGGATATTTGTACGGAGCGGTATGTTTCTTGACAAAGTTTTGGATTTCCGTGACCAGTTTGGCTTCATCCTTTTCGGCAATGGTTTTATACTGTGGCGTTAAAATGATGAAGGCTTTGACCACTTCACCTCGCTGGGGGTCGGGTGACGCCACGACGGCACTTTCCACCACGGAGGGATGCGTTTGAAGGACGGACTGTAAAAAAACAAAGGTCAGTATTAATTCTACAGCCTGTGTTTTTCAGGTGCCAGTAACCACTTGCAAGAAATATTTAACAGGGAGAAAGAAAGTGGTTTCTTGCAGCTAAATATTTTGACCTGCAAGAAACAACTAGTTCACAGAGCGCGTTGCTTGATGGGGAATATTTCTCGCAGTTTCTTACAGGTTACATTTCTTGTTTTGCAGGAGCAAGAAATGCTTGCTACTTGCAAAAGATAACGGGAAGAAAATGTTTTTTACAGGTATTTATTTTGACCTGCAAGAAATGCAAGCTACTTCCCATCCCTATACTTCATACGGCTCGCGGCGCATATTTGTTGCACTTTCTTACACCTCACATTTCTTGCAGCTAACTTTTCTTGCATGTGTTACTTTCCACTGCAAAAAAGTGGTTTCTTGCAGGTGAATATTTTGACCTGCAAGGCGCAAGAAACTACGCCCGCCGCTGTAAATAATAAGATTCGACTCGCCTCAATTTCCGAGGGACCAATCCGATATCCGGCCGACGTGATGACATCGTCTGCCCTTCCGACGAGGAAAACGTGTCCACTGTCGTCCTTATAAGCTCTGTCGCCGGTGAGGTATACGTCTCCCACGAAGACGCTGGAATTCTTCTCGGTGTCCAACTCGGGCCCATTTGCCCCCTTTTTCAGATAACCTTTAAACAGGCCGACAGGTCGGACAGGTTTCACTCTCAAGGCGAGCTGACCCTCCGTTCCGATCGGGCATTCTTTACCGGCGTCGTCCACAATCTGTGGAGGAGAAATGGATCAAATTGTGAGGTCAGGATTTTATAAAGGTTTGTCAAAATCGTTAAAATAAGCACATTTGTAATCATTTCTCTCCTCTGGGAATTTATTCTAAAATTCTGCCTGACAAATTTGTAGAGCAGGTCGTTCCCAATTTTTTAAAAATATACACTCCAGATTTTGGCACTTTTTGAAGGAGGAGATCTCAAGTTTAGGAAGCCTTCAGAAAAATTGGAACTCGTCGAAACTGGCTCAAAAAAACTCAACGCTATTCCATTAATCAACTCACTGACTACAAATTCGTCGTCCAGAATTTTAAAATAAGTTTCCAGAGGCGAGAAATGATTGTGGAGATTTTGACAATTTTAGTGATGAGTTATCAAGATCTTACCCGAATGTTCATAAATCCATTCGCAATCCCGATCGAATCGTCTTTCGAGCTTATCTCGCAATCTACTGCGGTCATTTCGGTTTGACCGTAAGCTTGGTGGAGTACGACGCCTTAAAAAAATGTGGGAATCATTTAATTTAATATTAATATTGCAGATTTGCAGGATTTCTGAAGTAATTGGAAGGTTTTCAAGGTTGAATTAGAATTAGAATTTGGGGTGTGAATTTGAATTTGAATTAAGATTTGAAAATTTTAGATTTCATTACGAATTTTTCAGATTTGAAAAATTTGAATTTGATCTGATCTGAATTTGGATTTGAAAAATTTGGATTGAAGTTTAAATTTCAATTCGAACTCGAATTTGAATTTCAATATTTTTTGCTACCCGTATTTTTCTGCCAGGATCTGATCACTTCCGGACTAACTGGTTCCCCAGCTCCGATACAGTAGCGGAGTTTAGGAAATTTGAAGAGATTGGGGTCCGTTTCTTGGACCATGCTTTTGTACAGCGTGGGTGGCGCGCAGAACGTCGTGATGGGCTTTTCACTCAGCGCTTTTAAAACTTTGGGCGCTTCGAAACGTTCCATCTGAAAATTAAATTAGTTAATTAATTTCATAATAGTTTTCAAAATGTGATAATCAAAAATCAAATCCAGTCCAGTACCTGATGAATATAAACTGCAGATCCTACCGTCCAAGGGGCAAAAAAGTTGGAATATGACGATTTCGCCCAACCAGGGTCGGAAATATTCCAGTGTAAATCGGTCTCCTTGAGGTCCAACATTCTAAAAAAATAAATTTCTGATTATAAACAAATTTTTCGAATTTGATCATTTGCATATGCACCCACTTGACGGTTGTGTAGTGACCTATCCCGTAGGAAGAATGAGTGTGTGCCACCTCCACAAAATATCGTATGTAAAACAATTCCCAATCTTTTATGAAAATGATTGTACACAAATTATTACCATTTTCGGTTTTCCTGCAAAAATGGAATTTGTTTTTGGAATTTTAAAGTTTAAAAAATTTCAATTTTAAACTTAAATTGGACATTTACCCGTCGTCCCGGAGGTGAAATAACCCTGAGCAACTTGATCACTTGGGGTGTCCAAATGTCTAAAAGAGTCGATCTCATTGGCAGAAATGGTCTCGGCGAGGCTGTGATAATCTATCCAGTCGTTTTTCAGGGGGACAGGTTTCTTATCGCCAGTTCGGATCACAACCTGTCATCAACAGGAATTTCATTTCATGCTTCCAAAAATTATGCAATTTTTGAAAACCTTTTTCAATCCAAAGTCCACCAAACCACGATACGCATCGTCAACCTTGTCCATATTTTCCTCATCCGTGATAATCATTCCGGCTCGAGAGGCGTCCAAGCGGTACTCGATATCTTCCGAGGTCAACATCGTCGTTCCAGGACAGAATATCGTGCCCACCCGGATCGCTGAGAGGTGGAGGTACCTGCACGGGTCAAATTATCAATTTTGGGGAGGATCACATCACCACCACCAATTTTTAGAGGGGTGGGGGGGGAATACTTTGCCAAAATATAGTATTTTGAGCTATCTGTTCTTCCCAGGGTTTGGATTTCCGGGGGTGTTACACCCACAAAAAGACGAAAATCTACGCGGAGAAGGCAACAGTCAGTCGAAAATACAGGTTTCATGCAAAAATTAACTTTTTATCGATGTAAAAATATATTATTTTAAACAAAGTCTGAACATAATGTATTTTGACCGCAATAAAAAGTCAATTTCTTCACAAAACCTGCATTTTCGTATGACTGCTGCCTTCTCCACGTTGATTTTCGTCTTTTTGTGGGTGCAACAGCCTCGGAAATCCAAACTCTGGGAAGAACGGGCTCAAACTACTGTACACATTTTGAAAAAGCATTCCCCCCCCCCCCCGGATTTTTAGAGACAATTTTGCACTATTTACCACCATTCTGGAAGTCGTGACAAGATGGTGAGGACATACGGCGGAGGAGACCCTTCCCTCAAATTGAGCATGTTCCTTAGAAAAATCGCGGAACGGAGCGATTCCTTCTGAACTTCGGAGAAACTCCATTTCCGGTCTTGACTGGGGTCACCGTTATCAAACCATAAAGCGGTGGCAGTAGGTCGATGAAGCTAAAATACATACATAAAATAATTACCTTATCAATTACCTTAATTACGTCTTATCTTACCGCATGCCGGTCGAAAATATCTCGCGAAAAGTTAAACTTCTCCGGAGCTTTGCCCTTCTTCCAGATTTCTTCCAATTCCGTAAGAATCTGGTCACCAAGCCCGGTATTTGCGGTGGTGCTAAATTGTCGCAATTTTGCGAATCTAAATGTTGGTCTTAATCGTAATATTCGCATTTTTGCGAAAAGAAAGTGAAGCAAATTTTATAATCACAGATTTTCTCCTTGTTATGTAATCAACTCGAACTCGTGCAATGCATATCTTACACAATTCCAGTCCAGCCGTATAACAGGTGAAAAGTGGTGGATTAAATGGGATATAAAGCCCTGCTGTCATCATAATAAACTGTGTGAGACGGGTTTTTAATGGACTGGACTGCTCGATCAATTGTACTTGTTTATGTACATGTATACAGGAAAGCATGGCATATAGCAGTAAGTAAAATGTGGTTTAAACGGCTAGACAGACATATGTACAAATGTACAAATGTGCAAGCATATAAAAATATATATCCATCCCCATTAAACCCAATTGTTCCGTGAAGTCAAGGTCTTTTATTTTTGCACGAAGCCAAAACCAAGCAATATGTATGTACATAAACTGCATGCAAAAACCTATGCAATTCTAAATACAATTTTCTAAAAGTTTTTTGATTTTTGAAAAATAATTCGAAATTGAAGAACAGAATTCCATCGTTTTTCAAGTATACACACATATGTAATTTATTTAGGTGCAAAATTCTAAAAATCCTTAAGCTTTACAACTTTTTTAAATACGTAGGTATTTAATTCGATATTTAAGAACAGTTTCGTCTCACTTTGCCACTTTATCACTTTGCCTATGTACATATGTAATTTATGTATGTAGTACTTATACTATGGACGTTTGACATCTCTAATTTTCTTCAATTTTCTGAAAATCCTGTAATTTTTGAAGAATAATTTGATTTTGAAGAACAGTTTTCCATCGTTTTTCAACACACACACAAATTATGAGTCATAAGAAAACTGTTATCTTTCTCGTGTCTCCTCAAGTTTCATGCGTCTTCTTACGTAAATATTTTAAGAGTAATATTTACTCTAAAGTAAAGTCAACCCCAGACAAAGCAAATATTGGACAATGCTCTTCTTTCAATCGTGAAGTGGAGGACACAATCTCAATTTCCGTGAGACAGGTCAAAGTCAAAACAATTCTGAGTCAAAATGGTTTCATTTTCTAAAACGCAACTTGTCACTAAAGCAAAACCTTGAACTTTATAAATACGTAAATCGTACAATTCTTTAACCACAACTTTAGCAAATTACGCACTTTTCCACTCAAAAGTGGATCATATGACGTATCTAAATACGAACGAATTAAACGAATGAATCAATACTTTTCTTTTAATTACTCGTAATCTGGAGCAAATCCAATCCAAATTATACGAGAGACACATTAATTGCTGCAATTCTTCCGGAAGGCGTCATACTTCTCATGTCGTCAGCACAGTTAATAATTTTTTTAACGATCGCACATTAAATTCAGGGCTGAAACTGGACCAAAATTTGTTAATATTTATGTAAAATCGGTAAATTCTGATGCTGACTCATTTTTATACGGAAAACATCATATTTATCATCACAGGTAATATTTTTGATGAAATTACGGGCTGAAAATGGGTAAAAATTTGTCAAAATTTATGTAAAATTGGCAAATTCGAACCAATTATCAATTATTGTCTAATTAAGTACAGCTGGCTCAATTTTGATGTGGAAAGTGTCATATTTTTCGATACAGTTAATATTTTTAATGAAATTCAAAGCTGAATATGGACCAAAATTTGTCAAAATCTGTGTAAAACAGGTGGATTCTCCCAGAAAACAAGAAATGCATCTGTATATATGCTTTAATATTTCTCATAATTCCACAAATTCTGCTTTTGGCTTACTAATTATACAAATATGTACATATGAATGTACTCCACGCCAGCAACTCGCCATATTTACCATAAACCGGCCTTATCTGCTACGAAACTACGTCGTGTGTTTCATGGAAAAAAATGCATGGAAAAGACCTTCTTTTACTTCTTGCTTCGCAATATTATAATCCAATTCCATCCAATATTCAATGCAAACAAACCCATAAATCAAATCTCTCTCTCTCTCACTGAACTTTACACTCTTAAAAATCTGGTAGAGTCATATATTTGGTAATAACTTCTTACCGGATTGGTAACAGTTTGTTTCTGAGTGGTAAATTTGTCATTATTACACAACATTACTAAACTGTAATCCCCATTATCACCAGTACCGCTAAAGTCATTTACTCCGGTTAGTAATGATTTAATACCAGTTTTCTAAGAGTGCAAGTCCAAATCCATGCTCTGAAACTTGATTGATTGATACGTATAAATGTAAATCTGCCATCTTGACTAATTATTTACATAAATTGTTAAAGAGTAGACAAGAACAAATGTCCCCATTTTTTCGAAAAGTTTCCATTTCATAAAAATTGGAATTTCACCACTATTTATAAAACTCCTTTAGATTTCAAGGTTTCTAGAAATTCTGGTATTTTTCACTCTATTCATGTTTGCTTATAACCTTGCCATGTTCAGTGTAAAAGCTCGTCGGATGATGATGTGTACCTCTCTGATTTCCGTAAAATTCCAGAATTTATATGGATACATATTGATTCTTGGTATTAGTGCAGCCGTGTCCTTCTCCTCATACAAATCCACACCACCCAGATCCAATTTTACCAGAATATTAAACCTATCAGTGTACCCAATCGATACATATTTTAAATCAACAAGTGGTCAACAAGATAGCAAAACATATTTTTATTTGTTCATTTTCCGAATAAAAAGGGGGACGAAAGCCGGACCTCGGCTCACTCACTTTTTGGATTTTCATTCTTCAGTCAACCTCACCAACTAGGAAATATTGTTTCCGGAAACTTATTTAAATTCCCGTCTTCAGAAACTTTAAGAAGGAAACTTTTCCTCGAAATACTTAATAAAAAATTGACACGAAGCTAGGAAAAAAATCGACAAATATGAATAAACTCCTGCTTCTCCAGACTGCTTTCAAGCTCAAAATATTCTCAGTGGTAAAAAAAATACAAAAATTATGAGTTTTCCGAAAAATCAAATTAATGCATGGATGATTTTTTTAGATAGGAAAAAAATGCAATTATGAATTTAAATATGTAATTTATGAAAATTTATGGAAACTTTCATGTCATTTTCCTCCTAAATTTTGTAAAAATGTTCTATAAGATTTTTTAATTTCTCTCTCTGTTCACTGAATTTTTCGAAATTTGTAAAATTTGTTCCCCAAAATTTTAAAACTAATTTAATTTCTACTCTATTTACTTAATTTATGTCCCTGTTTTTTCCCCTAAATTTGTAGATGTTGGGTCTCGTCAACGTCTTCCTGACGGCGCAATATTACGAACAAGAATCCGTTTTTGAAGTCTTCCTCTTGGCCAGTGTCGCCGTGACGTTTGCCATTTCCGTCATGTATCTCTCCGCCGTCCACTATCTGGGAAGGTCATACACACTCACCGTTCGAAAATGCGTAAGTACTTATTTAACAAATATTTTACGTCAAAATCATTTATCAGTGTAACATTGGCAGCGTTTCGTTTCTTGTCGGTTTGCTACATTTCTTGCACTGCAAGGAAAGGAAAGTGCATAAAAAGCGGGGTGCAAGAAACTGGGAGAAAGTGCAAGAAATGTGCGCTAGAAACTGCATGAAAATGCAAGAAACAGCAAGAAATATGCGCCACCTAGCCACATGCAGTATGAAATATTTACAGCGGCGTGGCGTAGTTTCATGCGCCTTCAATTTCTCCCAGGTCAAAATCGCTGCAAGAAACCGATTTTCTTCGCAGTATTTCTTGCAAGTCGTTACTTATGTACTTGAACTTTATGAAATTAGTCATAATTTGTTAAAATTTGTAAATAATAGGACGCCGCGATCCACTTTGTCATGGGCGCCATCAGTTTTTCCGTGTGGACCGTATTCCTCATTCTCATGATGCAAATGAAGACGGGACCCTTGTGCGCCATCACCGCGAAGGACGGCGACCCTGCCCGTGAAGAACAAGAATTTCAGTGCTTTAGTCGAATCGCGTTGAGAATTGTGCTCGGGGTGAGGATAATTAAAATTAAAACTATTCATGAAAATCTATCAAAGTTTTTCATGAAAATTCTTCAAAATTATACATGAAATTGTTCATGCTGTTTCATGAAAAACCTTCAAAAGTTTTCATGCGAAATGTTCAAGCATAGAATTTTGAAGAGTTTTCATGAAAAAAGGTCCAAGAATGTTTATGATCAAATTCTTCACTTTTCATGAAAATTCTTGAACATTTTTCATGGAAATTCTGTAAAATTGTGTATGAAAATTCTTGAACATTTTTCATGGAAATTCTGTAAAATTGTGTATGAAAATTCTTGAACACTTTTCATGAAAATTCATCAACAATTTTCATGAAAATTCTACACAAAATTTGTCATGATAATTCTTCAAAATTTTACCAACATTGTAACATTTCTATTTCATTTTGCAGGTAATGTGCATCATGAACAGCGTCATTTACGGAATCATCTGCTACATCTTGATCTCTGACGATACGCAGTACGAAATTCTCTAAAAACAGCATCTGCTCATCATAATTAACTTGTACATAGTTTCATAATTTACTAATTAATTAATTTTACTAATTAATCTTGACTAAAGTTTAAGTTGAATAGTGTTTAAGTTATGAAAATAATAATGTCAAATTTAGAGATTTTATTTTTTATTTTCTTACTTATAAACTTTTAACGTATGATAAAACTGAATAATTTTTAAGCATTATATCCAAAAACGTGCCCATATTTTTTAAATGGGATTGATAATTTCTTAATAAGTCAATAATTTTATCCTTACGACATATTTACCATTATAATTAAATACCTTTGCTATGAATATTTTACATATGTGATTAATGTGATACTTACGTTGTGGCCCACAACTTGTGGGTGGTAAATAAAATATAATCTGATTTTACAGAGCAAAAAAAAACTAGAGCATTGTGTTGCATAAGAAAGTAAACAGATTTTTTTTACATACGGGGAGTAGACAGTGGCCGCGGAAGCGGTGGGGACATCGGGGGACGTTAACATTGTAGGATGGGGAGAAGGAGGGGTTTATATGTATAACATGAGCAGATAACGGGGACATTAAGAAATCGTGGGGACATTGTCCCTCTGTCCCCACCCACGCTCATACCTGTTCACTTTCATTCATTTGACTGATTATGATGGTGAATGATAGTGAATAAAAATGAATTTCCAGTCGTTTGAGTGAAAATGACTGAAGGATTCCTTCATTTCATATGAATGACTGTGAATGAAAGGATTTTTCACTCATTTCATTTTTCACCCTATGTTGAATACATGGGGCCATGTAAGAAATGAAGCCAGATGAAGTGAAGTGAAGTGAAATGAAATGAATTTGAACAAAAATGACTGAATGTGAATGACAATCTTCGGTCAAAAATCGGGATGACTGACTTTTGAATGAAAACTAAATGTTTGAACAGGTATGCCCACCCTTCCGCGGCCACTGGTAGACCGACATATGTACATACCTATAAATTGGATAATTGAGAGAAGAATCACTGGATTCTGACGACGACGACGAGATGACAGTGACAAAGCGTGCCAGGATTACACTGCTCATTTATGGATCGAAGAAGGATGATGACGAGATCTCAATCACTCTACAATTTTTCAGTGTCAAGACGAAATCCGATTGGCATCATCATACTTTAAAGTCAAGAAGAGACCAATATTAAGCCATCTTGTCATTGAATAGCCCCCAAGTAAACAAATTGCATTTTTACGACGATGTACTTATCAGGAAATAATTTGCGAATAAGTAATTTCATGATCATTTCGTCCGATAAGAGCAAATATGGCTTCACTTATCCAAACCAAGGATCAAATCATGGTCATGATTACGTTCCAGTCGAACGACATGAAGATCCGCCCCATTTTAGGTCCATATTCGATTCTATTACATCACAAATCCACAAAATTCGTCATAATCAAACCACGTCACCTCTGATTCATAAATGGTAAATTTTGTGTCCATACATACATTCTAATTAGCTGTATATGTACATATTTATGGAGCAAAATATAGTGATGTCATCATCACGAGTTTTATACTGATGCAGCCAGAGAGATGACCGGATGACCCATGACATCATGACTTTGCCATTATTACAAAGTTCTTCATGAGATGAGATGCACCTTTTACAGGGCCTGGCACAGCATACAGCGTGTCATGAATTTATTCACTGGACTGCACCCACCCATTATTTCCACCAACCATGGAAAGGAATGTCGTTTTTTATCATCTTCTTCTTTCCAAAATACCCGGAGGCTCGTCATTCTTTTTTTGTTTATAAAAGTCCCTCATCGTATGGGCGGAAGATGCTGATGGGAAAGGAAATGCACACTTTTTATCCATGCTGCATCCTCTCTCAGTCTCTTCTATTATCTTCAATTCTCTCCTCTCCAACACAATGGATGGAGAAATGGAGAGATGCGTAATGAATGTAACAGGTTTCAAAAAATGCGTATGTACATATAAGAACCACCCAAACACAGCAAGTGGTCATCCTTTTATAACCCTTTCCACCACACTGATCCTGCCATACTTTCCACAAAAACAAGCCCATTTTTGCAGAACTTTATGTACGTACGCATTTTCCACACACAAAATCTCACACTTTTCATACCTGTTTTCACATTAGGAGACAAAACAACGCTATGAAAATTACGCACAAAACAAAATGAATGGCGTCATCTCATCCTTACTTAAGACACCACCATAATACATAAATTTTGTCATAATAACGATGACCCAACGATGTAAATAATGCAACCTCTACAAAAAACCATCACACCACACCACCAAGAAATGACTAACCCTGCCTGACTTGACTCACAATCACGTTTTATGACTGTTACTGGAAAATAGAATCCTCCCTCCAATCCAATATAGCGTCTCCACATACACTGGAGACGAGAAGATATCGAGGTAACAAGCCAAGCCAAACCAAAACCACCAGGATTCTCACACAATAACAAAACCTCAGCGTGGATATTTTACAGTGATGATACATACAAAAATACAGTGGCCGCGGAAGCCGTGGGGACATTGCCATTGTAGGATAGGGGAGGCAGGGGTTTATATAAGATGGACAGATGATGGGGACATCGAACAACCGTGGGGACATTGTCCCTCTGTCCACACCTTTCCGCGGCCACTGAAAAAATATGACGCCACCCTTCCTTTCCATCCATCCATCCACCTACATCCAAACAACAAAACGGAGAAGACCTCGTATGTATCCAGCATTTCAAATAAAACAAAGCAGTCACACTGGATTTCTGCTCAGTTGCGCTTCAGACGACGCTTCAGTGAGGTCCCGTTTTACAGTGATTGCATTACCTTGATTTTGTGGCGTAGTTTAATTTGTGGTGAAAAGTGACATCGTTTTAAACGCAACAATGGCTGGACTTAATACTAAACTGTTTTCCGAACGGGTCGGACAAATCAAAATCTTTTCAATTGTAAGTTTCCGGAAAAAAATGAAATAAAAAAACTTATATGATTTTGGTCTCGAAAATGTTATATTTAAATTAACTTTAAGCTTAACTCCGTAAAAGATTCAAATGGAAATTTTTTTGTCCCCAGATTCTCGGGATTGTCGCCGTAATTCTGGCTGCGGATCATTATGCGACCAACATCACGGAGGAGAAAGCCTTCTGGTGGAGTATCGTCGTTTGCACGATCATTTCCATCATCCTCGCAGTTTTCTCCCTTTTTGGAATGATGGATAACGAGCATCTTCAGAAATTTGTGAGAAATTTTTTATATGATTTTTAGTGTCGAGTTTCTTGCGAGTTTGCTACACTTCTTGTACTGCAAGAAATGCGAGGTGCAAGAAATTGGGAGAAAGTGCAAGAAATATGCGCCATCTAGCCACGCGCCGTATGAAATCTAGCGGCGGGGCGACATTTTTTTGCGCCGTGCATTTCTTGCAGGTCAAAATAGTTAGCTAAAAAACACTTGCTGTTTCTTGTAAGTAGTTACGCAAGAAATGCAAGGTGCAAGAAATTGCAAGGCAGTGCGAAAAAATTTGCAAAAAAATTTGCAAAAAAGTCAATTTTTTATTTATTTTCAGGATAAAATTTACCACGCCCTGGCCGCCATTCTGCTCATTATCACGGCCTGTTTCTTCATCGTTAGTGTCGATAAGGACAGTGGAGTTTGGAAATCGTACTACGAAAGGAGGGCGGCAGCAGGGGTAAGTTTTTTTTTAAATAAAAAATAGCCAATTTCAAATTATTAAAATTCCTGATTTTTTTCAATTTACAGGGCTTCGGTCTCATATTTGGCGTCGTTTGTGGATACATTGGATGGTTTCTGTTCTAAATAAGGGAAAATTCAATTTTCGAAAAAAAAAATCAGATCCCATTTTATTTTCATAAACGCCCCAAAAAAAACCCAACGCCAGTTTTTTTTGTCACAAAACTTAACCAATCTCCAGTCCAGATCTGAAGAAATTTACGTTTTATTTTCATAAACGCCCCAAAAAAAACGACGCCATTTTTTTGTAAAGCAGTTGTTTCGTCACAAAAATTTACATAACGAATCTCCAGCCCAGATCTGAATTAGAAATTTTAGTTTAGATTGTTTGTATTTACAGCTTTTTAATATGGATAAATAATAATTAAAATAATTATCAGTTTTAAATGTACATAGTTAATTTAACTTAACTACACTTACATACACCATTATTTACTTGCTTATTTGGTAATAATAAGTACTGCCAAAACCATATTTAGCCACGAGGAAGTAAATATGAAACTTCAAGGTACAACTAATACCAATTTATCCTAGTTAGTTAGTTAACTTAAATATAAACGTGACTAACATTTTATATTTAAACTTGACACTGACGATAATTAGCTGTATGTATGTACAAGTGCCCATTAGTTGTTGAGAAGTTTGGCTAAATGGTGAGTTAATAAAGCACACAAGACAACATGACATTCTTCTAATAAATCATCATCCATCCTGCCAGCAAATTTTGTGGTGGTCGACATATGTATACATAAGTATTCGCAAATTCGCAAGTTCGCATTACATGAATTGCATACATGACCTTTTGCATGGCTAGCACATTCTTTGTTATTTTATGTTTTGGTCTGGACTGGAAGTATTTGTGGAAATGAGTCATAATTTCTTTTGTTGTGGCAGTTTCCAGCCGTAAAATTATTTACATGCATGATCACATTCTTCTAGCCAGAGTGAGGACTTATGGAACCGGTATGTCTATGTGTCTGTCCGATACACGTTAGCAGACGAACCCTTTAACCGATTTTGACCAACCTAGTGTTGACCAACCGAAAACCAACCATCCTTAAAAAAATTTACCAATTCAAAAATATTCAAAAAATTTAAGTCAGATAAACCCAACTGATTTTCAAAATCAGTTCAAAACAATTTAGATTTTGTATTAGGAAACTGATAAAATATATAAATGTTCCACTTTTTGTAAAATATTGGTCACGGCACAGGATGTCAAAGGGTGGCTCAAACTGGTTCAAAATGGACGAATCACAACCCTGACTCGGGCTATGGAAAGTCTGCACTGTATTTTTTTTAACTTATTTACATAAATTACACACATACGTAGTGTTACAGGTTGGTTTATTTCGTAGCGAAAATTATGCAGGAATCCAGTCCAGCATGCACACAGCCTAATTTCATTCATGGATAGGTTACCATTACATAATTACAAATTTGTATGTACATATGTGAGTCGTCTCAATTTTCTCGTGTTAATTTCCCATACACAATCTCACTGTCAAAAAAGAGTGTTACATTAACAGTAGAGCACCTCGTACACGATTTTTTGAGATGGAATTCCTATTTCCAAAATACTCCGCCTCTGCTCATCATTACGATTTGTTCTGTAATTTTGGTTCGTGTTGGTGGATTTGGTAATAAATTAAATCAGATCCATCCCGTCAACAGCAACGCATTTATTATGTAACATCCAGTCCAACCCAACATTGTGCATTGTTGTTAAATAGAAAATATGACGAACGTAACGACATAATGGGCAGAGATCATCCTCAGTCGAGATCATGATGAGATTGCACCTTCATCGTCGTCGTCGTCGTTGACCTTGCCATTGGGTCGAGTGCATACGACTTTTAGGTACCTCTTGATTAAAACTGCGCTCCCTATAATTTCCATCCATACATGCATAAACCTGACAAAAAATACGCAATTTTTGACTTATTATACACATAACGAATCAGACCCAGGCAAAAATATTAAGCCAAATAGAAAATTATTTAATTCGTGACGAACATGACAATGATTTTGATACAGAATTTTTTTCCCTAACGGCCCACGCATCCTTTGTTTACGTATTATTTTACTTTAACAATTGCCTCCAGAGATTATTCCTCTATTCATTAATCCAATAAATCTGCGTAAAAAAGTCATGCCGTACATACATAAATATTTCTCATGGTTGAAATTAAATATTTCTTGAAAACTAGTACCGTTATCCATCTCGAAAACCACTCGAAAACCACTCGAAAACCACTCGAAAACCCTGCTGAGACAAGGTTCTCTTCCAATTGTTCTAATCTTCTTCTCCTTAATTAAAAAATTATTAATTGCAAATTATCCACACTTTTACGTTCAATCACTTAATAAAGAGGAAGACCTTAATTTTTGCATACATAAATTACTTACTTGCCTACTAATTTTCCTCCCTTCTTCTTAACCCTGACTTTAATTCGGCACAATTATCATTATGGCTTCATCATCATCATCTTTATCACAATCTTTTTTTTTTGCAAAGCAAGTCTCACTTTCTCGTCTCGAAAATAAATTAATATAAATAATTCACATTTCCGTTCAATTTTTTTGCAGATAAATGAGAGATGAGCACCAATAATACCTAAATTAAATAATTATCTATGTGCATACACAGAACCCCTGCTGCCTTTTTAATCTTAGAATCATCATCATCACATTCACAACTTTAAAAAAGTAAAAGTCTCGTAAAGTACAGATAAATATTTTAAAACACGTGTCATTGACATTGTTATCATTGTCTCGTTTTCGTCGGAGGAATCGACTCACAAAAGGTTCCACGAATAAATATGAGTGAATGAATGAATGCAAAATACGAAATAAGTAGGTGATGGCTGGCTCGTTCATTTATAGAAATTTATTATATTTATTTACCTTCCACTTTTTACAAAAAAAAATTTAATCCCCAAACGATACGATAGCGTGTCACGTACCTACTGGGCGTAAGGCTAATCATAAGTAAATGCCACACCGCAACCTTTCGAATATACATATTTGCAAATTTAATTTTTGCACACAAAAAACCACAAAGTTGTGTCCATCTAAAAAAATGAAACCAAATGTACAAATTTCATGATATTTGTTAATATGAAAAACCTACAGTGCAGACTTCATTTAGCCCGAGTCAGTTTGCTACTCAGGTGAATCCTAATTCTGCATATTGTACATACACGTCTGGGCAAAATTTAAAGTCGGCTTGATAAATTTTACTGACAGACGGACAGACAACCGCGACAGTTCCATAAGCCCTACCTCGGGCAAAAAATTTAGATTCACGTTATCATGTAACTTATTGAATAAATTAAAGTACAAGTAATCTTGATGTCGTCGTCATTAAATAAAATTTACCACCTTGGGACAAGAGCTACTTGTTCATCAAGCAACGCGCAGGCAAGGCAAGCAAATAAACCACAGGCAAGCAAGGACCTTTTGTGTTCTGTTCAAGATGCTGTTTTAATTCAAAAATGGTTCGTTGAAGAGTTGAATGTGATGAATTGCCCATTCATCTCGTCATCATCATCACCTCGCCACTAAATACTAGCTTAAACCATGTGCTTATTATGTATCACCAAGATTTAAATGATAATACCAAGTCGGTAAAAGATGCACCTTTAGAAAAAAAGTTATATAAGACGTCGTCGACACGAGCAAAAGACGAGTTTTGCATTGATCACTTAGTTTGTAAAGATTAAGAGAAATTATTTTTCGACACGGCTATAAATACACGCAACAATTTACATAATCGTCTCTTCTATTCAGAAAATTCGATAAGGAAAGGACTTTTTTAAGGGAAGTGATCCCACGACGTAAACGACGACGAAGAGGAAGCAGTGATCGGGCCCGATTTCCTTTTCTACTTCGCAGCAGGAGACATCTTCATCGTCATATTTACATATTTCTGAGGAGGAAAGATGACATTTTTACTTGGCTTCGGACTGGTAAGGATATTTTAATTTAATATATATTTTTGGAAATTTTGTAAAAAAATGAGGGGAGGATATTTAATACATATTTCTGGAAATTTTAATAAAAACATAGGATAGGATATTTGGTACATATATTGACATATTTTTGGAAATTTTGATAAAAATGAGAGCAGGATACTGACTACATACATATTTTTTTCGAAATTTTGATGAAAAACTGAAGGAGGATTATTTAATATATACATATTTCTTGAAATTTTATAAAAAAATTTACCCCTCCTAAAACTTCAGGTGGTCTGTTCTCTCGTCACGAATGGACGCGCCGAGCCCCCATCACCCCTGCAGAATTACGGGCCTCCAGGAGGAGGACCCCAACAAAATTCCGGGGGTGGATACTTACCCCCACAACAAGGGGGTTATTCTTCTGGACCATCGTCGTCGTCGCAGTCCTTTGCCCCAGTGGTGAGACAACCATCCACCTCGTACGGCAACCCTCCCCCACCTCCCCCTCAGCAAGGTGGAGGTGGTGGTGGTGGAGGAGGTTATCAACCACAACAAGGCGGTGGAGGTGGTGGTTATCAACAAGGTCCCCAACAAGGCTATAATTCCCCCGCACCTCCACAAAGTAATTTCCCCCCACAACAACAAGGGGGCGGAGGGTATTCGGGGCAGGGGCAAAGTTATACCCCGTCTTCCCCATCATCCTCTAGTAGCCAACAAGGGTACAGTACCCCACTGACGTCGGGTGGCTCGTCCCCTTCATCCCCCTCTTCCTCTGGGGGATACACGTTTTCCGCCCCGCAGAAAAGTTACTCCATCTCTCTAGCTGCGCCGGCCCCACAACAACAACCACAAAGCGGGTACGGAGGTGGTGGTCAACAAGGTGGAGGAAGTGGCTACAATAGCGCCCAAGGTTTCGGATCACCCGTCCCCCAACCACAATCCGGGTACTCATCTCAACCATCTCCCGGGTCCGGGTATCAGCGTGGCGGTGGCGGTGGCGGTTCATCCCCGCAATATGATTACGACGACGCCACCGTTATCTCATCCCAACCGTCCAAACCACAACAAAGTTTCGGGGGTCCGGCGCCCAGCAATAATAATCCAGCACCTTCTCGACCACAACAAAGCTATGGGTCACCTTCTCAGCTGGAAACGTCGCAGCCAAAACCACAGCAAAATTATGGTCCACCTCCCCCTAGGAATCCAAGCCCTCAACCGGGATACGGCTCACCGGCCCCCGCAGCTCCAAAACCTCAACAAGGTTACAGCACGTCGTCATCGTCATCATTCCAATCGTCCCCTCAGTCAGGGTACAATTCCCCCCAGAGAAATCCGTCCCCTCAAGCCGGCTACGGTTCCCCAGCCCCACAACAAAGCGGTCCAGCTCAGCGGGGTCCATCTTCTTCTGGGGGTCCATCTTCCTCGGGGGGATATTTACCTCCTCCCTCCCAAAAAACCTATCCCGCCAAACCCCAACAAAATTACGGACCCCCCGCCATCCAACCACGTGACCAACCACAATCCGGCTACAGTAATAGCGCCCCCGCCCCCGCCCAGTCTGGTGGCTACTCAGGTAACGGAGGGGGACAAACCTACGGCCCCCCAGGTTTCGATCCGGCCGCCCCGATCGGTGGTGGCGGTGGGCCGGCCAATTGTCCCCCTAATGACCCCGAAGAGAATAGAAAACTCGTCCTAAAAGCGTACCAGGAGGTCTTTGGGGACCACAATTTAGCAAATGTGGACCAGTACTTTGACGCCAATTATATCCAGCACAATCCCATGGCGCCGGATGGGAGGGAAGGGTTGCGTGGGTTGATTAGTTCGGTGCCAGATCCTCCACAGAAGGTGGACTTTATGCGGTCCGCGGCAGATGGGGATCTTGTATGGACGCATTCGAAGATTAAATTCTTTGGAAAGACGTACGCGGCGGTGGATATTTTCAGGTTATTGGACATAAAAAATGTTAAGCAGAGAGGGTTTCGGGGGTAAACCAGGTGCAAGAAATAAGGGGGAGAAGAAAGTGGTTTTTTGCAGGGGAATATTTTGACCTGGGAGAAATGCATGGCGCAAAAAACGACGCCCCGCCGCTATAAATAGTTCGTACAGCGCGTGGCCAGATGGCGCATATTTCTCGCACCAGTTCCTTGCACCTCGCATTTCTTGCATTGCTTGCTTTGCAGTGCAAAATATGTGGCAAACCTGCAAGGAATGATATACTGAATGCAAGAAATAAGGGGGAGAAACTGGTTTCTTGCAGCTATTTTTACCTGCAAGAAATGCACAGCCGAAAAAACTAGGTCCAGCAGCTATATTTCATACGCAGGTGGCTAGATAACGCATATTTCTTGCACTTTCTCCCAATTTCTTGCACCCCCCATTTCTTGTAATGCTTGATTTTCATTGCAAGAAATGTAACAAATCCGGAAGAAACAAACCCCTGTAATCAGTTGCAGATATTTTTACGTTATTAAAAAAAATAACTACTCTTTTCAGGGTCGAATGCGGCATAATCAAGGAACATTGGGACGTTTTACAGGACACCGAATTAAAAATGCCTGCAGCTAATGAGCATCCATTCTTCTAAGGATAAAGCTAATTCATAATTACAAGTGCAACAATTTTATATTTTTTTAACACCCAGTAATATTTTACTAATTATAATTAATAATTTGACAAATAAAAATAAACATGACAAAATAAATGCGTCATTCATTTCATCCTGTAGAAGTTTACTTTATCACATCCACATCCAGTGGCCGCGGAAGCCGTGGGGACATCGGGGCACGTTAACATTGCAGGGAGGGGTTTGTATAACATGGGGAGATACGGGGAAATCGAACAAGGGTTGGGACATTGTCCCTCTGTCCCCACGCTTCCGCGGCCACTGGCTGAAACATCAGTCGAGATACAAGTGCCGAAAGCAGTGGCCGCGGAAGCGTGGGGACATCTGGGGAGTTTAACATTGTAGGATAGGGGAGGGAGGGGTTTATATAAGATGGGCAGATGATGGGGACATCGAACAACCGTGGGGACATTGTCCCCTCTGTCCACACCCACACTTCCGCGGCCACTGTTTCGTACATCCACAATCCACACCAAAACAAGCATATGTATGCCGTCGCTTATCAGATTGTGTCACCTTATCTGAAGTGGGTTTAGTTTAGTACTCTGATATCGTTTTATTGCAAATTACACACATTTCAGTTACAACAAACGTGCGTCTCATCTCGCCTCTCGTAAATCATACGATTTGCCATTCATTATTTGCACGTACATATAATTACGATAACTGCAGTATTACCGATAAGATAGAAAAGTGGTTGGTGTGAGTATGATTTCGGAGAAGTGATTCATTCTCACACACTTATTTTTTTACTTCGGGCGTGATAGATACATAAGTTAATTAACGAGTGAAATAATTAGCAAAATTCTTGCTAAAAAATGGCATTAAATACGGATCGGTTCGGCTCGAGGATTGGAATTTTGAAGATTTTAACGATTGTAAATAAATAAAAATTAATTAATGAACCAAATTTTGAATTTTTCGGGCTTTGTTGTCCTCTTTTCTGGAAATTTTTATTTCAATTTTTGAACGATGAAGCTCTTTTACTGCAATTTTAAAGATTGCAAATATATAAATACGTGAAATAGAACAATTAATTAATGACCCAAATTTTGTATTTTTCGAGTTTTTTTGTTCGAGTTGTCCTTTTTTTAGGAAATTTTGATTTCAATTTGGACAATACATAAGCTTTTCATTGGAATTTAAAGATTGTAACGATTACATGAAATAGACCAATTAATTAACTTACCCAAAATTTTGATTATCTCGATTTTTTGGTTCTACTTTTTTTTAGGAAATTTAGAAGTTTTTTGACGATGAGGTTTCTTTCAGGTGTTTGGCATCATCACGGTGGGATTTATTGGGTACTCGTACTACGATGTGGAAGGGCTTGACGAAGCGTACCTCTCATGTGTCATCATCTGCCTGATCGTGTCCTTCTTGTGGGCGCTGGTCATCATTTTCGATGTCATCCATGAGTCCGAGAGTTTAAAGAAACTTGTGAGAAATTTTTTGAAATTCAGTAATTTTTTAGCTCGATTAATTTCCTAAATAGATTTCTTAATAATTTCCTAAATTCATAAGTTTTCCACGACCTACTAATGTTTTGCGTGAAAAAAAGCAACGGCAAATTTCCTATTTTTTTTCCCAGGACATGCAATTCAGTAATTTTTTAGAATGATAAATTTCCTAAATATTTTTTCAAGGACTTGATATTTAACATTTTTAGAATGACAAATTTCCTAAATATTTTTCCCAGGACATACAATTCAGCAATGTAATGTTTTTGCCTGAAAAAAAAACTAATGATAAATTTCCTAAAATTTTTTCCAGGACATGCTTTTCCACATGATTGCCACCGTTTTTTACTTGATCACCTTGCTCTGCTTCGTCATATCTTTGATTAAATGGAGGTCCGGCAAGAGGAAGACCGATTATCGGCTGTGGCAAAGGATATTCGCATTCGTAAGCAGAACACGTAATTTGAAAAACATACAGTTTTCAAATTTTTTCGAAATTTTCCAGATTTTTGGCGTCATTACGAACGCCGTGTATGGCTACACAGCCCTTCTCCTCTACCATTCGACGGACTGATGAAATTTTTCGAAATACCTTTAAACTACTTTATCATTTCGACCTTATCATAAATAATAGATCGGGTATTTAACCTCATTTTACAGTGATTTCATCCAATTGAAATAAAACACCCAGTGTTAAAAAAGTACAACTAACTCTTCCCATTCCTTTAAAAAATTATATTCTGCATAAATTTGGGACAATTTTTGCGTGATACTTCATTCTCACATCTTTAAGATTTTCGTTGTGGATTTGAGTTTGTTGTATAAAATCCTGTTAAAAATCTGCCTTTGCACAATTCTTTTAGTTGAATTACTCAAAATTCCGGCAGAAAATACTTATGTATTTACATAGCCCGAGTCAGGTTGTTATCAATAATTGAGGTGCTATAATATGTACCACCGCTATAACTTATTTCCACACATTTTGCTTTTCATCTTCCGACATGATTCCTAATTTAGCATATTCTACGTGTGTCCAAAATTTCGCGTCGATTAGATAAGTTTTATTTGTAGGAGCGTACATAATCGATAGATAGACAGACAGACGATAACCATGACGCGTACATAAGCCCTGACTCGGGCTGCTAAAAATTGCAAGAATTTTTTTTGCCGAGTAGCTCAGCTCACTAATGACAACATCAATTTCCGAATTGTCTAACAATTTCCGACCAACAGAAATACAGAATTAGTCTTATCTGCTATTAAGATCTTATCTGCATACATTATCCAATGGGTATCATCATCTCAACCCTAGCCGCCATTCCACGCATACTTTTCGCCGACATAAAAGAAATGCCGTGCGAAACTGTGCCAATTTGTTTTCTGCGAGAGGAAGATTATTCAATTACAGGTGTTCTAACTTAATTAATTGCGCAATTAATTAATTAACTAATTAATTAACATTTAAATAGGAACGATCCGTTCCGGCGCGCAGCAGAAGTGGAACCACTCGCTCTACTCGATGATCCACGTGGACCTCAAGACGCGTCTCCTGCTCTGGCCGGCCATCCAGAAACGCATGGACCGAACGGAGGGTAATTGCTGGATGAATTTGTATAAATTATGAAATATGAATTATGAATTTGTCACATATAGCGTCCCTCAAGTACACCAATTGCAGTTTGGAAAACCTCGTCGAAAAGTTTCCGGAATGGGAGGAGAAAAAAATCTATGAGGCGCACGACCTCTTCCAAGCCTTCGAAGTTGATGGTGATGGACTCATCGAAATCGCAGAAATGTGAGCAAAAATTTGGTTACAAAATTGTCACCACGAAGTCAAATTTGCTACCAGTAATTGAGTTTCGTGTCGAATTATGTATTGTTACCGTTAAATCATTACCAACTCGGTAAAGTTGTGCATAAACCGGGAGTCACTTTTGTTACCAAATTGTTTACACCAATTTTTATTAAGTTTCTGGGAGTAATTTGTCAACAAAATTGTCACCTGTCGAACAGTGACCAGAAATTGTCCACGAAATCAAATTTGCAACCAGGTTTTGAATTCAAATTTTCTACCAGTTTTTGAAATAAATTTGTTATCATTTTTTAACGTCAAATTTGCTCCCACATTTTGAAATAAATTTGTCACCGTAGAGTGACCAGTTTCAATTTCGGGAAAAATGATTGACCCAATAAATTGTTACTAGAATCACATAAACTCGGTGATAATTTTGTTACCATCGTTGACCTTCTAGGAGCGTCGGTCTCGACAACTTGGGCGACACGAGCTCAAAACAGGATCGTCTCACGGAACTCAGCATTGGCGACGAAGACGGCACAGGTTCTATCGACTTTGAAGAGTTCCTCACAGTCAGTCAATGTAATTGCTATTTTAATTAAAATTGTAAAACAATTTTAATTGTGATTCTAATTATGATTTAAGATCCTCTACGACCAGCAACAGGTGACAAAAACGCCGACCAAGTTGGCCAAAACGTTCATGAAGGTTAACGACGACGTGAAAATGATTCGATGGATGTCCACCGTCCAACAAATTCATGCCGGATATCTTTAATTAAGTAATTAAATTTACATATTCATTTATTTATTTATCCCCAAAAAATAAAACTTTGTTTCAAAATATAACTATTCATAATTTAAATTTATGCAGTTCAATTCCTGTACACAATTTCATTTTATTTAATTATTACATCCTTTCATAAATAAATAATTTTCAAAATTATTATTTTCAAAAAACTTCAAAATTTTTCCAACCAGTCTCTCAAATCTTTCGTTTTATCTTGAATCCCTTGATCTCCCGAGCTTCCGATGACAAGCAGGTCAGAGGTCGACGCCCTATTGTTATTATTATTTTTATTTGAAGATGTCGAAAACTGGCTCAGAATCTTCTCCTTGGTCGCTTTGAACTGTTGCAACTCTTTGTCCAATGAATTGAGCAGGTTGCTCGGCGTTAAGCGTGGTTGGGGCGGGAGGTAGTTGTTGAGCACGTGGTGGGGGTCGTGGTGGTAGAGGCGAGGATATAAGGGTTGACCTTGACCTTGACCTTGACCTTGGAGGGCGGAATTGTTTGGGTTGGTATTGACCACGGACCACATGAGCTTCATCTGCTCGTCCATGTGGGACAAGGAGGAACAAATGGCTTCGATATCTTTGGAGATCTTTTTCTTCTCGGTGGATGACTTGAGCAGGTCGGAGGTACCCATACCTGTGCAAAAATTCAGAAGTCATTCATCTCGATTTCAGAATTTGATTCATATTCATATGTTATTTTCGTTCAAATTGATTTCATTTCACTTCATTTCTTACATACTTCACCCCATGAATTAAGCATAGGGTGAAAAATGTAAGGAGTGAAAAATCCTTCATTCATTCACAGTCATTCATCTGAAATGACGGAATCATTCCCTCACTTTAATTCAAGTGACAGGAAATGCATTCTGATTCACTATCGTAATCAGTCAAATGAATGAAAGTGAACAGGTACATTTTCGTTCAAATTCATTTCATTTCACTTCATCAGACTTCATTTCTTACATACTTCGCCCCATGTATTAAGCATAGGTGAAAAATGTAAGGAGTGAAAATTCCTTCATTCACAGTCATTCATCTGAAACGACGGAAGCTTTCAGTCTTTTCATTCCAATGAGAAGAAATTTCATTTTCATTCGTATCATAATCAGTCAAATGAATGAAAGTGAACAGGTAGCAGGTACGCACCGGGAACAAAGCTCATGGAACCGACGCCACTACTCTCCGTTTCAGAAAAGGTGGTGAGACCGATTTCGGGGGACGCTTTGCTATGAGGGAGTCGGTGTTGTGACTGCAAATAACTGTTGTGAATGGCTTGCAGGGTGAGTTCTGTGGCCGTCATGGCGCTGGAGGGTGGGTGGATTTTGAGGCGTTCTTTCTGCGTTCGAATGAACTCTTTGGCGTCTTGGACGATTTGGTGGGATGAGTTTTCTTCGGCGGGATCGCTGTTGGCGTCGCCGAGTTCTAAGAGACCTGTGTAGAAAAGGAAGGATTTAGAACCTGACAATTTAATTTTTTGAAATTTCTAGCCCGGAAATTTAGAAATTTGTCCTGTATAGATCGGACCTGGAAAGGGGGATTTGTCGTTAAAAAACAAGATAACAATGGAGGTCTCCCAGCGTATGCCCTCTGATTTTGGGAAAATTAGTGTTAATCGATCACAAATTTAATTAGGATGAAATTTGCGAAAGACGCGATCTCCCAATGGACACGTTTGGCGGTGACATTTGCATCCGAAGAGGAGAAAACGCGCCTTAAAGTCGACAAATTGTACACTATCCAAATTTACTGCGCGTTTTTTCCTCCTGGGATGCAAATTTCTCTGCCAAACGTGCCCATTGGGAATCGCGTCTTTCGCAAATTTCTTCCTAAGTAATTAAATTTGCGATCGATTGACAATAGTTTGCTCAAAGAACAGCATATACGCTGCGAGACCTCCATTATTAGAGCCAGATAAATAAATAAGTATGTATACCTGCCAGTTCCGGCGTGGATTTTGAGGGACGGAGTCTCCTATTATTATTATTCTGGTTGGATGCCCTCGTCGTCAAATTGGAAGAGTTTCTTCGCTGATTATTCTGCCCAGAATTTGGCGACGACACATTATTCATCACTCCTGTTCTCCTCGTTCCAGTTCCAGAATTGGAGGAAAATTGACCACTTTTATTATTATTCCTCCCACTTTTCGAAACCGGTGTCGTCGTCACCACCCCATTCGTGGCGTTAACCACGACTGCCGAAGAGGGTCGACTCTGCTGAATTTCCAGAATTTGCTGTTTCAAAGTTTCCAACGATTTTAACGCGGTGGATAATTTGTCATTATTTTCGACCAGGATTTCATCCACGGGGGACCGCGTTCTTTCCCCGTTTTCATCCTCCGTCCCACGTCGCGAGGAAGTTGACACGTGTCGAGCACGTGGTAGTGGTTGTTGCCCATTATACGTCGACGGGTAGGCCGTGGTCGAATCTGACTCGGACATGGATACGACCGAGGCGATATCCGTGTCCGAATTAATGCGATCTTTCTTCAGACCTGGCAATTTTGCATTATTTTTCGTAGCTTGACGAGCTGCGGCAGCATCGGAAATTTTTCGGAGCTCTTTTTTCAAGTAGGAATACTTCTTTTCGAGCTGGTCATATTTTTCGGAAAGGATTTTTACGTCGCTCTCGCTCTTCCGCGCGGTAGGGGTCGGCGCGGTTGGAAGAGGTGGTGGTAGCGCTGTTTTCTTGGGGGAGGATGATGATGGCGCCTTATTTTGCGAATTATTTTGCACAGTCGAGGATGGCGTCGCCTTATTTTGGACATTATTTTGCACATTTGAGGATGGCGTGGCCTTATTTTGCACATTTGAGGATGGCGTGGCCTTATTTTGCACAGTATTTTGGACATTTGCCGAAGATGTCGCCGCATTTTGCACACTATTTTGCACATTGGAGGATACTGTCGCCTTATTTTGCACACCATCATTTTGCACATTCGCCGAATCTTTTAAACCCTGCAAATCATTTCGTAACGAAGCTATTCCCGTTTTAAGCTCGTCTTGTAGCGCCCTCTTTTCCGTCTCGAAGTTACCCATTAGCGCCTCCAGGTTAGAAGCTTGCTCTTCTTTTAGCCTCTCTTGCAAATCTTGGCTCTCTTTGGTGAAACTTGTGACAATATCGGCCAACCTTTTCGTATGCTCGGACTGGACCCGGACCTCCTCAGAGGACAAATCTTTCTTCAATTTTTCTATAAAAGTTTGATGATAATCGCGCATCTGTTGAATTTGCTTTTTCTGCTCGTCTCGTAAACTTTCTTTGTGCTCTTTCAACTCCGTGTTGAGCTTGATAGTAGCGTCGGAGAGGTTTTTCGCGAAAACGGCAGCCTTCTCGGTGTCGTTGAGCGAGTCGAATTCCTTCGTTAGGAGGGACATTGCCTGGAAAAGTGGGAAAAAATGAATGGCGTGGAATAAATAATGTAAAAATCAGTGTTTCGGGTGCAAGAAATAAGGGGGAGAAAGTGGTTTCTTGTAGGTAAATATTTTGACCGCCGCCGTTATAAATAGTTCATACTGCGCGTGGTTAGATGGCGCATATTTTATGTACTTTCTCCCAGTTTCGTGCACCTTGCATTTCCTGCGTGGCTTGCTTTGCAATGCAAGAAATGTAGAAAACCGCAAGAAACGAAACACTGCTTGCAAGAAATAACGGGAAGAAAGTGGTTTCTTGCAGAAAGTATTTTGACCTGAAGCAAATGTACGACGCAAGAAACTAAATCCTGCCGCAAGAAATAATTGATACGGCGCCTCTAGATGGGGCACATTTCTTGCACTTTCTCCCAGTTTCTTGCACCTCCCATTTCTAGCTTTCCAGCGCAAGAAATGCGTGTAGCAAACCAGCAAAGAAAGCAAACCCTGTCGAAAATTATTTGCAAAATCGAAACTCACGACGTCATGTTGTTTCCGGATTTCGTCCCTGCGTTCTTCCAACTCCTTGTCGAAGAGGACTTTCAACTTGTCCACTTCTACTTTCACCATGAGATCCAGTTCGCGTTTCACCTTGTCCAACTCGATGTTCTTCTGAGCATCGAAATCTTGACGGGCCTTCCTCACCAGGGAATCTTTCTCGGAACGGATCTCTTCCAAAGTCATTTCCGTGTGTTTTCTGGAAACAAAAAATTACAGAATTTGCACATTTTTGCCAAAAAATTTTTGGCGAAAATATATGTATGCAAAATTTTGCATGAATAACTCAACAAAAAATTACAGAATTTGTACATTTTTGCCAAAATTTTTTGACGAAAGTGTATGTATGCAAAATCTTGCATGAATAACTCAACAAAAAATTACAGAATTTGCATATTTTTGGCGAAAGTGTATGCAAAATTTTTGCACGAATTACTCACTTAATTTGCGCTTCTCTCTCTTTTCTTTCCTTTTCCAAAAGCTCTTTGTACTTTGTCAACTCGTTTTCCATGTTTTGACGAAGCGTTGCCTTCCTCTCGTCCAGGTTGAGCTAAGAATTTGCATAAATGTGCAAAAATATTGGCAAAATGTACATATACATTTTCTTAAAAAAATCGCAAACCTGTCCCAAATTTTGTGACGAAATTTTCTCATTTTTCTTCTCTCCCAGCACGAATTTATTATTGTTTCGACCCGAATTTTCGTCCGTGTCGGTCGACTCATCACTGCTTTTGGCACCCGGATACATGACGCGATTGGGATGATTTTGAGGGGATTCGGATGCGTCCTCCTGGGAATATTTAAAAAAAACATGGAAATTATGTTAATTTGAATTACACGGAAATTTTATTTAGTAGAAAATAAAGAAACTTTTCGTTTTTCGGATGCTATTTCCAAAATAAAATATTATTTGTATATTGGTATTTCGTAAATCCAAGAATCTAACTCTATTAAAAATAAAGTTCATTTTGTAAAAATTTTAAAAAATGATGGCAAACTTACTCAAAATTTCTTCTAGTTGTATATAAATATTCATTTGAATGATCAAAATTTCGATAATCTACTTATATGACACGGAAATTTTAGTGGAAAACGAGAAAACTTTTTATTTTGTCAATCTGCAATTCATTATCAAGACTTGTGTAGAATAGAACCGGCCGAAAAAAAACCTAAGAAATTCTAAAAAATAAGTTCACTTTTCAAAAAAATTAAAAAGTGGTGGAAAAGTTGGTCAAAATTTCGTTTAGTTTTATATTCATATGAATTTGATTGCTCAAAATTTAATTTATATGAGTGGAAAAGGATAAAACTTTATATTCTGTCAATATTTTTCATGCTACATATCTGCAATTCATTATCTATCTACATGTCTGCAAAACCTGTGTAAAATCCAACAAAGAAAACCTACAGTGCAGACTCCATATAGCCCGAGTCAGGGACAGAGTCCCTGACTCCTCCAGGGTCACTCTAGTTAAAATTTGCTCACTTTTAGCTTCATATCCTTTCATGAGAAGCCATTAGGTATGACCGTGCCGGATTTAATGTTTTCAAAGTAATTTCTAAAAATCGGTATGGGTCACCCCATAGGGTCGCTAAAGATAAGAATTTTACAAATTTCATGTCATATTCTTCTCCCATTAGCAACCTATCTACCAAATTTCAGCTTGTTATGACGATTTTGAAAAATCAGTGTGGGTCACCCCCTAGGGTTCCTCAAGATGAAAATTTTTCCAACTTGAAGTCATTTTTATCTATTAGGAGCCATTAGCAACCTCTGTGCCAAATTTCAGCCTTCTACGACAATTTTGAAACTTTGGTGCATAATACCCCACCTACCTAGATGACCCCCACTGCTCAACCACTTGACCGATTTCGCCCATCTTCGAACTCGTTTCCTAACTTTGTCCAATATGCATATGATAAAAATTTCAAGTCAATCGGTTCAGCCGTTTTGGCTCTATCGTGCCGGACAGACGGACGGACGGACGGACGGACATGACGGTTCCATAAGCCCTGACTCGGGCTAAAAATCTATGAAATTGTAATAATAACCAGTTACTTTTTCAAAAATTTCAAAAGTGATGGCAAAGTTAGTCAAAATTTCTTCTAGTTTGAATTCATATGAATTTTTATTTACGTTACATGGAAATTTTAGTGGAAAACGAGTAAATTGTTTACTTTGTCAATATTTCGAATGCTATCTGCACTTTCAGTTCATTATCAAGAAATGCGCAGAAAAACACAAAAAAACTTTAAAGAATAAATTGAAAAAAAATAAATTATTTTTAGCAATAATTAAGTTTATTAATTTAAAAAAAACTTACGCTATCTTCCGGGTCAAATTTAAATTCGGTGTTATCATCGAGCGCAAATTTGACGCCGTGTCGGTCCTTCAATGGAATGTTCAGGTCGGACAGCAACTTTTTCTCCTCGCCTGGAAAAATTTCCAAAATAATGAGACGAAAGTTCCAAAAATGTGCTAAATATTAATTACTTTGATTAATTGTGATTACTGTGAATGAATAAATTAGAATTAATTGTGGTGATACATTGATCGTGTTTTAGTGTCAACTAATTAATTAGCGAATAAGCTACTAAATTATCTATTGTGTTAATTAGCTAATTTTGCAAAATTGGACGCGATTTATTTTCTTTAATCTAATTAATTAGTGAAGAAGCTAATTATTTAATTACTGTGCTAATTAGATAATTATTTTGTCACACTTACGATTTAAAGTGTAAGCAATTAATTCTTAATTAATAATACGAATAAACTACTTAATTACGTTGTTATTTAGCTAAATAATTTTGTCACATTGATCGCGATTTAGTATTAACTAACTGATTAGCCAATAAGCCACTTAATTACTTTGTTAATTAGCTAATTTAATTTGTGAGTGATTTACTTGCATACTTTCACACTACAATTTTAACCGTGTCGGTTACAATTAATTAACGCACCGGTCATAATTTCCGGCTTCAACATCCATTCTTCAGAATCAATAACGTTTAGCAAACCTTTTCTCGAGTTGAGAATGCTTTTTGTCGTCGTCGTGGGTGGGATAAGGTCCAACTCTAACCCGGTTTTATTATCACTAGTCTCGTCATACTCGGATTTCGACTTATCCTCAGATAACAACGGATTAGATAAGGTACTCGTTGGCGGAGGTGGGGGTTGTTGGTCCCCCACCACTTTCGGCTTAAGAAAATTTGCGCCTTCACCTTATTTATTAATGCAAATTAATGATAGAGAAAAATCACGTATGCAAATTGGCATTAATTAATTAACCATAATTAACAGAGGGCGGATATGTATTTATTTTCAATTTTTTCATTTGATGCCGACCGATGGTTAAAAACTTTGTTGGTGTGTCCCCTAACTCGCATAGAGCATAAAAATTTCAAAATATTTGTTATATATATTTCTACATAGGTTTTTTTATATCAATATTTCCGTTATTATTTCAAAAATAGGGGAATCTTTTACATATTTTTTTTCCAAAAATGAATGTTTTGTAGATATTTCAGGCATGTGAGATGTGAGTGTATTTTTGCTCAAAGAAATTGATTGGACCACACAAAAATCCAGAGCATTGAATTCAAAAAATACAAATTTTTCGAAAATTGTTCGTTTTTTGGTAAATATTTCGTACATACATAGCGTTCAACGATGTGAGACTAAATCTTCATGCTCAAAAAAATTGGACCACTAAAATCCAGAACATTATATTAAAAAGTATTTTTTTTAGAAAATTCTTATTTTTTTCGTACACACTTCGTAAAAATTTCGGCGTTTTTAAATGCATATTTCATCGATTTTTGGTCAATACATATCCACCCTCTGCTAATTACCTCCTAAAATATTAAATTTTTGCACTCACCCGTCAAAATAAGGCCGGAGGACATTGGCTTCTTAACCATCCTGCTGGACGGCGGGGGCAAGTCGGCATCCTGATCGAGGTCATACTGTTCCAACTCCTTGGTCAGCACGCCCAAACCGGAAGTGACTCTGTTCAGGGTAAGATTGTCGTCAAGTCGGTTGGCCGGCGTTGGGGGTCGTCCACCGCCGAGCGAAGAAGGGGGCCTGCTCACCCCAACCTTCTTCAGGGGACCGAGTGGAGGCAGATTCTTTTTGGGGGGACGGGTCGTCGGGGGAAGTTCTTGGATACGATTCATGACACGATCCTGCCGAAGTTGGAGGACTTTTTCGCGATAAACTTCATTCAACGGGTGCTCCCATTGAGATTCGTTGGAGGTCAGGTTAAAATAGTAGAACTGGTTGTTGGTGAGGTCCTTGCTATATGTAAATTATTAAGAGAGAGATAAGTACATAAGATAAGTACTTATCTGGTATACTCTTTAAAAAACTGGTATTAAAATAGTACCAAGCGGTATTCATATACAAATACAACTCTATCAAATGGGGTTGATAAGTAATACGAAAGTTTTCCCACATCGGTAGCAAATTTTTATGGACCAGTGTAATTTTTAATACCAGGCGGTAGTAGCTTTTAATGATAACTGAGAGATCAATGCCTGTGGGACTGACAAACTCTTAAAAAATTGGTATTAAATCAGTACTGACCGGAGTACATGTATGACTCTACCGGCACTGTAATAACGGACACTACGGTTTGGTAATATTGTGGTACTGAAAAATTACCAATCAGACATAAACTACTACCAATCCGGTAATAAGTTATTACCAAATCAACCCCAGTACGGAGTATATATCTGACTCTACCAGATTTTTAACAGTGTATGTACATACGTACCAAGGTTTCCATTCCGGAGGCAGCGGTGCCAAGAGGCCTTCTTCCACGAGAGACCGGAAATGCGGTTCCTGGTCCAAATCTATCCCCAAGAGTTTGGCAAATTCTTCGATATCTGGAAAAACACAACAAAAAGCAGGTGTCACTGACAATGACAAGATAATTCTGCACTGAAAATTGCAGTGCGGTTACGTCATGTCATGTGCATGTATAATTATTTATTTTTTTAAGGGGGAGAGCTTGCGGTTTTTGGCGAATACAAAAATGTCATTCGAATCTGTCCTCCCACAACCACGACCACCACAAAATGATGACATTATGATCATTCGTCCCACGATCACGACCACAAGAACGGCATTATGAATCAGGGTCAGATTATGTATTACCTCCTTCACTAATATCGCAACGGGACGTGTCCTCCGCATAAATTTCGACGGCCGGCGGGGGCACCTTGGGACTTGGTAAGAGCAATGAATTCATTCGTTTCGATACCAGTTGACCCACCAGCAAGGCTGTCCCGCCCCCTTGACTGGCAGCACTTTTCATGGGCAAATGTCTCCAATGAAAGCAAACCACGCACTAATTTTCCCTAATCATTTATCAATCAATCTTGTTTGCAAAAAATTTTGCAAATTCGCAATTTTATGTAGTCTAATAAGTACTTTTTTTACACAAATTTTTTCCGTGTTTGTGCCACAACAAACAACGCCACGCCAAAAGACGACTGACAATCCTGGCATGGAAACCTTCCAACTTTATCACTTTCACTGACGAGATCAGTTCGTGCCACTGAATTATTATTGATATCGAAACCTAATCCAATCTCGTAAACCCGATCCATCAAACAAAACCCAACTTTTTGCCACGAAACAACAAGCAACAAAAAGTGGAAGTATCCTTATCCCTAATAAATAATAATAAGGAAATGGGGCAGCTTATAACTTAACCTAAATAAGTACCACGTCCAAAAAGTACTAATGATTACATGATCCTGTGGAAGGAGTGGATCGCACTTACACTTTAATAATGATGAAAGTCTATATGTATGTTTTTTCATTTGATGTTGATAATTTGATCATGTTGCAATATGATGAAGAGAGGAACCCGTACGACTGACGGGTTACCCGGATACGGGAAGCACAACAAAGGCAGAAAACCAGTAAGTTGGTGGGTTTTCGGTAACACAGGTAGGCTTGATTAAGAGCTCGTCCCCTTATTACTTACTTATTCGGGTTTTCATTAACGGAAATGGTACGTATGTACGTACATAACATGAGATTATGTATCTACTGGTCAGAAAAATGAGATGAGATTATTGTGACGTTATGATTGTGAAATTCTTCATTTTTTTCGACCCGGTCTAACGATAAGCCTTGCATTAAGGAAATAAAAAAAAATTAGGGATGGCACTGCTGCCTGCGAGATGAGACGAGATTATTATGATGTTATATGACTATTTTTTTCTATAATCGGCCCATTAAGGAAATAAAAAGTAGGGATGAACATATCGCATCTTCTCATCAGGTTGCGTGTGGAGGTGTAATTTAATAAAATTGATAAAACCCATCAATCCACCCACCCACCTGCTCTTTAGATACTTTTTCGTAATTGAATTTTTATCCGGATTTTTAATCATGTCATGTTTCTTTCGAAGCATTTTCATGACGACATGAGATGAGATGAGCGTTTTGGTCTCGAGTCTGGAGACGTGGGAAGATAACGACAAGGATAATTTGCAATTTGTAATGAGTGCCAATTTGAGTAAAATTTTTGCACGTTTTCGGTTATCTTACCTCTTCTTATTTCCGTAATTTGTCAAGCTCGAACTTCTCTTTTTCCACACGGGTTGATAAGCACAGCGGGTTGATAAAAGCACAGTTAATACGCACTGAAATGGACCCCCCACGTTTCACCTCAACGTCGACAAGCACACAAGATTTAGGGTCACAAAGAACGATGACCTCAACCGGCGTTGGATCTGGTCAGGCCCGAATCAGAACCTGTTCTCGTTTCGTGTCCACTTGGGATGACGACAAAGATTTTGAGTTTGACCACCCACCAAACTTCAAATTAGGTGGGGACAAAAATGTCGAAAATGACGATGACGAAGAAGTCGAAGCCACGGACAATCTCCTCGGTCGACTCCGGCGAGGGATGAATATTATTGAAACTCACGCCAGAGAGACGATGGCTGAATGTCCGTCAGGTAGGGAAAAGTACACTCTTAGAAATCCGGTATTAAAATAATACCAAGCGGTATTGTTCATCTACATTATGTATGATTGTACCAAAATGGTATTGATAGCTGCTACCGTCTGGTATTAAAGTTTTACTAGATCATTTTTGCGGACCTTCATATAATTTTAATACCAAGTGGTAGCAATTTTAATACCGAGAAATCAATACCTGCCTGACTTTACCAGATTTCTAACCGTGTAGAAACCCAGTATTAAAATAATACCAAGCGGTATTCAGAAATATGTATATGACTCTGCCAAAGTGGTATTGATAAGTAATAATACCGTATAGTAATAGCTCTGTATTAAAGTTTAAGGACCATATCGGTAGCAAATTTTTCGGACAGGTATAACTTTAATACCAAGCGGTCACAGCTTCAATACCGAGAAATCAATACCTGTCAGACTATACCAGATTTCTAACAGTGTAGCAAAAAAATATGCATTTATGGAACAAACTTTCTCCTCTCGTTCTGCGGGAAGAAAAGTAGGAATTTGTTTGTTATTTTTTCTTACACCGTACGCTTTCTCTCGATAAGAAATTAGCTAAGTAAATTGGGTCACCCTACAATTCACCACCGTCGACACGCAACAAACTCCAGATTATGTAGGACAATTCCATTTCGTTATATATAAAACAAATAAATTACATACAATTCAAGTTCAATTCGGTTCGGGGAGCGTAAAAATCGATACAACAACCTCATTTCTCGGAATACCAACAAACATAACAAACCAATTTATTATCGCCTCGTCTCATTTTTCCCACTTTATCTACACCATTTCTCCCACTTTCTTGCACTTTCTCCCAGTTTCTTGCACCTCGCATTTCCTGCATTGCTTGCTTTGCAGTGCAAGAAATGTAGCAAATCGGCAAAAACTAGTCACTGCTTATCTCATCATAAAATATTTTATGTAATTTGCTCCACAGAGGAACTCGTCTCAATTTTCCCACTTTACCTTAATCTAACATATGATGTATTAATCTCATCTCATCATATAAACCCACATAATATTTTATACAATTTTCACAGCGGAATCCAGCCTCGACATGGAAGAACGTCTAGAGAAATCCACCCTGAGAATGTTAAAGGCTGAGAAATCCTTCGTCAACACGGCCAGAATCATTGCAGGCGTTGTGGACGACTTCGCTGGGGAATATGAGACCCCAGATGACGCCAAGAAATCATCAGAGCCCCACGAAAACAGTGAGGATCATGTAATTCTGTTTAGAGACGATATGCTCAAAAGTTCGTCAATTGCACCATTTCGAGAGAGGATGAACCAGGTGAGGGAAAAATTTGGGTAGAAATTAATGTAAACAATTCTTATTATGAAAAACATTTAAATTTCAGATTTTCGACGAGAGAATGACCTCTTTCCAAGACGGGCTCACCGACGATGTCCTCAAAGTGGATAAGCGATTTAAAAATCTCCAGCGACAGATCCGATACGGGAAAAAGGGTGAGGGATGAAGTCATTCATTTACAATGGAGGTCTCCCAGCGTATGCTCTCCGATTTTGAGCAAATTAGTGTGAATTGATCACAAATTTAATTAGGATGAAATTTGCGAATGGCACGATATCCCAATGGGCACGTTTGGCAGAGATGTTTGCATCCCAAAAGGAGAAAACGTGCCTGAAAGTCGACAAATTTCACACTTTCCAAATTTACTGCGCGTTTTCTCCTCTTCGGATGCAAATATCTCTGCCAAACGTGCCCATTGGGAGATTTTGTTTTTCGCAAATTCCATCCTAATTAAATTTGTCCTCGATTGACACTAGTTTGCTCAAAATTTGATCAGCATCCGCTGGGGGACCTCCATTGTTAGTTAAAACAATTGTTTTTTTTTTTACATATTTTTTAAATTTAAGACGCCGAACGTTCCAAATGTACCGACGCCTTGGACGATCTTCCCGGCGGGGGTGGAGACGTCCCTGACTTCCAAAACTTTGAAGAATTTCAGGACGACCGTCGAACCGCCGAGTCGGAGGAGGATGACGACTATGACGACGCCATCCTCCCCACGATGGACCCCCTCAGCCGAGAACCCATCAAAACCGCCGTCACCAACAAGTTTTGTCATCATGTGTATGACCTCGAGTCAATTACGGGTTTGATCAGGGACAATTCGGAGGCTAAGTTAGTCCTAAAATTAATTATTGCAATATTTTTTCAGAAATTAAATTATATTTTTTTTCGCAAATAAAAATAGGTGTCCAGTCGAAGGCTGCAAAAACGAGGTCGCCCTCAAATTCGCTGATCTCATCGTGCAACCAAAACTAACAGAACAAATTCGTACCAAGAATGATAAGCTTTATGGACGCAGCTATAATCATACCCATTTAATTAATCATCTAATATCACTTTAATTAAGTATTCTTCAATTGCAACTAATTTTACCGTAAAAATACTCATTATTTATTTGAGAGGTATACAATAACAAGCTTTATTATAATCCAATCCAGAGAAGAACAATTTCAAAATTTCATTTTTTGATCCCCATGCATTGTTAAATTTTTTTATGAAATTTGTTTTTCGATGCAAAAATCATTAACATTTTAAATATTCTTCAATTGTCATTAATTTCAGAATAGGTATATTCAACTAACCGCAAAATAATCTATTTATTTCTTATAGTAATTACAGAGATGAACAATTTCAAAATTTCATTTTTTGTACATTTCGAAATGCGAAATGAAATTCGTCGAACGAAATGTAAAAAATCATCACATTTTAATTAAATATTCTTGAATTGAGATTAATCTTGGTAAAAAAAACCTAAACCAATCTCAAAATTATTTATTTATTTGTATTATAATCCAAAGAAGTTAAATTTCAAAATTTCATTTTTTTTTCTCAAAAAATGAAATGCACAATCCACTTGATAGAAATCTGCATACAATATTGTAAAGTCGCATTTTTGCGAAATTGCGTTTTGGCTTCGTCCACCCGCAAAAAACAAATCGCAAAGACGGCTGCCTCTTCACATCTTCTTCCTCTTCATCATCTGTCCCTTTAAAATTATTCAAATTAACTCGTTCTTCTTTTTTAATTGTCCTCTAAATTCTCTTATCCACATTTACGTGTCTTATCTTATCTTTATGTGATGGATAAGGCCGCCGCCGCCGCATCGCTCTCAAGTCTCAAAGAGTAACTACTTACTTAAAAGTGTGTGATTCGCTCAGGGAATTAAAATTTAACTGCGTTGTTGCAAGAAGAGCTTTAACTTTTGAAGGAAATTGATGGAAATTTAATAAAAGTTCGAAACTGGAATTTCTGAGCCAATTAAGAGGAACATCGATTCCAACGACGACCAATAATATGGCAGCGCTGGACAGAGTTCTCGAGCTCAATTTTAAAAGTGAGGCGATCAAAAATTGTAAATTATAATTAAGTTTGCTTGTATTTTATTATTTGAATTAATTGAAATAGTTAGTAAATTATGGTTAATTGTAAATAAAGCTTAATTAATTAATTCTTCTAAATAAAGGTGAAGATGAAGAGCAACTCCTTTCCGACGGGTATGATTGGGCTTTACCACGAGCCTTTCAGGAGGAACGACACGTCGATAAGGTCGAAGGGAGGGAAAATACGCCGCAATGTTGGAGAATGAAGGAACGGGTGGGTTATCGAAGTGTGATATTTAATTATGTAACGTGTTAATTATTTAATTAAACCGATGTTCAGATGAAGACCGTCAGTGTGGCCTTGGTCATGTGTCTAAATGTGGGCGTGGATCCTCCCGGAGTCGTCAAAATGCAGCCTTGCGCCAGATTGGAGTGCTGGGTTGGTGAGTAATTAACAACAAATTAATTAAAATTACAAGAACATGATTTTAATTAATTATTTAATTGTAGATCCATTGTCCATGAGTGCGCAAAAAGCGCTGGAAAGCATTGGTGCCAATTTACAAAAACAGTATGAAAGGTAAACCCAACACATTTTTTCTTATCATCTGCTGACATTTAATTAGCGACATTTAATTAATGATTCTTAATTATTCTCAGGTGGCAGCCCAGAGCGCGATACAAGCAAAGTTTAGACCCGACGGTGGACGAAGTTAAAAAATTGTGCACTTCGCTCCGCCGAAATGCTAAAGACGAACGTGTCCTTTTTCATTACAATGGTCACGGCGTTCCTCAACCCACGACGAATGGGGAGATTTGGGTGTTTAACAGGGTATTAAAGCTAACGAATAATTATTGAATAGAATTAATTAAGGATTAATGAATATGAATATTAATTCCGACACTGTTTCAAAAAAACACACAAATTAATGAAAATTATTTGCTATTTCAGAATTATACGCAATACATCCCACTCTCGGTAATAAGTTATGAATAAGATAAGCTAATATAAGTTCCCTTGTTTAACCTTCAGTGTAACATTAAGATTTACGACCTTCAAACCTGGATGGGATCGCCGTCCATTTATGTTTACGATTGCTCCAATGCTGGGCTGATTGTGAAATCCTTTCATCAATTTGCAGAACAGCATCAGAAAGAATACGACGTAAGTTTAGTTTAATTCGAAATTTAGTAAATGGTAATTTGTATAATGCTAACAATATGGTTATTTTTGTTTATAGGAAATGTTGGCCAAGTCGCCAGCCTTGTCGAATTGTCCGCCTCCCAACTTCACGGGTTGTATACAACTGGCAGCTTGTGGGGAAACGCAATCCCTTCCAATGAATCCAGACCTTCCAGCAGATTTATTTACGGCGTGTTTGACAACTCCGATTAAAACGGCGTTGAGATGGTTCGTTCTTCAAAATAAGGACAAACTACTGCCAAACATCACGCAAGAAATGGTGGAAAAGTGAGTATTTCAGATAAAAGTTAGCTATTATAATGTTAGCAATTCTTGCTAATTTCTCGACCGTTCTGCAGAATTCCTGGACAGCTCAATGATCGTAGGACCATGTTGGGAGAGCTCAATTGGATTTTCACAGCTATCACGGACACCATTGCGTGGAATATACTGCCTCGCCATCTTTTCCAAAGGTATTTCTATTGGTGAAATACTGCACTTTTAAAATTGTAAATGTTTTAATACTTATTTATCGTAATTCTAGACTGTTCCGACAAGACCTTTTAGTTGCAAGTTTATTTCGTAACTTTTTACTCGCGGAAAGAATCATGCGAACGTATGACTGCTCACCCGTGTCGTCGCCCAAGTTGCCTCCCACTTACAAAGTATACAAATAAATTTCACCTCCTGCAACATTTCACTGGCCTGATTTTATCTCAACTTTCTTCTCGTTACAGCACCCCATGTGGAACGCGTGGGATTTAGCCTTGGACCTCTGTCTTGCTCAGCTTCCTCAAATAATCGAAGACATGAAAGAACACCCCACCAGCCCAGTTCCACCCGGAAATGGGAACGGAGGAAACGGCAATACCGCAACTAGTAGCGTCGCAGACGTCGCTAATGGATCGCCTCACACACCTTCACCATTTTTCGAAGAGCAACTGACCGCCTTTCAAGTTTGGTTGACGTTCGGAAACGATCCCGAGCGAGCCCCGCCGGAACAACTGCCCATCGTTTTGCAAGTCCTGCTCAGTCAGGTTCATCGCGTCCGAGCGTTAGAACTTTTGGGACGATTTCTCGACTTGGGATGGCTCACGGTCAACTTGGCGCTGTCCGTGGGAATTTTTCCTTACGTGTTGAAATTATTGCAATCCTCAGCGAAAGAATTGAGACCGTTGCTGGTCTTCATTTGGGCCAAGATTTTGGCTGTGGATCATGTAAGTTGGTAAATTTAGAGGAATATTTAAATCAGCAAATGGTATGCTTTCATGATTTTTTTTCAGACGTGCCAAAGTGACCTAGTTCGAGACGGAAGTCACAAATACTTTATTGCCATGATCGGCGACACAACGCTTCCGTTCGAACACAGGACCATGGCGATATTCGTCTTGGCTAATATTGTTCGAAATTTCAGATCAGGACAACAAGCAGTTTTACAAGCGAATGCTATCGCCGTATGTTTAGAAGCGTTAGGTATTTATGAACTTTATATATACTAATGAGCAAAATCGTCAAAATCAGCACGTTTTTAATCATATCTCAGCTTTTGGAATTAATTTTAAAATTCTGGACGACAAATTTGTAGAGCAGGGAGTTGCCAATTTAAATAAATATACACTCAAGATTTTGACAGTTTTTGAAGGACGAGATTCCAAGTTTAAGAAGCCTTCAGAAATATTGGAACTCATCGAAACTGGCTGAAAAAACTCGACGTCATTCCATTAATCAACTCACTACTGACGACACAGTTCAGAATTTTGTTGTTCAGAATTTTAAATAAATTCCCAGAGCTGAGAAATGATTGAAATGTGTTGATTTTGACGAATTTGGTTATGATTCATCCAGTTCTACTTTAAATTCAGCAGGATTATATTAAATTTGCATTTTATTCTATAGACGAAAGCGACGCCGAGCTACGACGTTGGGTCTGCATTTGTCTGGGTCTCACTTGGGCGGAATTTCCATCCGCTCGTTGGTGTGGCGTGAGGGACTCTGCACACGAAAAGATTTACAACATTTTGGAAGATCCCAACCCAGAAGTCCGCGCCGCAGCGGTGTTTGCTCTCGGAACATTTATCAACAGCAGCAACGAGCGATCCGAGCATTCCAACTCGATCGATCACTCCATCGCAATGACAATCATTTCAAAACTTGGAACCGAGGAGGCCTCTCCCCTCGTCCGGATGGAGATTACCGTCGCCCTGCACAATTTCGTCCTCGCATTTGAAAACAACTTTATTACCATTGAACAACAACAGATCGCAGCGCAGGGTAATTTTCAGAACTTACAATGGAAGACTCCCAGCGTATGCTCTTCGATTTTTAGCAGACTAGTGTCAATCAATGACAAATTTAATTAGTATGAAATTTGCGAAAGCAGTGTTCTCCCAATGGGCACGTTTGGCAGAGATATTTGCATCCCAAGAGCAGAAAGCGCGCAGTAAATTTCGAAAGTGGAAAATTTGTACTACTTTACGGCGGGTTTTGTCCTCTTCGGATGCAAATATCTCTGCCAAACGTGCCCATTGGGAGATCACGTCTTTCGCGAATTTCATGCTAATTAGATATGTGATCGATTGCCACTAATTTGCTAAAAACCGTAGAGCATACACTGGGAGACCTCCATTGTCAGTTTCCAGAATTTAATCTGCACTGATAACTTTAATTAACGATTCACTAAATTTCTTAGAGCTCAAAATGGCCTCGCCCGCCGGAGGAAACAGCATGCGAAGAATTTCCAGCCATGCAAAAATGCGACTTTTAGCCAACGCTAATCCTTTAGCGACCGTCACGGGGGCAGAGACGCACAACATGAATCACGATTCCATGCGACGAGTTGCATCCAGCAGCTCGCTCTCTAGTCTTTGTAAGCTGACGAAGAAATTAATTTTAAAAATACCATCAATTTTTTCAAACTGCATGCTCTCCTGCTTTCTAGTCCAGTGTTATGTAGTAGTATCGTAACCAGTATGTAGATACGTATTTATGTAAATGGTGTGAAACAAGTAGTGGGTGTATCGCCAGCTTGGGAGGTGTTGGAGGCTAATCTGTTCATTTTTATTGTCCCCTTGCTCACCTGTAGTAATAGCTTTTAGCCCCTTATCCGCTGCCGGTTCGGTTGGAGGAATTTACGGAAAGGTCTGGGCTACTATTACGACCTACGAGAAGGATCCTTACCACGGAGTCGCTTTACTCGCGAGAACTGTTCTTCAAAACATTCGGATTAAGGCGAAAGAAGCTATGAAAATTAATGGAGGCAGTAAGTCGTCAAAATTACACTAATGCGTTCCCATTAATGTATGTAGGACTGGATGATTTATCACCAAAATCGTCAAAATCAACACATTTTTAGTCGTTTTTCGGCTATGGGAATTTATTTTAAAATTATGGACGACGAATTTGTAGTCGGTGAGTTGATTGATGGAATGACGCTGAGTTTTTTGAGCCAGTTTCGACGAGTTCCAATTTTTCTGAAGGTTTCTTGAACTTGAGATCTCCTCCTTCAAAAAGTGTCAAAATCTAGAGTGTATATTGTTTAAAAATTGGCAACGACCTGCTCTACGAAGTCCTCCAGAATTTTAAAATAAATTTCTAGCGATGAGAAATGATTAAAAATGTATTGGTTTTGATGAGAAGCCATTGAGTCCTACGTTAAGACAATCTTAACATTATTATTTTTTTTAGATAAGCTCAGCCTCTCTCTCGCCAACTCATCCATATCTTCCACCGGTTCTGGTGGGCCATCCGTTTCCATATCCTCAGTGGCTTCCACCCCCATTAAAAGCAATACCGGCACGGTGACAAGTGGGAGTGGAGCGAGAAGAACGCCATCACCGGATCCCACGGGAAGTGGGGACATTACCAAATCAACCAGCAGCTTCCAACCATTAATTGGGACAAAGTACATTGAATGGTGTTGGGATCGTTTTGCTCGGCCCAGTGCTCCTGGCTCGGTCGTTTTAGGGACGCCGCTGACCTGCTGCCCATCCACGACATATGTCGACCCTCATGACCCCATCCAGCATACCAGAGATTGGAGGTTCACATTAATTGCATATTTATAATTTGATCGATTGTTCTGTGCTAATATTATGCGTAATTTTAGATACGTACGAAATTCTGGGATACGTCGAGAATGTTTCCGTCGTCCGAAAGCCTTCCCAGGAAAAATCGATGAACAAATGTTCAGGTTGGTGAATAAATAAACGTCACAAGAGATATGTTAATCTCGCGGAAACGTAGTGTAAACGGTCATGGGTTGATCGGAAGTCGAAAATATTGACGGCGTTGGATTTGTGGTGAAATTTGCTATAAAATGGTATGAAAATTAAGGTCCAATTTGACATTTAACCACGCCAGGGTTTTGCCTTGACCACAGATTTTTCTAACTGGACCGAGGGCCAAAATTTAGAACCACAAACAATGGCGAAAATGGCGTTTAATTATATTTGGTCGTATACATAGACGGACAAAATGATAACAATAACTCCGCGTTCACTTACTGACCACTTCGTTCCGCTCGTTATAATAATTGTCTAAATTTTGTTTTTGGATTAAAAAAAATTGTTCTGGTAAACTTTAGCTCAAGAAGTTTACACTCGTCGCATGGCAGCTCGCCCAGTTCGGCCGCATCGTCGCCCTCGTTCAATTTTAGTCTTCACTCGGCCCCGTCTCTAGTTCGCCTTCATGATTACGAGAAACTTGTGGTAGCTTCGGAAGGCTCGGTCTTCTCGCTTTATGATTTAAGTAATAAGATTTTAAAATTTATTGATCAAAATATATTTACATGCACAGAATTGTAATTGATCTCTCTCTTCTTACAGCCGACACATCACGACTAATTTGCAAATCTGACAATTCTTCTGATTCAAGAATCACAGCGATTGATTGGATAAATGCACATGACGAAAGTTTGATTATCATTGGTATGTTTTTTAATCGGATTTCTTTGCTGATACACTATTAGAAATCTGGTATAGTCCGGTACGTATTGATTTCTCGGCGTTAAAGCTGATACCTCTTGGTACTAAAAATTATACCGACCCCTAAAAATTTGCTAGCGATATGGTAAAACTTTAAAACACCAAGCTATTACTACATGGTGTCACTTGTCAATACCACTTTGGTATAGTCATACGTGAGTACCGCTTGGTATTATTTTAATAATGGATTGCTACGCTATTGTAAATCTCGTATAGTCGCGCAGGTATTGATTTCTCGGTATTAAAGTTGCTACCGTTGTTATTAAAATGATAAACTTTAATACTGTAGACGGTATAACTTATCAATACCACTTTGGTATATGAATACCGCTTGGTATTATTTTAATACTGGATTTCTAAGAGTTTACTTGAGTATTTATTTGCATGAACAATGTGTTTTAATTACACAGGAACGGACGATGGCTCCGTCCGAGTTTGGAAACCAGACTTGGAATCCGGAAAACCAAGACTGATCACCGCGTGGAACGCACTATCGGATTTGGGTCTCATTAATAAGAGTTCAAAATCATACGGGCTTCATTTAAAGTGGGATTTAGAAGGGGAGAAAGTTTTGGCGAGTGGCGATACGAAAATCGTTCGAACCTGGGACATAAAAACGGAGTTGAGAAAAGGAGATTATCCAACAGGATTTGATTGTCCCGTGACTTCCATTGACATGCATCGTTGTGGTGGGTTGTACAAAATTTTATGGAAATTTTGATCCTGATTTCAAAATTTTATATACAGCTTTGAGTCAAAGTTGAATTTTGAAATCTAAATCTTGGTCAAAGTCTGACCCTGAGTCATTTCAAAATTTGATATACAACTTTGACTCTGATTTCAAAGGTTTATGAAAATTTTGACCCTAATTTCAAAAATTTCTCACATTTCAGAACCTCAATTGGCCGTTTTGGGCATGGAGGAAGGAGCCGTTCGTCTTATCGACTTTCGCCTCCCTCCAGCCGAATGTGGTGTCGTGACGTGGCGTGAATTTGGAGATGGTTGGATTGTTGGCGCCACTCTGCGATACGATAGGACCGTCGTAGCGGGAAATGCTAACGGTCGCGTCAGATTTTTCGACTTGAGATCAAAATCACCAACGAAAACGTGTGAAACCGGTGCGTGCGAAAAATAAGTCATAGAAAGTTTAGTTTTATTGTGTAAAGTACTATGTTCTCTGAGAACAGAGGCCTTTTATTTTGAGCAAATTGGTGTCAATCGATTACAAATTTAAATCGGATGAAAGCGAAAAACACGATCTCCAAATGGCCACGTTTGGCCAAGATATTTGCATCCAAAGAGGAGAAAACAAGCAGTAAAGCTGGAAAGTCACCTTTGGGGCGCATTTTCCCCTCTTCGGATGCAAACATCTCTTACAAACGTGCCCATTGGGAGATCGTGTCCATTGCAAATTTCATATTAATTAAATTGGTCATCGATTGACACTAGTTTGCTCAAAATCGGACAACCTACACGCTGGGAAACCTTCATTGTAACTGATTTTTGTCCGAATTTTCAGGCACTGACATTACCGCACTAGCCATCCATCCGCATCTTCCCTACTTTGCTGGGTCAGTATTTAATTAAATTAATAATTCCACACTTATGTATGCAAATATTTATTAATTGATCCCATTAATTTTTGTGTAGCGGATGTCTCAACCATTCCGTAAACGTGGTAAGTAATTATACTCACTCAAAATAATCTTTCTCCCTGAAATTTCTCCATTTATTTTTATTTTCATTTGTTTCCAGTACGGATTCATGGGCCAAAGTGCATTCCAAGCAAATGCGATCAGAGACAGTTTATTCATCACTGGACGAATGGGTGCCGTCACCTCGTTACATTTCCACCCATACAAATCGATCCTCGCCACGGCGGATTCTTGCTCTGTCAACGTTTACAAGACTCGAGGGCTCCTCACGCTATAAATGATGATAATCCAACCAGCAACTTTACTCACTCAATTGATAATCAAAATCAAGCCACGTTACATAAATATTTGTAATATTATTCAGCCAGAATACGTTACATTAGATTTAAATAAGCAGCTACTGTACATCCCAGTCTAAACAAATGAGCAATACTATTCAAATATTTTTTCGTCCTATTCTGACAACGATCAAAACTTTAAATCTAGTAATTTTTTCTTTAGTTTGTATGTAAAACAAAATAGTTTTATTTTATTAGTGTGTAGCTAAACGATTTAGATGACTTTTGTTTCCTTCAATTGTGGAGATAGATTTTTTGTCTCTGACCTTATTTCTGATAACCGTGTTTCTGATAACCAGATTTATGATAACCTTCTTCCTCTTTTTATGTTTTAGTCAAGTCAAATTATGATTATTACGCAGCTATTATTCTTTAAGAAAACTTGGTTGAGACGAAAACGAAAAATAAAAATAAAATTGTGAAATGGAAAAATCACACGTGTCGATTTTTTTTATATTTTGGAATTTTAGAAAATATATATATATTTATATATTTCCATTTTTCATACAATTTTCATGAAATTTTCTGCGCATGATTTTCCTGCATCGAGTTGCATTCGAGTTTTATCTGAAGTATCGCATGAAAATTATGACAATAACAAGCAATAAAACAACTTCTTAAATTTCTTCAAATTTTTATTTCCAAAAATTTGACAACTCATTTTTTCTAAATAATTTAAGCGATTAGAATAGATATTTAAGATAAAACATATAAAACGTAGCTGCCATAAAATTCACAATTATCAAACAATCCAATTCTTACATATTCCATTGATTGCGACTTCTTTCTTACAAGTTTTTGCATACTTTAAAATAATGCAACTTTGAAAATTATTCAGTTTCAGTTCGTTTTTTGTTCACCATCATTTACAAAAAGTACAAAATACATACAAAAATTGGCTTTATACAACTATAAATATTAATTTGAATAGTATGACTCAGAACCGGAAGGCTGCTTCTTCACTTTGACAAGGAATTTATAAATAGTTTAAAACGCATCAATTAAAATCATATTTATGCAAATGTAAATGTATGGATTAGTAATTTGGAGCACCAACCATAAATAAATTTTTTAAAAACGCGTCGTGCTGTGCAATTCTAAATTTTTTAACTACAACAACTCTTAAATAGCTAAATATTTGCATAAATATTCTAAAAAATTGTCTTGAAATGAGAATCATTATTTACAAAAGGAAGAGAACATTTCCCAAAAAAGGAGGCAGTATCACAAATAAAATTTATAAAAAAAGAACATAAATTAACAAGTTTATATTTCTGAACACGTTTGCATAGCTGAGAAGTATTATAAGCAGATTGTATAAAAAATGTTCGTTGGTTGGCTGAATTTTTAGGAACTTATTACTCTAAAAAAAACTCGTTATTTTTCCGTAATCAACTTCATTTCATCATCAATTTCTCACTAATTTTAAAAGCATCATCTTTTTTTTACAAGTTTTTGAAAAAAATTAAATGCACCACCAACTTAAAAATTTCTTTTCCTACAAAATTTGCCTACTTTTTTTCAAAATTTCTTCCAGTCTCGATACAATTACACACATACCTAAATGTACAATTAAATTTAAACAGTCTTGTCAGTGATGGATCAAATTTCTAAAAAAATTCTTAATTCCCATTCATCGCCGCAGCATTCGCATTATTTCCATTCGTCGTACTGGGTCTAAAAGTTGAAAAAGTCGCGACTGGCCTGTTCAAATAGGGATTAAACGACTTATACCCTCCCCCAGTCGTCACAAAATCCGGCGACGCCGCCCCCGCCATAACGCCATTATTCTTCCTTTCCCTGTGATCATTATCGTCCACCACTTTAACCCTCGCGCTCGGAAGCGTGTTGGTTATCATGACATTTCTAAATTCCTCTCCAGGCTTATCTTTCTCCAGAGAATTCGACCTGATCACCGGCGTGGCCACTTTTCTCCCGAGACTCGCGTAGATCCCGCCACCTCCCGGTTTCTTGAGAAAAACGGGTTCGTTCCGGTGGGGCGGGACGGCGGGGGGGATATCGCCACCACCCCCGCTATGACTACTGCTCGTACTCGTACTCCTCCTCCGCTGTTCTTGTTGCTCATTTTTTTCCACCTCTTCCGCCTCCAAACGTTGCAAATATGAAGGTCGGGACCGGCGAATTGTGGAGAGATGGCTTTTTCCAGGAGTGTCCCCGTCGCAGGCGGAACCATTCATCGCGTTTGAGGGGGCATAAATAATTTCTTTTGGGTTGGTCGAACTTGGCGCGGGGAGAGAGGCGATGGGGCGCATGTTGTTGGGAGGAGTGGCCGCGGAGGTGTTGAAGTAGTTGATTTTCGCGACGTAGCTGGATGGCGAGTGGGTTTGGGGGGGTTGATTTTGAGTTAGGGGGGTAGGTGGGGATGGTTTAGTGTAGAAGCCGGGGGACGTTTTGGCCGGTGGGGTGACGAGTTTTGGTGGTGGCGTGGTTTTTGGTATCCCGTTTACGGCACACATTGGTTTAAGCGAAGAGGAGGAGGCGTTGTTGGTGGGGGGAGGAGTTTGATGTTGAGGTGGCGTTGACGACGAGGGCGGTCGGCGTGGCGGGGTGGACGTTGAATTTGACATAATTGCGGCGGGGCTGTGCTGCGGAATGGGGGGACTAGCCGTGGTTTGTGGCTGTGGTGGGGGTGTCGGTTTCTGATACGGGGGACTAAATAGTGCCGATGACAGAGAGAAATTTGTCGGACTGGGGCGATTATACCCTTTCGGTGGGGGTGGTTTTACTGGAGGGGGACTAGAGCCTGTAGGTTGTGGGGTTTGTAATGGTGGCGTGGTTTCCCGTGCGAATAGCTTGCTCGTAGGGGTCGACAAGATCGTTGAGGGGGAACTGCTCCTCACCCCGGACGAATACAGCATTTTGTACGTTGGCGTCGTCACAGAACTCGTCGACAAACTGGCACCACTTCGCGGCGCCAGGGACGACGCGGGCGAGGGCGAATGTTCCCTGCTGCTCGTCGTCGTCGCCCTTCCTGTCGCCAAACCGACTGAATTTCCCGTTTCCGCTGTATTTTCCCTTCTATTCGTCGTCGTCGCCCCCCTTCCCCCTTCCGCCCTCTTCTTCTCCTCCATCTCCTCCTGCTGCATCTGCAACGCCGCATTCGCCGCGGCCGCGGCCGCCTTCTTCCTCGCTTTCGACCTTTTCCTATCCACCGAATTATAGATCGATTCCCTATTCCGGGTCTTAATTTCAGATATGATTTCACCCAGCAACCCACCCCCATTCTCACTCGTCGAACTCGTCGTGGACAACGTTTCCAACTTTTCTTCCAGCAAATTCGTACTCATCGCGGCGAGGGTTTTCTTGTTTTCCTCCGATTTTGAGGGGCTCGACCCCTCCGAATCTTCGGACGAGGCGAGTTCCACTTTCCCCTCCATGCCGGGACAAATCCCTTCGTCAATCGTGTCGTAAATGTTGTCTTCTTTATGGTTATCTTGCGGTGAGGGGGGCAACAGTTGCGGGCTCGTGGTCGGAATAGGGGGAGGTTTTATGGAGGACGAAGAAATCAACCCATTTCCAAACAGGATCGACCTAAAGGGCGGATTGATTCCGCCGAATCGGTGCGACGCATAGGATTTCGGGGCGGGCGCGGGTGGTGGTGGCGCGGGTGGCGTGGCGACGACAACCGCTTCACTTTCTGTCGTCTTTGTCGACGACGACGCGCTACTAATTCCGGAGTCGGTACTGCTATTACTTCCGGACGAATTGGATCTTCCTGCGGCGGAAGTGATGCCGCTATTAATCTTGTTCCGCAACCATTCCCCACCCCCCACGGCGCTCCGACCGAAGGAAAACTTCATGATGGACTCTCTCACAGAGGAAGGACTAGAAGATGCGTTCGTCACGGTGGGATTGTACGGGGGTGGGGTGGAGGATTTGAAAAAGGTGCGGGGCGGGGTGGACGTGGACGAAGAGGGGGGAGGATTCGGGGCGGGTGGCGGCGGTGGTGGCGGGGACCCGGGTGGATTCGGGGAGGCCCGGAAGGTCGGGAACGTCTCAGCGAGTTATAGTTTGGCATGGAGTTTCGATTCGGGGGGGAATTTGAGGAGGAGGAAGATTGAATCATGGAATTGGCGCGTTGAACTTTGGGCGCGGTTTTGTTAGCGCTCGATGGCGGGGGCGGGGTTAGGTCGCGCTGTTGGAGGCGCTGGACCGATTTCAGGGCGGGTTTTGGTTGAGTTACGCTGCTACTGCTGCTGGGAAGGTTGCTGTATCGGGGGGATTTTCTTCCAGCGTCGACAGTGTCGTGACATTCTTTCGTGGGGGATTCGTCGGCGAGGGGAATGTTGGCGTATCGAGGTTGATCGAGGGGATTGATGCTGATGCAGTTTTGCATCTTTTGGGAAGAGATTAGGTTGTCGGAGAGTAAGATTGGCTTCGAAATCTCGACCTGGAAGAAAAAAATTAGGTCAAAATCGTTGCTAAATCATGACTCGATGACTCATGGACTCATCGTCAAAATCTCAGCAAATTTATAGACATTTCTCCGCTCTGGAAATTTATTTTAAAATTCTGGACAGCAAATTTGTAGCGCAAGTCGTTCCCAGTTTTTAAAAAAATATACACTCCAGATTTTGACACTTTTTGAAGGAGATCTCAAGTTTGAGAAGCCTTCCGAAAAATTGGACTCATCGAAACTGGCTCAAAAAACTCACCGCCATTCCATCAATCAACTCACCGACTACAAATTTGTCGTCCAGAATTTTAAAATAAATTCCCAGAGGCGAGAAATGATTAAAAATTTGCTGATTTTGACGATAAGTCATCAATTACTACGTTAAATTCGTATTTAATTACCTTCTTTTTACTCCCCCGTGAAACCATTCCCTCCAAATCCTTCGCCCCCATGGACGAATTCGACCTTCCCAACGTACTCCTAATAAACGGCAATGCCGCCGCGAGTCGACTAGTCAGACCGGAAAAGGAGGCCTCCTTTTTCAACCCGAACCTTGGTTTCGTACTCTGCTGCTCCTGTTCCGGACTGACTAACTCTTTTTCCGGCGATGTCGGACAATTCGCCGAGGGCGACGAGTTCCCCGAATTATTTTCATAGAGCGGCGTATCGCTCCCCGCGCTGTCTTCTTCCTCCGGCGAAAGTCTGTGTTCAATGGGTTGCGCCCAGCTCACGCCGCGCCCCACGCTCCCATTTCCGCCGCCCACGCTGAATTGTGGTCTGGACGAGGTGGACGTCCCGTTTCCGGTCTGTTTGAGCAGGGTCGTCGGCTTATCGGACGTTTTAACCAGGATGGATTCCTCTCTTGAGTTATTTGCGTTGGGTCGACCTCCTTCCTTTAAAATGGGAACGTTGACAGTGGTGGTGGACGAGTTGTTATTGTTGACTGCGGTATTAAATATAATTGAATAGATTATTAAATTAATTATTTGGGTTACTAATTGATTAACAGAGGTGGACATAATAAAAAATTTGTCAAAATATGAAGTATTTTGAGCCCCGTTCTTTCCAGAGTTTTCTGGTGCTGTTACACCCACAAAAAGGCCATAATTTACATAACGAAAGGCAGTCGAAAATACGTGTTTTTTTAAGAAATTAACTTTTCATCGATGTCAAAATTCTATATTTTAAAAAAATCGTGAAAACAATGCATTTTGACGCCGATAAAAACTGAAATTCTTCACAAAACTCGTATTTTCTTACGTCTTTTGCTCTCTGTACCACCCCCAGAAATTCAAATCCCTGACAGAGCCCAAAATACTGTCCTATTTTTACCCCGTATTTTGCCCCCCACTGCTCAATCATATCACTAACTATTCCATCCTTACCGTTCGCGCTGGCCGACCTAGTTTTCATAGGTGCAAGTGAAAATCCTTTATAGTTTCCGAAGAGGTCTTCCCCCACGGGGCTTTGGGGCGAGGTGGTGGTGGAGGTAGGGCCCTGCGGTGTGGGGGACGAGATGACCCGCCCATTCGAAGCTCCTCCTCCCGATGGTGGGGGTGGTTTTGGTGGTGAATTTTGACCGGACCGGGGTGACGATAATCTATAAATTCAATACGTCGAGATGATGACGATGACGATGACACTGTCGAAACGGGGTTATTTCCACTAATTCTACAACTACTGGATTAGTTTTCAGGCGGGAGAGGAGGGTTAAAAAACGGGATTTTTTTACGTGGAGAAAGAAAATCATAGAAAAGAAAATCATGCAAAAATGTTAGTAGGAAAAATAAATAAACGTGCAAAAATTCATGCAATTTTGTCCTGCTTACGTCGGATTTGCGACCGCACTTAATCCCCCGCGGCGAATTTCGAGACATAACTTCTTTAAAGAGCCGTTTGCATAGTAGAGATAAAAAGTTATGATGGCGATTAATGGGATGAATCCAAACACGGTGACTTTCAAGGCTTTCAAAATTTTGGAGGATCCTAAATAAATGAAAAATTTAAGTTTAAAAAAAAATAATTTGTATTTAACTTACTGTTTCATTTGCCCGGAGTTCTTAAAACGAGGATAGAGTTTGTAAGCCAGTTCCCTTGTAAAACTCTATCCTCGTTTTAAGAACTCCGGGCAAATGAAACAGTATGCAGGACTCGATGACTCATCGCTCAAATCAACACATTTTTAATCATTTCTCGCCTCTGGGAATTTATTTTAAAATTCTGGCCGACAAATTTTTAGAGCAAGTCGTTCCCAATTAAAAGAAAATATACAGATACACTCCAGATTTTGACACTTTTTGAAGAAGATCTCAAGGTTAAGAAGCCTTCAGAAAAATTGGAACTCATCGAAACTGGCTCAAAAAACTCAACGCCATTCCATTAATCAACTCACCAACTACAAATTTGTCGTCCAGAATTTTAAATATATTTCCAGATTTTTTATGAAAAGTTATGAAGTCGATTTATGAAATATTAGAAACAAAGTATTACAAATATGTATTAACTCAGGTCTGTCAAGAACTGGTATGAATATTTGTTTTAAAAAAATGGCAACGACTACACCTCTACAAATTCGTCGTCCACAATTTTAAAATAAATTCCCAGAGTCGAGAAATTATCAAAAATGCGTCAATTTTTCCGATTTTGGTGATGCGTCGTCAAGTCCTACATACGTTCACATTTATGCAAATTTACCCATATGATACGGTGGCCCACTATCGACCGACCCTCCAAGACCTGGCCCTTCACATAGCGCTCCACCATATCCATCATTACAGTGACAATGCCCCTTCGAATTGCAGACGCCATGACTAGAACAGTCCCCACCGCAAAGTTCGCCCAATACGCCGACGACGCCCTTGGCCTCGACACACTTTTGCGCCACGCACATCTTTCCGCTTCCGCAAGGCGCGCCGTCCGGCACCATTCCGGGCGAAATGTCGCTCAGCCCGAAGTCCACGATGACGCTGCGACACGGATAAATCTTGCCGCCCGCGTTGACAAAGAAGGAGGCCAGGATGGCGGCGGATTCGTAGCCGTATTCTAACTTTTCAGTGTTCATTTGACAGTGGAGGACGCCACATTTCGAGTCCCTGGAAAAAAGAGAGGCAGAAATTCAGTGTTTCGGGTGACTGCAACCATGTAATTTGCAAGAAATAACGGCAAAGAAGTGTTTTTTGCAGGGATTTTGACCTGCAACGCACAAGAAACGACGCCCCGCCGCTATATTTTATACGGCACGTGGCTAGATGGCGCATGTTTCTTGCAGTTTCTTGCACCTCGCATTTCTTATTTTGCAATGCAAAAAAAAGTAGCAAGCCCGCAAACTAAACACTTATTAATTCGCAAATAAACTCTGCAAATTCGTGATCAGTGTTTCGGGTGCGAATAACCACTTGCAAAAAATAACGACAAAAAATTAGTTTTTGCAGCTATTTTGACGTGCAAAAAATGCGCAGAGCAAGGAACTATTTCTCGCCGCTATACTTCATACGACGCATTTTCTTGGATTTTTTGCAGTTTCTTGCACCTCGCATTTCTTGCATTTCAGTTCAAGAAATGCACCAAACCCAAGAAACGAAACAGTGCAAAAATCATTGCAAATTTTATTTCCAAAACATTCATCTTTTCCACTTACTCTGTCGCACACTGCGCATACTTTTCCGTGAGAAGGTCATACCCACAATGAGCTAACCGTGACCCGTTGCTATTCCTCTGGTAGCACAAATCCTCCGAATTATTTCCGGACGGACCCCACAATAATTTACACTGATCCGTATGCGTCCGACATTCTCCCGCGTAGCAGTAGGCCTGGAATTAATTAAGCAGTTAAATTAAATTAAACAATTACGTAATCAATTAATTAAATTCATACCTTCCCGCTCGGCGTCTCGCACTCCAGCCCGTCCAGCATTTTAACATCTTCGGGACAAAATTCGCTCTCTCCTGTGCAAAATTCGGGAAGATCGCAGCGCCCGCTTGTTTCGCGACATGGCGTTCCACCCGTTTTTACGTGGCATGTCTGCAAGAAAGCAAAGTAAATAAGTTTCCGGGATTAAAATACATTCCAGGTTTTTTTGTGCCCGCAGCTCATCTCATCTCACTCGTTACTCGTTACCTCATTAAATTCAGAGGAGAAGAAGAAGAGGAAGGGAGGATTGCATGTTTCTCTTTCTCTTTTAAACGACTCCAGAGTGCGGAGTGATAAGAGAATATGAGGGTAAAAATAGAGAGATCAACATCTCACGACCTCTCAGTCTCTCTTTCTTCGTGGAGTGGCATTAATGATTCGATGCACCCTAAAATATTTAACCCTTCTGTTTTCTAATTAGAAATGTTGACTAAATTCTTTGACACTCTTATAAAACTGGTATATTAACCGGAATATACATGTGACTCTACGGGAACTGTAATAAAAGACATTACCCTTTAGTAATGTTGCGGTTCTGAAAAATTTCCCACTGAGGTACAAACTACTACCCATCCGGTGGGAAGTTATTACCAGATCAATACCGGTACAAAGTATATATGTGACTCTACCAGATTTTTAGCAGTGTATTGATATATAAGTAACACCGTGTAGTAATAGCTTGGTATTAAAGTTTTATCATATCTGAAGCAAATTTTTAGGACCGGTATAATTTTAATACCGAGAAACTATACCAAACTGAGAAAATTGGTATTAAATCATTACAGAACGAAGTACATATATGCACATTATGCACCTATTCCTCTACCGGCACGGTAATAACGGGGATTAAGTTACCGTTAGTAATATCGTAGTAGTGAAAAATTTACCACTCAGAAACAAACTAATACCAATCCGGTAGGAAATTATTACCAAATCAATATCAGTATATTTCTGTAAACATCTGACTCTGCCAGATTTTTAACACTGTATGTTTTTACCAGGGTATCGCAACAAGTTCCCGATGCACAGGTCGCATTGTCATGAATGAGACAGGTTGAGGCGTCACAGCAGGGATTGTCGCAGTGCTCCGGAAGCCCACAGTCGCACTCTTCGCCCGGCTCGGTGAACCCGTTTCCGCACGTGGGACCGTTGTAAAGGCTGAAAACATAACAACCAGTTGAGAACATGATGATTCATTTTCAAAGGAAAATTTCCGGACAGTGTTTCGGGTGCAAGAAATAACGGGAACAAAGCGGTTTCTTGTAGGTGAATATTTTGACCTGCAAGAAATCCGAGGCTCAAGAAACTACACCCCGCTGCCATAAATACTTCATACTGCGCGTGGCTAGATGGTACACATTTCTTGCACTTTCTCCCAGTTTCTTGCACCTCGCATTTCTCCCGTTTCTCGCATTGCAGTGGAAGAATTGTAACAAACTCGCAAGAAACGAAGCACTGTTTCCGGTTCCGGATGTGAAAATGCGTACCTGATTGGCTTATTCCTGAGACAATAGTCCATCCCATGTTCGAACGCGTACGCCATATCCTTTATGCTGCACGAACTCCATTGCGAGGTCCGATTCGAGCTGGAATATTTGATCCCATAAATTTTTAACTTTGCTTTTATAACTGATTTCCTAACGTAATTTAATTTACGTACCTGGCCGACGCCGCCATGACGCATCGATTCCCTTCCGCCGGACAGTGACAGTCATCCCCATCGTGCGAAAGACCAAAATTATGCCCCATCTCGTGCGCCACAGTGGTGGCCACGATGCCGACTAGATTATGGCGGAAATCGGAATTCACTCCCCCCGAATATTTGAACGAGCACATCGGACCTTGCATAGCCTTGCCGACGACGCCATCCTCAAATTCGACCCCGCTGAAATACAAAATATTTGCAAATTAACCACTTCGTGTCAGAATAATAATAAAATGTATTAATTATTCAGTACACATCCTTCCGCACTACTCATTTTTGTTCTGATTCAATTGTAGATGTAAAACGTGGCGGTAGCTTGATCCACACTCAAATTCTCGAATCTGTAACTTTTTTCAACGGCCCGTCGCATTGTTGCGATTGATTGTAGAAATTCATGAATTTTTGAAAATCCCCACATTTTTATTCTACTAATAATTGCGGAACCTAAACATTCTACAGTACGTGAATGTAATCAGAGTAAAAATGACTATGGTGTTTATTCTGATTCTGCTACATTTGCATTCAAGTACTGTAGAATGTTTAGGTTCCGCAATTATTAGTAGAATAAAAATGCGGGGATTTTCAAAAATTCAACTTGAATACGTGCATATTTCTACAATCAACTCCAAGAATGAAACGGGACTGAAAAGTGTTCTAGATTCAAAAAATTTGAAGGTGAATCCCACAATCTGAATCCAGTGTAAAAATGACTATTGCAAAAGATGTCTATTCCCCAGTCGACATCAACTCACGTCAACAATTGAGCATTATCATTGGGATGATCCTTCAGCAGGCGTTCTCTTCGATACAATAGAAACGATGACAAGGTGTCATCCCCCTTCGCGGAGATGGCGATCTCGTCCCTCTCGCTCCACACGACCACGCCGACCAACGCGACGAAAATGTTGAACGGTTGGTACAGCGCGTTCACAATGTTCGCGACGTCTTTGCTCCGTCGCACGGCAGCTTTCACGTCGCCACCCAGGTCGCGATACTTCTTGTTGTCCACGACCATGACGAGTTCGACGTAGCGCGACTTTCCGTTCGAGTTCCAAGGCAGGCGAAGGTCAGAGTGGGAGGAGGCGCCTCGTTTTACGCGGGTGACGTTTTTTGGGGAGGAGGGGGCGTCATGACCTGCGAAGAAACATTTATAATAAGCATTAGCCATATCTTATCTCCACAATTATCAAAAAACATCATGTTTTTAATCATTTATCCGCTCTAGAAATTTATTTTAAAATTCTGGACAAAAAATTTGTAAAGCAAAGGCTGTTGCCGATTTTTAAGAAATATGCACTCCAGATTTTGACACCTTTTGAACGAGAAGATTTCAGGTTTACGAACTCTTTAGAAAAATTGAAGCTCATCGAAACTGGATTAAAAACGCATTGACATTCAATTAATCATCTTACGGACTACAAATTCAACCCATTTCAAATCAATTTTGTCGACTTTGAGAATTTATTTTAAATTTCTGAGTGAGTTGATGCTGAGTTTTTTGAGCCAGTCTCGATGATTTCCAATTTTTCTGAAGGCTTCTTAAACTTGAGATCTCCTCCTTCAAAAAGTGTCAAAATCTGGAGTGTATATTTTTAAAACAATTTGGAACAACCTGCTCTGCAAATTTGTCGTCCAGAATTTGTATATAGCTCTACAGTAATTAATTACATTGTCACCCTCTCTGGTTAATAGTACTATTTATGTGCATGGCTGGCGTGTCCAAAAAAAGAGCAGCAGACAACGACCTCTAAATCAATTTAGCCACTAATAACGATTAAACTAATTGACGCAATTGGTACAAATTGTAGGAAAAGATGGAACATCGTGTCTAAATTTAATGTGCCCTTGTACTTGTGTCATTTGTCTCCTCCAGCGTCCTATTGTGCGTCAATTAACGACGCAGCCATTCTGAGTGGATTGGATTGGTGTACATATTTATGCATATGCGAACATTGTGAGAATATATGTAAAAATCTGGACACAATAAGCACTAAAAAATCCTAGATAATAAACCGTCAAGAGATCTATGAACTCAATTTTATCCGGGGGAACGATTCTCTTGGGCACAATTTATGTATATCCACCACAAAAAGAGCCATCATAACAATCATCTCTCCCATCATCTATATTATAAGCTGGAAATGTTTGTCTGCAACGGAAGTGAAAGTAATTTTCCGTGACGGAAGCGGAAGTGGACAGAGTTTCACTTCCTTTGCCAACAGACTTTTCAGTTAACCCTTTAAACCGTAACGACGACAATAGTCGTTTTATAAGAAATGGTTTAATTCGGGAGTACGACAAAAGTCGTCCTGAAAAATCGTGGTCATGGCGCGGAAGGACGACAATTGTCGTTTCTAGGAGGTCATTGATTTTCACCATTTTCTCTCCGCGACCTAAAATTTGTTGCAATTTTGAGGGATTCTCCTATGCCAACACAATGCTAAATTTGAAGATTTTCTTCCCAAAAATTTGGATATTTCCCTATACAACGCAATGTTAAATTTTTGATTTTTCAGTTTTACCAGTTTATTAAAAACTCCTGAATTTCTCCTCCCGCGCCATGACCACAACATACTTATATTGTCCCCGATTTAATGCATTTTCTTGTCGTTAATCACGTTAAAGGGTTAATAAAAAAAATAATTCGGTGAATTATGAACAACCCCACTTAATTTTCATCAAAATCAAATAAGCCCATCGCCGGGTGGGAGACGGGCTTATATGCTAGTTTATGTATATCCACCACAAAAAGAGCCATCATAACAATCATCTCTCCCATCAAACTGCTAATTATCATAAACACCGAGATTATTAGGATAGACGTCGTGATTAAAGTGCATAAACCGGATCATGATGATGACGACTCCACCCTTTCAAAAATATGCCTCGTGGTCCTCTCTCGTTCAAGTTGTTGTTGTGGCCCACAACTTGTGCGTACATGTGAAGCAGGATTTCGAGACATACATATGCAAATGAAATTCGTCGGATCCTGTTCCTTCCTTCTTCCTGTCCTTATTTGGAGGATGATGAGATGCATGCGGGCTGGTCGACTCGTTGTTAGTGGAGAATTCTTTAAAAGAAGATCAGTATTCGTTTCTTGCGGGTTTGCTACTTACATATGTACATTTCTTAAAGTGCAAAGCAAGGCACGCAAGAAATGCGAGGTACAACAAACTGCAAGAAATATAGCAATGCGCCGTAACAAGTGCAGCGGGAGGGGGGGACGTACTTTCTTGCATTTCTTGCAAGTCAAAATATGTAGCTGCAAGAAAACCATCTTGCCATTATTTCTTGCAAAAGTGCTTCGTTTCTTGTAGGTTTGCTACATTTCATCCAGTGCAAGGCAAGCAATGCAAGAAATGCGAGGTGCAAGAAACTGGGAGAAAGTGCTAGAAATATGCGCCATCTAGCCATCTATGATCTATAGCGGCTGGGCGTAGTTTCTTGCACCTTGCATTTCTCCCAGGTCAAAATATTCCCCTGCCAGAAACCACTTTCTTCTCCCCCTTATTTCTTGCACGTGGTTACCAAATTACACCCGAAACACTGGTTTAAAAAAGAAGATACCAACGCTTCACCAAAAACCGCAGCACAAAGCAAGTCTTCAACTTTTCACTCATTCATGTCTCTCTTCCTGTAACGATGATCCCTCCAGAAGCAAGACTACCATTACTCCATCTCATCAATTTTTGTAAAGTGGAATTGGAACTGACGTGGGGACGTTTATTCCTCCAATTAGCGGTACCGTACCGCACCGTACAATGAACATTCTTCTCCTTCTCGTCATGTCATGTCATCGTCATGTAAGTGACACGTCACGCAGCACCCCGAGCACTACTACTTATTCCTCGTTGTAAATAGTTGTACTTTTCTCGAGCAAAAGTTCCGACAGAAGAAGAAGAAGTTGCAGGGCAGCACGTCATCCATTTAAATACTTGGATCTCATCCATCTCATCTCATCCTCCAGCAGCACAGATTCTCTCAAAGATCTACATTTCTGCTGTGTATTCCAGTTTCTCACTCAAAAAAAGAACAACCTTTTGTAATAAATCTCGTTTTGGATAGAAAAAAGAAAGGAGGGAGGGTTTAACAGGGTTTCGTTTGCTACGTTTCTTCCAGTGAAATCCAAGCACGCAAGAAATGCGAGGTGCAAGAAACTGCAAAAAAATGCAAGAAATGCAAGAAATACGAAATACGAGGTGGAAGAAAATGAAAGAAATACAAAATACGAGGTGGAAGAAAATGCAAAAAATACGAGGTGCATGAAACTGGGAGAAAGAGCAAGAAATGTGTGCCATCTTGCCACGCGCCGTATGAAATACAGCGGCGGGATTAATTTCTTTCATGTTGCATTTCTCCCAGGTCAAAATATTCCCCTGCACGAAACCACTTTCTCCCCCTTATTTCTTGCAAGTGGTCAATACTGCCTTGCACCCGAAACACTGCATGTTTTAAGTATTTTTTCCATCCGAAAAAGGGGAACGGAAGCTACTTATGTGTCTCCATGCACTTGAATGTTTTCCGCTTATTTCGACACATTTTTTAATATATGCACATCTTCATCTTCATCTCTTCAACTTTCTCTCCCCTTGAATTTTTTTCTCTACTACGTATTTACATACATACATACATACGGGAAATGGAATATGTAAATGATGTCGACGATGATGATGATGTTGATGACGATAAGTAAAATTATGATCCTGATCCAATTATCTTGTCTGAAGATTCATTGATTTAATGAGTTTTTCGTGTGATACGGATGTACGAAACAGTGGCCGCGGAAGCGAGTGGAAAATGTCCTCACAGTTATTCGATGTCCGCATCATCTCCCCATCTTATATAAACCCTTCCCTCCCCCCATCCTACAATGTTAACGTCCCCCGATGTCCCCACACAGCTTCCGCGGCCACTGGTACACACGAGAAAATGATGAGATTTGCATTTTCATTTTCATTTTCAGTAGGACGCAGATACGGACAGATTGCATTATCCTGTCGCTTAATAGGTTTGGTCTGCCACCACCACCACACTTTCACGCGTAATTAACTTTAACTACTAATTAATTGCGTTAAATGGAAGTACATAAAACTCACCAACACCACGAGGAGATAAGCTGCTTCCTCGAAAATCTGCTCCGTTATAATGGACTAGATCCCAAGCGTGGTCATTGTCCCGTTTCGCTGTCTGGTTGTTCGCGACAGGTTCGAGATAGTGGACTTGATCCCCGTCAAAAATGACACCGCTGAAAGATTAAAAAAAAGTTGTTTTCAAAATTTTGAATTTAAATGGTATACGTGTTTTCAAATTTTTTAAATCCTAAATCAAGCTTGATGTAAAATATGTAAATAAACTAAGCGCATCTTCAAAATTGTCAAAATCATCACATTTTTAATCATTTCTCCGCTCTGGAAATTTATTTTTATTTTATTTTAGTATTATTGTCAATTAAGCTATTAATTGATTTTTAAGTTGACAGGAGAAATGGACCTACATACAATTGTTAAGTAACTAATTTCTTCACAAAATTTATTTCGACTTCGAAGTCTTACATTTTAAATCATTTCTCCAGTCTGGGAACTTATATTAAAATTCTGCCCGACAAATTTGTAAAGCTGTAGTCGTTCCCAATTTTTTGAAAATATACACTCCAGATTTTGACACTTTTTGAAGGAGGAAATCTCAAGGTTGAGAAACCTTCAGAAACATTGGAACTCGTCGAAACCGGCGTAAAAAACTCAGCGCCATTCCATTAATCAAATTACTGACTACAAATTTGTCGTTCAGAATTTCAAAATAAGTTCCCAGAGGGGAGAGATTATTAAAAATATGGTAATTTTCACGATTTGGGTGACAAGGTGTCAAGTCAATTTATGAAATATTGGAAACAAAGTATTTTAAATATTAACTCAGATACACACGTGCAAATAGGTTGTGCATACTTTTAAAAAAAATGGCAACGACTATTTACATCTCTACAAATTTATGGTTCGGAAATTTTAAAATAAATTCCCAGAGGGAACAAATGCTTGAAAATGTGCCGATCTTCACAATTTGGATGATGAGGTTGGAAGTCAATTTATAAAATATTGGAAATAAAAAAATAGTAAAAGTGAAATCAGGTAGGGTCGATTCTCAACTGAACAGTTTTAATGTTTAAAAAGTTCGCACGACCTCGGCTCTACATACAAATTTGTGGTTCAGAATTTTAAAATAAGTTCCCAGAGACGAAAAATGTTCAAACATATGCTGATTTTTTTACGATTTTTATGATGACTCATCACACTTTAAATTTAAATATGTACACAAATTTACCTAATTTTTCCCAGACAGGTAGAAATGGCTGCATACGAACTAGGCCGACCTTCCACGACGCCTTGATAATGGCAAAGTTCTGCCTCCTGCAAAAAGAGAAAAAATACCCTTTCATTCATTCATCTCAATTACCCCAAAAGTGAACAAAGTCAGCGAATAAAACAGTAAAAATAATGATAAAAATCATAAAAATGGTTAGTAAGAAGGAATGTGGGGCATGAATAATAGTGGGTGGATTGGATTGTCTTCCATCCACCACGACCACTTTATGACGAGAAAGACAGAGACATATCACATGCCCCATTTCCTCCACGTCCACGTTGCGATATAGTTTTTACCAGGGTTTCGGGTTTTATGCAGTATTAAATTAACCAAGTGCAAGAAATAAGTGGGAGAAAGTGGTTTCTTGCAGGGAAATATTTTGACCTGGGAGAAATGCAAGGCGCGAGAAACTAGGTCCCGCTGTTTTAAACAGTTCATACGCCTTATGTCTAGATGGCGTTAAATTTCTTGCACTTTCTCCCAGTTTCTTGCACCTCGCATTTCTTGCGTGGCTTGTTTTGCAGTGCAAAAAATGTGATAAATTCACAAGAAACTAAGCACTGATTGGTTTCCTGTAGCTATTTTGACCGCATATTTTTTGCACTTTTTGCAGTTTCAGTCACCTCGCATTTCTTGCAGTTTCTTGCACCTTGTTTTTCTTGATTCGCAGTGCAAAAAACTGCGAACAAGTGGTTTTTGCAGCTACATTTTTACCTGCAAGAAATGCACAATGCAAGAAACTCCTTCCCGCCGCTATACTTCATGCGGCACGTGACTAGTTAGATAACGCACATTTCTTGCACTTTCTCCCAGTTTCTTGCACCTCGAATTTCTCCCATTCCACTCCAAAAAATGTAGCAAACCACGCACACCCTCAAAACCAACGAAACCCTGCCTTTTTCCCTAAAATATGACGCGATTTCCTCCCTCGGGTCGCACCCAGTTAGCTTGGCGACAACATGAAAAGGGCTCAAAAGTGGATTTGAAAAAGATGCCATAAAAATGTAAGTCTTCAATAATAAATCTCTTTGAGTAGTGAGTGAGATGAGTCTTTCAAGTAGCGTGGAATTGAGATAAAAGGATGGATGGATGGGAATCTTTGCATTATTTGTTTGCCAGCCAGCCACTTCTCCACGCCGTTCTGCACCCTTGTGTTCTTCTTCCTTCTGCCTTTTTGACAATCCATCCGCGAGTACTTTATAATATGTGAAGTGAACAATGAATGCATACATTATAAATTGGTGGAGACGAAATGTAGCAAAAGGGTGAAAGAAATGGGATATCGGTATGTTAAATAGGTTAAAACAAAAATTTTGACTTTTTGACCTCGTCGACACGGTCACAGGGTCATCGTCCATTGAAACTATGCCGATTTCTGAAATTCCCACACCAAACTATGTTTAAAACGGTGGAAACAAAATTTCGACATTTTGACCCTATCGACACGGTCACAAGGTCATCATATATCTATCGAAACTATATCGATTTCTGAAATCCCTGCCCAAGCTACGTCTAAAACGCTCAAAACAACAATTTCGACATTTTTTTACGGTCGATCTAATCGCCGTGACCTTTTATGACCTACAACACTTATCTTCGAACTTATTCGCCCTAAATTATCATAAATTTTACATTTTACACGGACGGACAAGAACCCCTTCCCATAAAAGGGTTTCACCCCCTTTGAAATAAGGACCCCGAGAAAGATTGAATTTGCACATTTCCTGTTCCAGACACACCGTGTACATTCCTCCTTTTTATTGCAAACTCGACACCTTTTTCGTGTCCAACTTGAAAAAACTTTTTGGTGAGCCATCAGATTTTTTGGAACCGTCGTAACAAGATAAAGCTCTTGAAATGTGCATTATTCTCGACGACATTTTTTAAGTGACAACGTGACACCACACACACACATCTATCGCCATCCGCGTCATCATTTTTGTACACATTAAATTATTCAAAAGTGTAGTTCAGAGAGAAGCAGTGGCCGCGGAAGATGTGGGGACATTAACATTGCAGGATAGAGGTTTGTATAACAAATACCTGTTCACTTTCATTCATTTGACTGATTATGATAGTGAATGACAATATGAATGAAAATGAATTTCCTGTCATTTGAATGGAAATGACTGAAAAATTCCGTCATTTCAGATGAATGATTACGAATGAAGATTTTTCATTCATTTCATTTTTCACCCTATGCTTAATTAATACATGGGGAGAAGTAAGAATGAAGTCAGATGAAGTGAAATGAATTTGAAAGATAATGAGTGAATGTGAATGAAAATCTTCACTCAGAAATCGAGATGATTGACTTTTGAATGAAAACTGAATTTTTGAACAGGTATGGTATAACATCGGTAGATGATGGGAACATTGTCCTTGTGTCCCCACCCACACCCTTCCGCGGCCACTGAAGAGAAGTGAAATGACAAAGTGTTTTTCATTCCCTGCATATGTTTTCTACGCAGAGAGTTGCGAATCATGCTGGTAAATAAATTTGTAATGCGACACACCACGCGAGGAGACTTTAAAAAAACAAAAGTGTCCCATTTCACGTTGGTTGGAGTATTCTGTTTACACTTTTGTAAATATGGAGTGGTTAGTATTTTTATTTTTGTTATGTACGTAGAATGGAGGTCTCCCCGCGTATGCTGTCCGATTTTGAGCAAATTAGTGTGAATCGATCGCAAATTTAATTAGGATGAAATTTGCGAAAGACGCGATCTCCCAATGGGCACGTTTGGCAGAGATATTTGCATCCCAAGAGGAGAAAATGCGCGGTAAATTTGGAAAGTGTAAAATTTTTCGACTTTTAGACGCGTTTTCTCCTCTTCGGATGCAAACATCTCTGCCAAACGTGCCCATTGGGAGATCGTGTCCTTCGTAAATTTCCTCCTAACTAAATTTGCCATCGATTGACAATAGTTTGCTTAAAATCGGATCGCATACGCTGGAACACCTCCATTTCCATTGGTAGTCTATTTTAACAAGCAAAATTGTTATTTACCTCGTACGACGGATTGTTGACGACATGGTTCCCAGTATTTTGGAACTTTTCAAAATACCCGGAAGGAAGTAGACCTCGGTTCAGGGTTAGGTGCAGAATTGTGTAGTGTGTCGGATCTGATTCGTTTAAGGCAAGTTCCAACCGCACTTTTTCTAAGTGGCCGCCAACTTCGACGTCCTAAAGAGAAAATTTTGAATTTTGAAATTCATAAAAATCCAAAATTCATAGATGCCGAAAACTCCAAGTTGTTTTTTTGTTTTGTTTTTCTTTGTTTTTCTTACGGAGTGCAGCGTATTTCCGACGGGGACGTGACGTCGTATTCGTCGAGATCTTTGTAGGGTAGACTTGACGCCACGAAGGACGTCATAGGCGTCCCGATCTTCCACAATGACTTCGCGTAAGACGCGACCCGTAATTCGACGCGCTTTCGAGAATCCGGTAACACTTGGATGGTGGTTTTCACTTTCGCCTGTAACAATGAAATGAAATCACATTTCAATCAATATTATGCTTACAATTTGGAAAATAACATTTAAAAAACATTTTAAAAAACAGTTTGAACATTTTAATCCTCGTATTGAAATTTAGGAAGACAGTAAAATTTCCATTTTATTTATGTTTGCATATTTTTGGCGAAGCTACATATGCCAGAAAACATTTAAAAAATCAAAAATCGGGGAAGAAATCACAGTTTACGAAATCGGGGAAAAGTCAAGGAGAAAAACAGCAAAGAAATGTATTCTGCCCAAAAAATAACATTTTAAGAAATCTAAAGAAAAATAAATGCCCAAAATGAAAAATCCCGAAATGCATAAATCTTTCATGTCCCAAAACATCTAGACAAAAATGACATGACAAAAAAGAAATGCATCGCCATTATTTTCATGGTTTTGAGTGCATGGTCTGGTCAACTTGAACCTTTTTTCCTCCTCTATTTACTACAAACACTATCCCGCAAAATGCCATTATTATTCCGTATTGTCGGCCTGCATGAAAGCGTCATTTCCACCTTTGCGGTTCCTGCACAACTGACAACCGGCATAAATAAATGCAGCATCATCACATCATATCGCCTCAAATTTCTGCTGACCCTGCCCTGCCTGTCGTCTTGTGGTTTTGGTTTCGGTTTCCGTCCTGTGTGCAGATCTGTTGCTTACAGATATTGCATTACGTTACATATCGTGGTTGAAGATGCATTATGTGCTAACTGCGTTTTTGCCCGTTTAATTGCTCCTACGGTACCATGAAATAAATACAACGGCCAACAAATCACTTAGCACATAATGCATCTAAACAACGATAGTTAGCTATTGTATTTCTCTAACACCAAGCAAACCAAAAATCCATGCTGATTTTAAAAGAACAAAATAAAATAAGCTCGTTTCCGAAAAATTTTCAGGATTTTAGGTGAAAATATGCGCATTAAATATTGTAGTTTAAGACGCATTATGTGCTCAAACCAATTTTTTGGCGTGTTAAATATTGTAGTTTAAGACGCATTATGTGCTCAAACCAATTTTTTGGGGTGTTTCATCCCTCCCACGGTAAAATCCACGTTTAAAATATAATGCCCAGTTAGCACAAAATGCATCTTCAACTATCTACAATACGTATTGCATTTCTCTTTCACCAGCCAAACCAAAAATCCATGCTGATTTGAAAAAGAAGAAACTAAACTCGTTCCTGAAATCCTGAAAAAGTTTGATGGATGGATCGAGTGACCATAAAATGAAAACCACGCCAAAGCCAAACAAACCACTGCAGGGAATAGAATAGAATATCGATTTCCTTTCCTTTCGCATCCATTTCTCCATTCTTGTGTGACCGAATCAATTAAATACGATTTGAGAGTGACCAGCACTTGAAATCAGTGGCCGCGGAAGCGATGTGGGGGGACATCTGGGGACGTTAACATTGTAGGATGGGGGAGGGAGGGGTTTATATAAGATGGGGAGCTGATGGGGACACCGAATAACCCTGGGGACATTGTCCCTCTGTCCCCACCCACGCTTCCGCGGCCACTGTTCTTTTGGCTTTTTCATCACTACGGAGCATGTACATACAGTGGCCGCGGAAGCTGTGGGGACATCTGGGGACATTAACATTGCAGGATAGGGGAGGGAGGGGTTTGTATAGCATGGGGGACATCAAATACCCTTGGGGACATTGTCCCTCTGTCCCCACCCACGCTTCCGCGGCCACTGTTTCTTTAAATCCAATGCAATCCATCCATGCTCTTCTGGAATCTCTCACTCTCAAACTCAAATACCACAAGCCAATAATATGTAAAAGGAAGGATGATAAAGTGGCAAAAAAAAATTTTTTCAAGATTTAAGAACTTTCAAGTTTAAGCAAGTAAAATAAACTCGAGTTTTGTGGTTTGGTTTGTAATGCGACGACGACTCGTATTTCTTTTAGCCAAGAGCTCGTCTTCTTCTTCTTGTCATCGTCATAAAACTTGGTGTGATTGCTTGATTCTTCTTCTTAAAGATATTCTATTCTACGTACGTACGTGATACTGCACCGGGAGAGTGGATAGAATGGAATCGAGGAAAATGCGTTACTTACTTTACATATGTATAGTTACTACTGAACAGTGGCCGCGGAAGCCTGGGTGGGGACAGAGGGACAATGTCCCCACGGTTGTTCGATATCCGAATCATCTCCCCATCTTATACCAACCCCTCCCTCCCCCTATCCTAAAATGGCAACGTCCCCCGATGTCCCCACGGCTTCCGCGGCCACTGATTACTTACTACAATGGTTTTGAGTGCTTATTTTCCTTTACCAGGCCAAAGAATACAATGTGGAATGGAATGAATCATAGTCTTCGAAAGAGAGAGAGAGGTACGTACAAAAATACAAAATTTTATGATGACTACTTCTTCCTTCCTTCTCAACAAAAGTTCTTCAAGAAAACTATGGATCGTTTTTATTTCAATCTGTTCACAGAAGAAAAGCCAACCTATTCATTTATTTTGGACTTCAAATTTCAAATCTTGTATCGATTTAGTTTGCATTTATTCCCAATTGTTGCAAAAAAATCGATCGATTTTTTAGGTGGATGACAGTGTTTCATATTTTGCGGATTTTCTAAGAAAATTTCTTAACATTTTAATTTCTTTCTGATTTCTTAACTTTCAAAACAAGGTGCAAGAAACTGGGAGAAAGTGCAAGAAATATGCGCCATCCTGCCACGCGCCCGGCGGCGAAACCTGCCCCGTGCATTTCTTGCAGGTCAAAATATCTACCACTGCACGAAACCATTTTCTTGCACCCGAAACACTGGACCCGATTTATTTATCCCCAATTTAAAGAAATTGTGAAAAGAAGTTTGTTCTTTTTTTGAGAAAGTGCCGTCCCCCGAATAAAAAGAGCATTTTGCTTTCACTTTTTTTTCCAAAAAATAAAACTAGCAGCTTAAACTTAATGCGAGCTTTTCTTCGTGGAGGAATATCCTCCAGGAGGAGAATAGAATAGCGTAGAAGAATTGAGTTAACAAAGAAAAGTAAACTTTGTGTCTGGGTAGCGTAATCCTATCGCATCACTCCGAAGACGTCCCACTTTGGGTGAGGTATCAGTATCAGAAATGTCGCGTCTTGTCGTCATCGTCGTCGTCGTCGTCGTCGATGTCGCCGTGTGATTGTATAATAGATTCGTGTTTGAGGAGGAAAAAAAGTTAAGCCTCGTGTTCAGAGGGTGGATAAGTATTTTAAGAAAAATTTACAAAAAAACATAAAAATAATAATTTCCGAAAAAAATTGAAAAATTTAATGTTCTGGATTTTTTGTGGCCGAATTTCTTTAAGAAAAAAATCAGTTTTATTTGCAGAGAACGGATATGCATTTGCGAACATTCGTTGAAATATAATATGTGTTTAATATTTGGGCTAAAAAACGCCAAAATATTTCAGAAATGGATATATTTAAAAAAAACTATAAAATCAGAATTTTCGCAAAATTTATATTTCTGAATATTTTCTTTGAGCACAAACATTTTGCCTTGCGTCTTTAAAATATTTGCAAAATATGTACCAATTTTTGAAAAAATATGTAAGAGATTTCCATATTTTTCAAATATACCGGAAATATTGAAATGCCTGAAAACCTAGAAATACACATGTTACAAAATGTAAAAATATTTTGAAATTTTTGCAATCTATACAAGTTAGGCGACACACCCACACCGTTTGATCATCAGTCGTCATCAAATGAAAAACTTGAAAACAAATACATATCCGCCCTCTGCTCTTACATATATTTCACCACCCCCAAAGTAAACTATTTCAAGAAGAATTCGGTAAGATTTAGGCTTCGATTTGATCGGGATTATGTATGAAGCCGTTCGAGTATAAAATCTCCACTTAAATTTCCTTCCGGAAAAAGAAATTTGATCCCACGCAATCAACACAATGACGGGATTTGATCCGATCAAGACATAATTTGTATTGCTTCCTTAGTGCTTGACTGATTTGTCAGTCGGTTATGTGGAGAATTGTGTAAGAGACCTGGCATAGCATTTGTGGTTTGGTTGTTGGATTTCGTGTTATGTAACACAACTCGATAAATGTCATCATCTGGGCCGGGGTGGGTGACACTTTTCCATTCCAGGACACCATCCAATTGTCAGTATGATAAAAGGTAAAGAAAAAAGTGGGGGACGTCCCAGCCTGGATCGAATTTCTGTCCCAATAAGTGATGGATTGGAACCAGTGTTTCAGACCATTTGCAAGAAATAAGGGGGAGAAAGTGGTTTCTTGCAGGGGAATATTTTGACCTGCAAGAAATGCAAGGCGCTAAAAACTAGGCCCCGCTGCTATATTTCTTCCGGTGCGTGGCTAAATTGAGGGCGCATATTTCTTGCACTTTCTCCCAGTTTCTTGCACCTCACATTTCTCCCGTTTTTTACTTTGTAGTACATGAAATTTAGCACACCCGCAAACAACGAGACACTGCTTGCAAAAAATAATGGCAAGAAATTGGTTTTTTGCAAGTATTTTGACCTGCAAGAAACGCATGGCGCAAAAAAATACTTTCCGCCGCTATAAGTCATACGGCGCGCGGCTATTTCTTCCACTTTCTCCCAGTTTCTTGCACCTCACATTTCTCCCAGTTTTTGCCTTGCAATCCAACAAATATACCAAAACCCTTAAGAAACGAAACACTTCTTGGAACCTTTCCTCCTACCCGGCACGTGTTCCCTGCCACCATTAGTCCTCGAAAAGTGGTGTGTGTATCCCTTTAAAACCACATTTTGCACCCACCCCAACTAGACAACAGCATGTCTTATGTGCACCCAAAACATCCGTTCCAGCTTGGATTTCTTCTCCTTCCGGAGAAGAAAAAGCTCTTCTTCTTCTCAGAAGAAGAAATCGTGCCGTTTAAAGCGATCCCATATTTAAAACCGTGCCCGTCGTACCTAAATCTGTGTATAATATCGTGATTATGCTCGCCTAATGGAAATGGTAAC